ACTTTTGGTTTTCTTTGAGTTTGTAATGTTTCTTTTTCTGATTGTAATCTGTTAGAGTTTGATAGGGCAAACATTGTTCTTAGAAAATTAGGAGAAGCAATGTAATGTCATTATATTTTTCTTACGAAAATGCTTTTCTTTGGCTGTACAAATTAAAAGGCGATGATTCTACCATTTGACTTCTTGCTAAGATTACGATATGAATTCTAAACAAATTTGGATTAGTTGATATGAATGTCATCTTTATCTAACCCATACCTTTAGTCTTAAAATTGGACACTGAATCAGGATCGGCTAGACTAATCTATATAATTGAAAGGGCTTGTGACATTCTCCAGCTGATGACACATCAGCACTCCCAGAGTGTCACGCCATCTCTTTTTTTTTTAACTCCCGTTTGACTCCAAAACGACGTCGTTTTGTCCCCTCCTCTGTGACTCCAAAACGACGTCGTTTTGATTTTATGTTTTATAGAGCAGAAGGTTCCGTCTTCTCGACTCCCTCCTCTCTTCTTCCCATCCGGCTCACGATGTCGCTTCAGTCCACATTCCGCGCATCGCAACAGGAGCAAAAGGCGCCGGCGTTGTCGTGCTTCTGCTCGACCAAAAGGTATGTGCTCCACGAAAGAACCTTTAACTCTATCTAAATTCTCTTCATTTCTCTCTCTCTCTATACATTTCTTCTGACTCGATTCGGTTTGTGAATTTGTGATTGAGCATGGAAGCAACAACAGAGGAATCAACGGGTATAGCTATGACGATAATGATTGACCAAACGTACGAGTTCTTACCCTCGTGAGTTTCTTTGCTCTCTTTTTGTTTTTAGTTTCTAGATCCTAGGTTTTGGAACAGATTGGGTGATTATTGTTATCAGATATGTGGTTTGGATATCGGAATTTGGTCTCAGTTTCGTGGATTTAAATCCGATTAGTGATAATTAGGGTTTACTGATATCTGTTGTGAGAAGCGAAATTAGCTATTGCACGTTTAAAACAGTCTCTCCATTGCAAAAAAAATAATCTTTGATTGATTGAAATCTGAAAAAGCGGAAGGAAGTTAAGCTTTCTTGCGTGACTGTTATGTTTTAGTTATGTCAAGAATCATAGAATTAGGGGAAAATATGGTAATTTGTGCGCAGAATCAAAATGAGTTTGTGTTCAAAGTTGTATTCAAGTTATCCTTTTGTGCAGCTTCGGTTCCTAAAATCAAAGCGAGGAGATCATTTAAGGTTGAGACCATGTGCAACTTCGATGCAGAGGAAGAAGAAGAAAAACCCCACAAGGTTTGCTTCAATCAACCAATCATTTGACCATCATTACAAGCAAGAAAGTTTTGATAATCTTTTTAATTTTCTGATTATTCGCATTTTGCAGGACAAAGAGCCTTCAGAACCTATAGCTCCAACTATTTCTTCACAACCGGAGCCTAATCTCTCTGAGGCCAAGCAAGAAGAAGTTAGTCATACTGAAGAAAGAACAATTAAGCCATCATCACACAATGCATGCATTTTCTACATACCTGGAATCAACACACTTTGCTGCAGTCCTGAAGATTAAGAATACTATCTACGGGAAATGTGACGCGAGCCTTCGTCGGGTCCTCCTTCTGAAGAATGTTATGTATATGATTATGAGGACATGTAGGCGGAGGAAGCTGCAAATAAGAGCTGTGTTCACCATGTTAACAATGGTGTTTCTCTAAATGAGGTTTGTGATAAAAACAGTCATGTCGATGGTGGAAATAATAACGGGGAGGCTGAGTCCACTCGCGTAATCTATGTCCCATCTCCAAAAGTGACTTACTTGATATGGTTCTGTTTTGAAATCTTTTGTCAGTATGATGTGCTGGAATTTTGTTTATTTGAGACAATTACTATGTAGGTATCTAGAGATTGGTGCTGTGGCAACGTTACGGTATTTTCGGCCTAATTTTGGTGACCGAATGCTTTGAAGGATTCAGAGCCTGATGTGAAGTCTGCATAAAGAGCAGTGGGTATAACTGGAAGTATTGCTGAGCAGGATTTATATTTTGGGTTCCTCTTGATTCTCCAAGATTTTGCTGAGCAGCTTATCGACGCAGTTATAGCAGAGGTTGTTACTAACTAAATTTATCTTCTTCATGACTTTTGACTCTTCTGGGTTTTTTTTTTTTGTGTGTGGTCTTCACTCTTCTCTAGACACTGTCTCTGGATGAAACTTCGTTACAATAAGTATTGGAGAATCAAGAGGAACCCATGGAAGAAGAAACGGAGAAACCATTAGCTCCGAAAGATGGTGAAGCTCTTATTGAGGAAGTTCATGCCCCAACTGTGATGCAGTAACCTCTCTAAACATGAACGTGTTTCTGAGTCAATGTTTTTTGAATATTTTATTTGGAAGCTTGATCAGATTTATTAGTAAACCTCAGGATAGGAAGAGAACCAGCTTAAAGGAGGGAAATGAGATATGATATGAATGTGCTCAAATTCTAATGTAGGATTCTAATGTATGAATGTAGGATTCTAATGTATGAATGTAAATTATAATGTGCTCCTGACCTGTGTTTCTAGTATTATAAATGTAAACACGCAAACCTACTTTATTTCTTTTCGTTTGGTTAGTGAAATTACTCCTTCTTTTGCATTCCCTTAAAATAGGCTTAAATTCTGTCATCCAATACCTCCTCCTAAATTATTTAAAATTTAAACAAATAAACTATTATAGGTATAAGAATAACTTAGCATTAACTATATAATTTTATAGAGCTAAAACTGTCTTTAAAACCATAAAAAAACATAATACTATAATTCCATTTTTATGAAAATTTGCTAGGAATCAAATTCTGAATCCGATAACTCACATATCCAACAAAATGACTGTACCTCACTATGGTCAATGATTTTAAGATAGATTTATTTACATCAAAATTAAATTATCAAAAAGAAACACAATATTCAGTAAATTAATAATTAATAACTGCACAAAACACAAAAATGTTTTCAAAAATCAAAAACAAAAATTAAAAATATTTTAAACAAATAAAAATCCGCGCGTTGCGCGAGTACTCTCCTAGTAAATAAATAAAATCACAACTAGGTTCTTCATACGAGTGTTAAATTGTTGATTAAGTTGTGAGTCATATGGTCAAACGTCACTATTAAACTAATCATTCAGTAGTCAACTTGAGAGTAGTTATGGTGTTGTATAAATTTTGAAACTAACTGAAATTTGACCCATGAATTTATGGCTAGTAAATAGTGTGATAGTTTTGACTTTGGTTTTTGTCTTCACCTTAGAAAAATGTTATATTGTTTTTCATAATTGCTCTTTCTAGTCAATTCAACACATAGAGCTATACAATACAAAACTACACTAGAAATCCAAGTATCATTTTTTTGACATTTTTTACAAAAAATTCCAAGTATGACAGTAAAGTGTATCAGAAAATTATAAAGTTATTCAAGTTATTCTTGAAAGTTGCAAGTGATTTGAATTGACATTGAGCATATGGTGCATTCTTGCTTTGTTGAAAATAGTCACTAGTCATGTGTAATTATATATAGGATACCAAAAATCAATCATCATGACCCAATTCTGCACAATCTTTCATGTGTTATTATCTTCCAGATCATTCTCTTAGGAGATGCAAGTAACCACAAGTTGGGCAACAGGTATTGCAAACAAGGGAGACAACTGGGTCATGTCGACTTGGCACCCTCGCAATAATTTCTGAAACCATGTCGATTGGCAACGAACTAAATGTAACCGGAGGTCTCATTCGGAAGTATCGACAGCGCCAACTTTACAAAAACTGGACAATCAAAATTACTTTTCTCTTTCGTCAACTAACACGCGATTGCTTACCGGTTAAAATTATTTTTCTTTTAGATTGATAATTTCACCACTAGTCCAAGATAGAACACCGAAGAACTAGCGCGAGTTGCCGCCATCATTGATAATATATACTTCTTCTTGGATAATCCAAAATCTAAACTTGTGAATATATAAAAACAGAGCATATTTCGAAGTACTGAGATTTATTTTTAATCCTGACATATGTAATGCCTAAACTTTCTGTTAAGAGGGACGTCAGAAAGTAGGCAACTAGATCACTAGACACGCCCCGGCATCGCAACTTTGTTATTACCATACAAGGCAATCATTGAACACCAAATCTCGCTTTTCTTCCTTTCATGCCACATAAACGCCAACTTTCCATTATATTCGGCCAATGCAACATTCCGGAAGACATTCGCGTTGAGCTTCAAACCATTAACACAACTCGCCATTCGTTCTCCATAGAACAAACCTTTATACTAAAAACTTCTCGTTGGTCTTTTTCAGACTTTCTTATACGGTGTTTTGGGCCTTCCAGTTATTTCGGCCTAGTTACTTTTCCTTCTGAAAACCAGTTTTCTGAATAATACGGTTTGTTTTTTGTGTTATCAAAGCTGCATGGGTTCTTAACTTCTTAATGGTTATGCTACAAATGGAAACAAACAAAATTATAGTGCAGTCCTTTAAAGAAATAAATTTGAACAAACTTAGAAATGACAAAACATATATCCAAAAAATTATCGTCGTTTGAAAATTGTGGAACAACAAAATTTGGATCGCAATTCTACCCCATTAGCCAGTGATTATTAAAAATGTGAAGAAAGGTGAATAAATTCTTAAATTATATTAAGTGTTGACACTTCTCTCTTTTTTTTTTTCTTCACTTTCTGGTTTTTTTATTGTTACCCAGATATTAAAATCTGGTACCATTTGAAATTAGAAGCTCAACATTCTAAAACTGGAAAAGCAAATAGACAATTAAACCATACTATATAAGTTTATAACTAGAGAATTCATCTGTTATATCGTCAGAAAATGGTAAAACAAAGGCAAAAAAATTCCGTAATTGAACCAAAAGTCCTCAGATACTGTTTATATGTACAAAACCAACAGTAAGGCTCTGTTTTTTACCTTTTTATATTAAAAAAAAGTGTGAATATGAATGAAAATGTCAGAAACTCACCACTCACATCCCTGATAGCCACCTGAAAAGCTCACTAATCTCTTCTCCGGCATGATTCGCCTCTAAATCCACCACTCCCATCTCCTCGCTCCGTCGACTGCTCCCGGTGAAAAACCTACCGGAGCTCCTGAACGACATTGCGCGGGACGAGAGACCTCGAGAGAGCCTGTCCACGTAATCCTTAAGCCAGCTTCTAGAACCATCGTTCCCTATCTCTGCCGCTAAACTCGATTCAAACGCCGGATTTGAATTTGACGTAACCGCAACCGCAGTTGTTGCTGTAGTCGCGTCGTCCTGTTTTCGCGATGTGCTTACGCGGTTGAAATTCGACTCCGAGATTTCCGATTCAACGTCGTCGACTATGTAATCGAACGAGCCCATTGAGTAAGACCGGTGCTGATCGACGGATTCCGGAATCGGATTGTTGTTGCGACGGCTGATTGATCCAATTTCGAGACGGAAGCTGTTTTCTCCTCCTCCTCCTCCTCCGCCGTTGTTGTTGTTGTTGCCACCGAGAGACGAGGAGGTGTGAAGAGCCTTCATCAGATCGGAATCGGAAGCGAAGAGCGGAGACCGGCAAAGCGGACACGTCTGATTCGAGACGAGCCATATGTCGATACAGTCGGCGTGAAACGCGTGGCAGCAGAGAGGTAGAAGACGGAGCTGATCCTCCGGCTCGAATTTCGACAGACAAACGGCGCAGTCGCCGGAATTCGACGAGCTGGATCGGCGAGTGATGGAGGAGAATTTGAAAATCGGAAGCGAGTCGAGCACAGACGGTCGCTCTGTTTCCGGAGAGACTCGGTGACCAGCGAATCGGCGGGAATCGGAAGTGGCGGCGGAGGAAGAAGAGGGAGGGAGGAGCGAACGGTGGCTACAGCGATTGAGACATCGGAGGAGGAAGCAAATGGAGACGGAGATAAGGAGAGTCATGAGAAGGATGAGGATGATGACTACAACGCTCGGTTTGAGACTATCGAGAGAAGAAGAGTGAGAATCGGAGTTTCCGCCATGGCTAGGGTTGATGAGAGAATCCATTGATTCAGCTCTCTCGACAGAGAAATCAAATAAAATAAAACCTCCCCAACTGTTTGTATTAATGGCGGTGGTGAAGAAGGAGAGGGAAGAGAGAAGAGAGGAGGGCACGTGAGAGAGTCACGTGAGGGTCATGGACCGGTCTTTAGAGAGAAGGGGGGAAGGATGGATTATAAAGAAGGGGACGTTGGGAAAGAGGCAGCGAAATAAATGTCATCGAACCAACTTAAACTGTCGATATTTAATACCATAAAGTTAAATCAAATCAATGGCTTTTCACTTACTTGCTTTCAGTATTTATTTTTTTTTGCCACCATCTGTTCGTATGTTATTGACATTAACATTGAGGAGAGAGACATGTGTTTATGTAGACATTATAATTTCTAAAACAAACCTATTTACTTGTAAAAATTTGCTGTTTTTTTTAGTATATAGGTCGACTGTTGAAGGCTTGAAGCTAGATTGCCGTTTCATCGTTTATAATATGTTACAAAATTTGTTTGTAGATATAGTGATGTAACAGTTAAAACTTAAAAGTAATGCAAAGATGAAAACAATTGTTCCTTTTATTTTGAGGATTTGGTATCATTTCTTGAGTCCTCCCTTTATGCTTACCTTGTTGAGCCTAAAAACAGATCGATACCCTTTTTGACATTTTACCCGATTCTTGTGATAATTGTTTTAACTTTATGTGGCTTTTTTATATCTTTATTTTCACACTGCCTGTCCTTTTCCAATATCCATTAGTAGTTTCGCAGCCAAGTGTTACAAAATCCGAGGTTTTTATTTATGCAATACAACCCGGAAAAAAGTTTTGTCTCCTTGCGTGAACGAAATCAAGCTCCAAGAAAGCAAACCGGTTTAAATGGGGAAAAGTACGAAACCCAAATATTCACTAGACAACCACACGTTTGTTGGAACTTATAATGATAATCATCTATAAAGATCATATAAGTAGGTTTGTGGATTTGAATAAGAGAGACTAAAAGGACCATAACACTGCCGAAACATGTATTGTTTGTGTTAGTACGAATAGAATGTTTATGAACATTCTATATCATCCAAGAACGTAATTAATTATTAACGTATGGTCAAATAATCTTTAAGAAATTCCGGTACGGGCCAAAATGAAAACAATACTATAATCATATGATTCCACTCATTTCCACGAGTTAGTTGGCTTAGAATTAATACGTCTCCGCAGGGGACATGTGAAGACACAGCTCTTATTAGGATATGCAAAATCAGAATGACACTTGTAATATTATGTCCATCACGTAAATGCATAGACGTACAAAGACACGTGACTACTCATTATTGGATATTATTGTTTTCTTGGTTTTTATCTGTTTTCTTCTGCGCAAAATAAGGTTGCGGTTGCACGTTCGTAGCATGCCTCTTTACTCCATTAAGCTCTAATGCGTTTATATTTTATAGTTTCTTCCCATGGCTTCTGTTTTCTTTTATTATATATGGAAATAGCATAGGTTATACTATACGAAGATACCAAGCTATCCACAAACTATGCCACTAAATACGTAAACTGCATGTAGATACAACCTGTCCGGAAGCATTATATCTAATTAGCCATTTAAATCCATATTAAACAATCTTATCTTCTTGTTTAACCAATCATATAACGTCTAAGCCAAACATATAACATATTCCCATTTTGTTGTGTGTGGTTCTTAGTCCTTTTTGTTGTGGTTCTAGCACTCGGTCTAAAGATTAATGCTCGTAGTCAATCAATTTTACGAAAAAACATTTGAATTCCTTGATTTCGCTAAAGCCTCAATATTCTTAGCGGGAATACTGTATCACTACTTCAAAATTTACATATTGATTCAAAAATTCAGTTAGAGAAAAGTAATAAAATGAATGTACGTAGTCAGAAAATGAAAGAAACATGGAGGTGTGCTCTTGTGTCTGCACCCCTGAAAGGACAACAAAGTCATTAAAAACAGACAACCTACTTTATTCATCTACAAGACTACAACCATGAATATTTCCACGTCACCAGATTTATTTCCTTTCCAAATCATTTTTTCACTTGATTTTCTCCTACTTTACTTGTATTGCACTCTAAGCATGTTCTTCTTTATCTAATCCACAACTACAAAATAAAACCTGATTTCTTCACTTAAATAAGTCTATGTCTTAGCTCTCTGGCTCAAAGTCAAAGGGTCCCAAGAAAAAGCATCCTAAAGTCTAAAGACATATCGAACATATTGTGAACCAATATGATTAAAGTGAAAGAATCTAAACAGAACTAACTGCATGCAAGACATTTATGAAAAGAAAAGTAAGAAATATGCTCACAAACAAAACCAGCGTGGTCGATGGATCGCTCCCAACTTGAATCACCTTATGTTGAACATAACATCAAACAACCACGAACACGTAAAACTGAAGAATTTCATTCTTATCACACTCGGGATATAAACCATAGTTTCAGAACCGATTTTGAAAGTTAACAAAAAAAAATGACTTAGAATCCAAACCTACTCGCCATTTCATTTCATTAACTCAAAGAGACTCCAATAAGTTTAGGTAGATCATCATTAACAGAGACGGTCAAAGACTAAGACCGGATGCTCCCAGTTCAGATAAGTTTCAGCCTAGACATATCACAAGTCAATGGTCAGGCAATGAAGTATCGAGACTAAATGGTAAGAGATGCACATGCTTATCTTGCAATGCCTTAAGATAGTTAGATTGGAAAACAAGGCTTTGTTGGTCAAGTGTAAATTTGTAGTATATCTAATGGGCTGGAGACTCCATATCTGTTTGGGCTTCAACAAACACTAATATGAATAGTAGAAAACATTCCGACCAAGTACTATCAGTTGCTGTCAGGCTGCCACGGTATCATAGAATACGACCTTAGCTGGTGCACGACAGAGTACAACCGTTCGTGCCACAGGTAGTTTGGTTGAGCCACGATTGTGCGAGCAGGGAACAATAGGTAGCTGTTATGGGCCCAATATGACAAATGATTTGGAGAACTGGGCCAGTTTTATGTGGGTCCCATGCTTCTGATTTTTTTTGTCGTCTTGCGAATGTTGCCTAGTCTGATGACTCAGATCCTAGTTCGAGTTCCGAATGATGTGGGTCTCAAAAACTCGACCTGACTGCTTTTTGTGGTCCACGTACTAGTAAATCATGCAGTTTCGAATATGTGTTCTATACTTCTATGTGATTAAATAAACATGTTATTTACCTTTTAAGTTTTAACAATGTCACTTTTTTGTTTTTCCTGATTAAATAGAAAAAAAAAACACCTTTAGTTTGATTGTATATTTGAAAAGTGTATAGATCATGCAAAATGCATGATGTTGTTGGCCAAGGGATACAATAATGGAACCCGAAAAGCACTCAGGGCAGAGTCATTTGATTCCTGGACGAACGATGTCCATCAAAACTATTTATAATTTTCTCTTCTTCCTGAAATGGAATAATAATATTGTTCTAGTTTATTTTCTTAAATCTATCGTCTGATTCTCGTTATAGTTTACACACGTAAAGTCGATAATTAAGGAACACACTTTTGAATGTACAATAGTTATGTCCAGTGTTAACTTATCTAAGGGAGCCAAAAGCACTTACTCTAACACCGAACTCCCATTTAATTTAGTCACATTGAATTTTAACGGTCACGAATGATATAGTTGTATTGGATAGTGAGAAGCACAATCGGTGCCCTGCAAAATCTTTGTTCTAATGTTTTGTTAATCATAGGGAATCAATCTGAATAATTACAGAATAATTACAGAACAAGGTAATCAAAGGGAATCAATCTGAATAATTACAGAATATATGATTACGTGATTTATGTGGTGAGTTTCCTATTCTATCAAGTTAGACCACAGAAGTTAGAATGGTCCGTCACACAGGCGATCCAGACGCTACCTTTCTATATAAGGCCAAACACTGCACCATGATTTCTGACCTTCTTTCTTCACCCCTCTCTCCTAATCAAATATCGTTTCGTCCTGATTCCATTTGCTATCGATAATTCGAAAATTCTCGTGATTATAACAATGAATTCGTATTATGCTGGTTATTTCGACAGCGACGAGCCACACTTTCTAGAGTCTTGCTCCCTTTGCCGCAAAACACTTTCTCTTAACTCCGACATTTTCATGTACAGGTACACTTGTTCGTTAACTTTCGATCCAAACAAAGAAACAATTTTTTCTTCAAAGTCAGATCTCGGATCTGTGTACTGTCATTAACGCTTGTCAATTCCCATGAATTTTTTGGAAAACCCGTGAATGCTATTTGAACAAAGAACTTACCATTTAATATGTATAGTACTAATTTATTTCAATAAGGTCTAGTCTTTTTTTTTTTTGGATTTGATCATTTGATCTTGTGCTGATTGATTTCTGGTTCAAAAATTTCCAGAGGGGACATGGCATTTTGTAGCCAAGAGTGTAGGCAAGAACAGATTGAGTCTGATGAAAGTAAAGCCAAGAGCTGGAGAGAAACGTCATCTTCGTCCAGATCATCTCTCCGGAAACAGTCCGATACAAAAGATTCCGTCGCGGGCAAGACCGTACGGACAGAAACACTAGTCATGGCTTAGTTTTATTACATTTGTAAGTTCGGATGTGAAACTTGAGAGAAAGAGAACGGAGAAGCCGGACTAGTTTTATTTGGCTGTGAAGTTTTTATTCTCTCTAGCTACTACTTTTTGGTTTTGGTTTCTCCATGATAATAAAAGTTTCTTCTCGATTAAATGGGCTTCTACCGAAACAGTTGACCCAATGAGGCCCAATATTCGTCCACCGTTTTGTTTCTTTTCTTGTATCATAAGTTGTCAAAGCCATAAAGACTCATAACAACTATACAAAAGATCCAAGAGTTCTACTTGCTAGATACGGAAACGTGTTTCATGATTTCAAGGTAAAATAATTAAGTCTGTCAGTGAAGCAGCTTAATACTCCCAAAAAGCAAATTCTTATGTACACAATAAAGTTAAACCCACCTAATTGGTCACAGAAAGAGATCACCTAACTTTCTACTAAGAGCAGCTTATGTTTTGTACACAACGAATCTGCTAAGTCGTAGCTAAACGCCGAAATTACCTACCTAACTATATGGACCAACAATGCGTATATATTCGTTCAAAATGTAGGATTTGATAGACCACCTTAATTTTGTGTATAAAACGGTTGACGAAAAACAACTACAAATCAATCATCCAATAATTAGATATCCAAAACAACAGATACATACAAAATTGCCGTCAAAACCAATTACGATTCATTAGTTAAACTCAAAACATACCATAAATGAACCCATATCATATGCATTTGTATGTCTACTTTTTGGTGAGGATTCACTGTTTCGTACTTTCATTCTAGAAACACTTTTACATTTTCTACTTACTATTTCTCTTCCTTATAATCTTCTAAAATCATTTTTTTTTATAAAGTAGAATTACAATTGTAATGCCAAATACGAAAGTTTTGATTCTTTTTCCACACGTGTCGTCATTTGATAAATAATAAATTGTTACATGTCGTCTTCGTATTTAATAACAGTATTTTCAATTTATTTATTTCTCAATTGAGCATTTTTTTCGTGTTTGGTGATCCCACGCATTCTCTAAACAAAAAGGAATAACTTTCAATTAAAACGACATTTTCTAAATTCTCCAAAACGATGAAAATTATAATTCGATATTCTTTTCTAAAAAAATATATTTGTGTTGATAATTTGTAACGAACAGTTCAGTTTCTTCGCGATCTCCTGAAACCTCTATTTTGATATGTTCTTTGCATTGACCGGAACAAAGTTTTAGCTACAAGAGTAACTTTGTTAATTATCCATTTAACCCCCGAAGTTCAAGTTATTTACCATCTCGGTCCTTACCAGACTCTTTCACTACACCAATCTCTAATTATTATTTTGCTTAATTTCGCTCTCTCTTTTTTTTCCTTTTCTACTACTCTTCATCTCTTCTCTCCCCGTCTTTTCTTCGTCCTATAATCATGTCCGTCCAATAAAACCCTAATTTTATCTTCCCTGCGTCGTTTCACTCCATTACAGAGCTGTAGAATTAGCTTGAGAAAGGGTGAAGATTAGGGTTTGTTATAGATGTCCTACAATCAATCAAGGTCCGACAGAAGCGAGACTCAATATCGGAGAACTGGTCGATCCGCCGGCTACCAGCAGCAACAACAACCACGATCCTCCACCGCCGGTTACGGTAGGGGTGCCGGCGCAGGAACTGCGCCACCCCCTTCCACTTCCGTTGATTCTTCCTTATCCTCTAATCGCAGGTATTCAAATCAAATTCAATGAGTTTTTCATTTTTTTTCTCTCTTCTTCTTCTTCTAAATCAGAGGATTTTCTTAATCAAATTTCGACCCTTTTTTGGTATTTATGGCAGTTTTAAGAAGCCTGGCAATGCCCAAGGAGGAGGGCAGCCTCGGGTGAATCTGCCGCCGGTGAATCATTCAGTTTCTAACAATCACAATGGTCCCAGTCCCAATGTACAGTCTCGCTCTCAAGGTATGATTTTATTATTATGAATTGGATATTGATCAGATAATTTCGATGTGATCGTTTCGTTTAGCTCACTTTTCTTATACTGTTTAGTTACAGGAGCGTCTGGTGTACCGGTTATCGGCGGAACCGCCAATCCATCCACCGGAGCTGTTCCAAAGGCTCAGTCTCCCGCCATGAATTCTAAGATCAACGAGACGCCGAACACAGCTAAAGGTAAGGTTTTTTTTTAAGAGCGTGACTGGATTGTCCTGTTTAAACATAAATGTGGAGGATTTATAATGTTTTTGGTGTGGCAGCTCCTGGAGATCCTTCTAAAGCAGCATTTGCTTTCCAATTTGGGTCAATTGCTCCTGACTTAATGAAGGTATGCTGCTGTTTCTTCCCCTTTGTTTGTTTGTTTGATTTGTCCATCAACACCTAAATCAATCTGCCCTATTGGTGTTTTATTTAGATTCCTGCTCGAACTAGCTCAGCACCTCCCAATATGGATGAGCAGAAACGTGCCCAGGTCCACCTTTTTAGTATTTTGCCTCTGCCATTAATGGCGTTATTGTCTTGAATTGAGATGTGTTCTGGCCTGTTGCTATCTACTGGAAATTAACATGACATGATGATTTGTATTCCACTTGTTGCTCAACTTTTTGTAACAATCACTCATTGTTTTGCAGATGCAACAATCTTCTTTAAGAACAGCAGCGCAGAATTTGCCAGCTTCTGTACCGAAAAAGGATCTACCAAATAAGGTTGCAGATACTCAGCCGATGAGGAAAGAGGTGCACAATCCACCGAGTGAAAAAGCTGATGTCCAAGTTCAACATATATCCCCTCCAAGCCAAACGCAGAAGGCTCCAATTACAAACATCCGTATGCCTTCGGTGCAGACACCTTACCAGCATGCTCAGGTTCCTCACCCTGTGCATTTTGGTGGCCCGAATATGCACATGCAGCCTCCCAACGTGACTGCAACCTCGTTTCAGATGCCAATGCCTATGCCATTAAATATGCAAAATACGCCTCAGATTCAGCAACAGTTGTTTTTTCAAGGTCTCCCATCACATCCGGCGCATCATCCGGGTTTGATGCATCAGGCACAGGGACATGGTTTTGCTACTCCGATGGGTGCTCAGATTCATCCTCAGCTAAGTCACGTGGGTGTGGGTATGAGTCCGCAGTATCAACAACAGCAAGGAGGAAAATATGGTGGGGCACGTAAGACAACACCTGTCAAGATTACTCATCCTGATACACATGAGGAGCTGAGGCTTGATCGACGTGGTGACAAACATCCAGATGGCGAGCCAGTGGCTTCAAAACCACATCCTAGCACACCTCCCAGATCACAGCCAGTTTCATCATTCGGGCCACGACCGGTTAATTTGGTGCAAACCTCATTTAACTCCAATCCTATAATATATCCTCCGGTTTCTGTACCCTTAAACAATGGTCCAATGTCAGCTAATCAGGCACCCAGATATCAGTTCCCAGTTATTGATGGGTCCCAGAGAGTACAATTTACCAACCAATCTGGCCACGCCGCTCCACAGCTTATCAGACCCGCAGCTCCTGCACATGCTTCACTTGATTCTTCTTCCTCTGTGAAAGCACGTGATGCCCAAAATGTGATGTCTTCTGTTCCACCTGCAACTGCCAAGATAACAACAAAGCCAGCTGCTGCTTCTGAAAAGCTTGGATCACCTAAAGCCAGGTCACATGAAGAAGTTAACGTTGCTCTGTCACAAAAGGACGTGGAGGCAGGTTCATTGAGCTCTTCACAGCAGCCTAAACCTAGCTTTGTCTCTGCGGTCTCAAATTCGTCTGCTCAGCCAGCGAAGTCATCTGTGGAGACAGCTTCAGCTGCAACAACTGATATCAGAGAGGTATGGTAATGTGTTTTGTTTTTAGGTATTCTTTCATTAGTTTCTTTTTTAATAACCTGATAATATTACTTTGTTTTTTGGCGTTGCTTCACCCAGGATCATGGACAGACTAAGCCAGAGCCTCTGGTTTCCGATCCTCGTCCTCCTTCGAGCGGTTTAACTCCAGTGACAGAAACCGTTGCTGCTAAGGGAAATTCATCACTTCCAGCTACCAATGGGTTTAGGAAGCAAGAAATGGAGGCGTCTCCTACGTCTGATGCAAAAACTACGGAAGGGCAAAGCCATGTCTCATCAGAGATCTCTGGTTCTTCACCGCAAGAGAAAGACCTAAAATCTGATGAGCGGACTGTTTCTGCCGAGCAAGTTGAAAGGCCTGTAATTTCTGATGAGAAACACGAAACAGTATCAGGTGAGCCTGAGAAGACGCAGAATGAGGTTGATGGTGCTACAGACATCGGTCCAGACTCTGTAAAATCAGCTGAAGTTACAGATGATACGAGCACCGGACTTCCACATTCTACTGAAAATTCTGGCGATAGTTTGACAGCTGCCCCAGCTACTCTTTCCAAGGATAAATCTGCATTTGAGACGAACACAAGAAGAAATACTTCTTCCAAAGGAAAGAAGAAGATCAAAGAAATTCTTCAAAAAGCAGATGCTGCGGGAACAACATCTGATCTGTATATGGCTTACAAAGGGCCTGAAGAAAAGAAAGAGATAGCAATGCCCTCAGACGGCTCAAATATTGTTCATGATGTTTCAAACCAGAAGTTGGAACCTGGCCTACCTCAGGCTGTCGCTGAAGCCACCGTTGATGCTGAACCAGTGAAAAATGAACCGGAAGACTGGGAAGACGCAGCCGATGTTTCTACACCAAAGCTGGAAACTGAAAAGAGAGGTTCCTCGGATGAGGTCACAGACAGCTGCAGCAATACGGAAAAGAAATACTCCCGCGATTTCCTCCTTAAGTTTGCAGACCTGTTTACTGCTCTCCCTGAGGGCTTTGACGTTTCGCCTGATATTGCTAATGTCTTGATGGGTGCGTCTCCTCATGAACATGATTCATATAATACCCCTGGAAAGGTTATGGATCGCCAAGCAAGTGGTGCTCGATCAGATCGTCGTCCCAGCAATATGGTTGTTGATGATAGATGGACGAAGAATCAGGGTTCTCTTCCTGCAGGACATGCAGGTAACGTAGGTTTCCGACAAGGTCAAGGAGGAAATTCAGGAGTTTTAAGAAACCCTCGTATGCAGGGACCGATTATGTCTAGACCGATGCAACCTGCGGGTCCTGTGGCAGGAATGTGGCAGCGTGGTTCAAATTTCCAACAAAAAGGTCTTTTTCCTTCTCCGCATGCTCCTATGGCGGTGATGCACAAAGCCGAGAGAAAATACCAAGTGGGTACAGTTGCAGATGAAGAACAAGCAAAGCAAAGGCAGTTAAAGGGCATCTTGAACAAGTTGACCCCGCAAAACTTTGAGAAACTGTTTGAGCAAGTGAAAAGTGTCAACATTGACAACGCTGTTACACTTACTGGTGTCATCTCACAGATATTTGACAAAGCCTTGATGGAACCTACCTTCTGTGAGATGTATGCCGATTTCTGTATGCATCTGTCTGGGGCGTTACCTGAATTAAATGAGAATGGTGAAAAGGTTACCTTCAAAAGGTTGCTTCTCAATAAATGTCAGGAAGAATTTGAGAGAGGGGAGAAAGAAGAGGAGGAAGCCAGTCGAGTTGCTGAAGAAGGACAAGTAGAACAAACCGAGGAAGAAAGAGAAGAAAAGAGACTCAAGGTTCGAAGGAGAATGCTTGGTAATATTAGACTTATTGGTGAGTTATACAAGAAAAGGATGTTGACTGAGAAAATCATGCACGCGTGCATCCAGAAGTTGCTCGGGTTTGATCAGGATCCACATGAAGAGAACATCGAAGCTCTGTGTAAACTAATGAGTACGATAGGAGTTATGATCGATCATCAGAAAGCTAAGGCCCCTATGGATTCCTATTTTGAGAAAATGAGACAGCTATCATTGAAACAAGAGTTGTCTTCTAGGGTGAGGTTCATGTTGATTAACGCCATCGATCTGAGAAAGAACAAATGGCAAGAAAGAATGAAGGTTGAAGGGCCAAAGAAAATTGAGGAAGTACACAGAGATGCTGCACAAGAACGCCAAACTCAAGCTAACAGGCTGTCACGCGGACCCTCGATGAATTCGTCAGCAAGAAGAGGGCATATGGAGTTTAGTCCTAGGGGAGGAGGAGGAATGCTATCACCTCCAAGTGCCCAAATGGGTGGTTATCATGGACCACCTCAAGGTCGTGGCTATGGTAATCAGGACATTAGGTTTGATGAAAGGCCAACCTATGAGCCTAGGATGGTTCCAATGCCTCAGAGGTCAGTAGGTGAGGAGCCTATAACCTTGGGTCCCCAAGGTGGTCTTGGTCAGGGAATGTCTAGAAGGCCTGCAGTATTAAATACTATGCAGTCTGATGCTACTCATGCCGGTGGTGGAGATTCCAGGCGACCGTCTGGTAGTTTAAATGGTTTTGGCGCACAGAGACCTGCAAGTCCTGCTACTCACGGACGGTCAAGTCCTCAAGAGCGTGGAGCAACTTATGTTCACAGGGAATTTTCTCGTGCTTCTGATCCGTCACCAGAAGTTTCATCTGCTAGGCAAGTACCTCAAGGGCCAACGTCATCAGTGAACAGCCCTCGAGAAAATGTTTTGTCCGAGGAACGGTTAGAGGATATGTCCTTGTCTGCCATTAAGGAATATTACAGGTACTTTATCTTTCCTTTCCGTCTGGACATTTGTTTTGTTCATCTCATGGTCATCGGATACTGCTACATTTAGCATATCACTCTGTGAAAACCTGCCTAGGGACAGTTAATTTCGTAATTTCTCGAAGTAAATGGGTCCTTTATCCAAACTAAATGGTAGAAGGAGAGGTGGTCATTGTTCCTTGATACATAAATGGTGAAAACTTGACTGCTATGTTCCACATGCGATTGTTTAAAAGTCTTTCCCTTTTTTAACTGATTGTAGTGTTGTGTTGTTAGTTTCTATAATCTTTTTGCCAAGTGCTGCTAGATCATCCTGTTTATAAGTTTGAATGACTGTGTTCTTGTCCAGTGCCCGAGATGAGAAGGAGATAGGTTTGTGCATGAAAGACATAAATTCGCCAGCTTTTCACCCAACAATGATTTCTCTGTGGGTTACTGATTCTTTCGAGAGAAAAGACAAAGAGAGAGATCTCTTAGCAACGCTCCTTGTTAACCTCGTGAAATCTGCTGACAACGCCTTAACCGAAGTCCAACTAGTGAAAGGGTAAGTAAAATTTGAAACCAACAAATTTTCTAAGTTGTCGTCACTATTTAATGATAAAAACATGTTTTGTTTTTTTTTTTGGTTTGGACAGGTTTGAATCAGTTTTGACAACCCTGGAGGATGCGGTAAATGATGCACCAAAAGCAGCAGAGTTTCTTGGGAGAATCTTTGGTAAAAGTGTGACAGAGAAAGTAGTGACATTGACAGAGATTGGTCGGCTAATCCGTGAAGGAGGAGAAGAAGCAGGAAGTCTAATAAAGTTTGGACTGGGAGGTGATGTTCTTGGGAGTGTTTTGGAGATGATCAAGACCGAAGCAGGAGAAGAAGCTTTGGTGGAGATTCGCCGGAGCTCAGGTCTGAAGATTGAAGATTTCAAACCTCCTGCACCTAACCGGTCTAAGATATTAGAGAAATTTACTTAGGAACAAAAACTAAAAACGGAACCATCTTTTCGGGGTTCCGTTCTTCTTTTTTTCTCTCTTTAAAGTCCTCTTTTTTCAAGTGCTTCAACAAAACTAATTTGTTAAAAAAAAGGAGTTTCTCTACTTTATTATATAGCAAAAACCTTCCAAAAATTTTCATTTATTTTTATAGTTTATATATTCAACCTCTTTCGTCTATATTGATTTTAGTTTTAACCTGAATTAAAAATCTGCAAAACCGAGCTAAAATTTTGATCTGCAAAAGTCGATCAAACTTGTCATTTTCGTGTTTTATTCTGATTTTGCACAAGGAAGGCTGTCTTCATAATTGGACATTTGCACTAATATAAGAGCCCAAATGTTATGGGCCCAATTATAAATGAGGCCCATTATAGAGAGAAAAATGAATGCCCTAATGTTATTCGTATATATAAATAAGAGGTTTTTGCTCAAACTGTCTCCGAGTAGCTTCACTTTAGGGTTTCTTATCTTCGGAGCGGCGTTCATCCTCCAATCTCCCAAATGGTGAGAGATCTCTCTTTCTTCTTCGTTATTGTTCTTCCGTTTGGTTAATTCGTTAGGAATCTGCTTCTTACTGTCTCGTTCTAGTTCTCGTTTTGAATTCCAAGTTTCGAGATGCACTGATTAGCTTATTATTCGGATAAAAATCTGGGTTGCATTTGACTGAATCGCTCTGTCCTCTTTGTCTTTGTTCCACAGGCGAAGAGAACAAAGAAGGTCGGAATCGTCGGGAAATACGGTGAGTTTTCTGAGTTGATACTCGCCTATGTTAATAAACAGCTATATGAAATAGTCTAGGTTGATAAATCTGTAGAACGATCTGATACGAAGATTAGACGTTTCTGAAATTTGCTTGATCAAAGTTGCTTGTGTAGTTTGAAACACTATGTTTAGTAGCCTCGTTCACATCGAATATGGATTAGATCAGTCTTATCTTGTCTCGACTTGCACATTTGACATTTTGCAATTGATTCGTCATGATTCCTTCAGCTTATGTTGCTACTTCTTCTTCTATCTAATATTCTGGACTTCCCTTTCTAATAGTGAAGCGATTGCTATGAATGTCAGGAACACGTTATGGAGCGAGTATCAGGAAGCAGATTAAGAAGATGGAGGTCAGCCAGCACAGCAAGTACTTCTGCGAGTTCTGCGGAAAGGTAAAATCATCACACTTTTTTTTTTGTGTGAATCAAACTTGGTTCAAAACTTCAAATCAGATTGTAACCATGGTTTTGAATTTGATAATGGCTGCAGTTCGGCGTGAAGAGACAGGCTGTTGGAATCTGGGGATGCAAGGACTGTGGAAAGGTCAAGGCCGGTGGTGCTTACACAATGAAGTAAGTATTGCGTTTATATAATTCCGCTATTTAGTTTTATTAATCTAATAATCCATGATAATGTTTTTCTGATGAACTCTGTTGGTTTGTAAATTGCAGCACTGCGAGTGCAGTCACCGTTAGAAGCACAATCAGGAGGTTGAGGGAGCAGATTGAGGGTTAATTCTGCTGAAAGCTTTTTTATCTATTGTCTCTTCTATGTTTTTGACAATTGTGTTTTGGAACAATATGCTGTTGGTTTTTGAATCAAGTCAAGACGTTATTACATTTAGCCTTGAAGCATTGTTATATTCGAGTTTATCAGTTGCTTTATAAATTTCCCATTGTTCATTTCTTCAACTTGATTCATATTGTTTAAACCATTATGCTCTTTTAACTTAATAAATCGATTATCTTCAAGTCGATATCTATAACCGGTTTAAAACTATACTGATTTGGATGAGAATAGTCAATCGATATCTTCTTCATCTTAATACCTTCAAGGCTGTAACTAGTTTTAAATCCTTACATATCGTTCTAATGCAAAATCGTAACTGAAGTTTCGTTAAAAGATAGGATTTCTAATACTCTCTCAAGTCGATATCTTCATCTTAATACCGATAATGCTGTAAGCCTGTAACTAGTTGAAAGTCTAGACATTTGTTATAATGCATAATCGTAATTGAATTTTCATTAAGATAGTTTTTCTAGTACAAAATGTTAACTGAATTTGCAACGTTTTCTACTTCAGGCATCTTAAATTCGGTCGAATACTTGAATTTCATTTAATCCATCACAAGAACCGAAGCACTCGCTGCATTAGAGGCAATAGGCTGAGAATTTGATCTAGACGCAAAAGTAAACAAAATTGTGTGTCTTTTCAACCAAAGATCAAGGCTTTTGCGATTACAAGTTTTCTTGGAACCTCGGGAGATCCAACGTCCAACTTCATTTTAGCTCTCTCATCCTCTACACAATGATTGATTGATTTGTATGCCCCATTCAAACCGTAGCTATCTATCGTTACTCATTTGCTCATCCGGATGCAAAAACCGAGCCATCGCCGTTGAGAATGCAGCTCTCACTAGCATCAATCATGGTTTGTGTACCTTAAAGCCAAAGATCCTCGGGACATAGTTCTGAGTCGGTTTCTGCGGCTTCAAGTTCCCGTAAGTCATCAAGAACAAGTGAGGGAATGTGGTTCCAAAGTATGCTCCATCAATATCTGCACAAATCATTTAAGGAAGACACTAAGATACAATAACCACTGACATGTCACACAGTCACAGTCACACACTGCTGCATTTAAACAACAAGCTTAGATTGAATCAACTGAAAGCAAAATTTGGTTCTTGAAATTGAGAAAAAGGATACTGCCTTGGAATTTAGATCGAGGGTAAGATATGTCTTCGCATTTTGGGCAGTATATCTTCACAGTACTCGATCTCGGTACGTCGGATTGTCCAACCGGAAGACAAGATTGTCCACAACAGAAGACTCTCGGGCATCTCCCGAAATCGCAGTTCTTATACTTCTCAGTCTACACAGAGATTGTTAACAAGAGATGTTGTTAAGCAAACGAAGAAGTTATAAGCACAAAAACAAACAAGCACTGAGAGTAATAAGAAACTCTAACCATTGCAGCCATTCCTTTGGTTGTCAAAATGTAACGAACATGAATCAGACCATACAACATCTCAGCAGCTGATTCCACCATCTCATTCTGTTCTTCAGTAAACATCTCACCTAAATTCCCCCAAAAAGATAACTAGATTTCAGACGAAAGTTTCTAACTTTACTTGCTCCAAAGAAGAAGAAGAAAGGGATCACTTACTGTTTGAAGATTCAACATCTAAGATGAGATCAAGTGCGTAGTCGTAGTAAGGCACTTGACCACTTAGGCCACAGAGATTGAAATCGTCTTGTATATAATCCTCATCGACTTCACAGAAGAAATCATTGCCTCTCAAATTACAAAACCACGAGATCCACGATGTATCATCACCTTCCGATCCACTCACATCAGACCCTTCACTATCAGTGTCCGATTCCACTGCCCAAAAACCAAACAGTGAAAATTTCAGAAAAAATATGAAATTAACTACCGAAATTGCAAAAACACACTCTTAGATGCCAACGAAATTACCATCGGGAAGCTGAGATTTAGCGGTGGAGGCCAAGGAAAAGGGATCTTTGTCTTTAGAAGCGAAAGACCTAGATGTGGAAGGTGAAGACTTCTCTAGCTTCTTGTTGAGTGTGTCGTTGATTCGTTTCCGATCAATAGCTCCGCCGAGGATATCCGATCTCGACGACCCACCACCTCCTCCTCCTCCATTCCGTTCCTTGTACATAATTCGATGCCTCGAGAAAATAATAGAATAAAATAATCGAGCTGAGGTCTCGGACTTTCTGAAGAGACAAGCCTGAGAGAAAGCAAAGGAGAGAGACGGAGAAAATTAGGGTTTTCTTTTTAGGAAAAAAAATAAAATTAATTTTGGTCACAGAGTGGAGGACAGGGCATAGGACATGTAAAGATGGTCTCTTCTTCTGTTTTTCATTATTTTTTTCTCTTTTGTCTGCCTAAATTCCATTTTTTTTATTGGCAAAAAATATCATTTTACATTGGGCTTCTCGAATTAGGTCTCGGCCCAAATAATACCCCTAGATACCAAATTATTACCATTTCTCTATATTAGTACGATACATATGGGTCTAAAACATGGTTTTGTAGGAACCATCTCAATTGATTCCAAGTTCCAGCAGTCGACCAAAAAGGATGGGCCACGTGTATGGAGGAAATCAGTAAATCGTGACAACATATCACGAAGTTTTCCGGAATTAGCTGTTAATACTATAAAATATGCTGGAAGATGCATTGGTGGTCAATGGCGTTAGACCGGAAGGTCACCGAATAATCAATATATCACGTAAACATTAAGAAAAGTGGTTAAATTATGAATTAAGAATTGTAGCATTTGGATAAATAAAATAAAAATCGGACATGAAGAGCACGAACTGAACTTTATACAAAATCTTGGGTTAGATCATGTGTTCAGTATCTGAAGATACTCGAGCTTGTCGTGGTGTGGTGCGCGACTTTGCATATATAACTTGTATATTATCATCAGTAACATCCAGCTATCCAAGTACGTGTTCCTAAACAATAGTTTAAAATAGCGAAACTTATGTTGTCTTAGAAAATCATTACTTTGCAGATTCTTGACAACCTGAGCTTTGCTTTTAAAAAGATCTAAAGTTCTTTTGTTTATTTATTAATACTACAAAATATGGATTTTTGGATGTGTATACTTGCATGTGCATTAGACATCAATGATTTCCTTCTTCAGATGTAAACTACACAATTCATACTCGAATTTGGGTTTCTTCACACGATCGGAGAGTCTACAAAGTGTATTATGATCTCTTATTGGTTTGTGTTTAAATAAGTTCGCATTACATATTTAAACTTTTGTGATTCATGTTCATGATGTACATTGTATATACTTCACAAATGGGTCTAATGCACATGTAAGTATATCATAAATTTTGGGATCTAGGAACAATTTTTGCAAAACGGAGCCTTTGTCGGACAAAGTAGTCATGCCTCGTTCATTACATTGACTTTGACAATTCCCAAGTTTTACATTTTTGTAAATTACTCCAAGATTACTCAAAGAGCATTTTTATTTAAAGAGTATTTTTATTGCATTCAAAGCAGAGATCTAATAATTGGACGTGTTAATAATTGAATGCCTAATCACACGAACAAAAAAAAAGGCAATTTACACGCGGGTCGGCTATAGTTAAACCATACCGGTCATAGTATTGGCCCACGCCTCATGAATTTGTCGTCCCAACGAGACCGGGATCGCACTCATGTGATTAGGCTTTGTAAGACAACATTATTACTTCTACAAGCTAGTCTATATACGTATTCAAATTCGATACTATCGTTTCTTCGTTTTTGTTAAAGTACATTTTGGTGTATTATAAAATTTAAACAAGAAAACCAGATTAAAAGTGGATTTTGTTAGATTTACTTTCTTTTCGACAATGCAAATATGAATCCGCATTTTCCATAATTAAAGCGCCATAACATGCAGATACAAGTGCCAAAATCGCTAATCAGTGCAATCATATAAATTTAAGATCACAATTAGCATAGAAAAAGGAATTCATCAATTATTTTTAAATTACTTACTGATAATCATTATATCCGTGTATATTTTTCGAATTATGTTACAACAAGATTAAACATCAGAAGAAAACAGAAACGAGAACAAGATGCTTAAAATTAGAAGATTTAGAAAATAAATGAAAATCAATCAGAAGATTGTCGTTGACGCTCGACTTAAATAGCGATGACCGCACGAGCACGAGTCTTCCATCTACGTTACGATGGCTTCATAGCGACTGTTGCACACGCGCGAGATCCTAGGCCGGCCACTTTATACCATTCAACTAAATTGATTGAAAACTATAATCCTCCATTTTCTTCTTTTCTTAAACCCAGAAACAGAAACGGCCGAATCTCTACTGATTCCGTCGTCTGATAAGCCAAATCGCCGCCTAAACTCAGGCGACACTTGGTAGATCTGACACCCTAACTGTTTCGATCATTTCCGGCGGTAATCACATAATCATTTTCTCGATTTTTCATGATTTGGATAAGTTTTGTAGTTCGCATTGCGTCTATGTCGATCAGATTCTGATACATTTCTTTTTGGTTTCTGCATTTGATTGTAGCAGTTTAATCGAGGTAAAGCGGAAGGAGGGAGAGATGGATGATAGAGGAGGCTCGTTCGTAGCAGTCAGGCGGATTTCGCAAGGTCTAGAGCGTGGAAGCGTTTACCATTCTTCATCTGGTAATTTCAATCACTCTCAATTCATGTTTTCTACATCACGACGCTTTTTTTTGCTTTCCTTCTTCGTATGGAACAAACGCGTTTTCGACTCTATAACAATGACCTCTCACTTTATCTATCTTCTCTATTTCTCTCTCTTCGCTGGCGGTTGCTTTGTTTTACGCGATTTGGTGTCGCAGATCTATGATTCTGCGATTTGCGTTTATTGCTCTGCTGATAAACTTGTTGAGTGATGTGTGTGGATCTTCTATGTAAGTGCTATTTTTTGTATCGATTGATCTCTTTTACGGATGTTCCAAAAAAAATTATCTGCAGATTTAGTCGCCTTACACTTCTCTCGCACACTGAATTACTAGTTTGTTTTCATGGAGCATGTTGCTGAATCTTTGCTTTCGTTAGCTGTTTCATTGCTTCCGTTCTGAGTGTGAATTTGTGAAAAAGAGGAAGCTAATCGATTGAATAGTTTTCCATTATTCTCATCCTTCTGTATTTGGAGAAGTCTGATGTTTAAACTGAGAGTTGTTGTATGATTCTCACGTATTGTAGAGACATTTAATATCGTATTTGTATCTTCGAAGCTATAAAAGTCAGCTCAAAGATGTTTGACTAAGTCACTCTCTTTTATGAGCAATCAATTATTAACGAAGACATCCGAACAACTACAATTTTTTATTTTCTAATTGCAGCTGAGGTTGTGGCTGGATCGGCAGCATGGTTAGGCCGTGGACTTTCCTGTGTTTGTGCTCAGGGAAGAGATGGTGACTCTCGTCCTTCAATTGATCTAACACCTGCTCAGGTACACACTTTTCTCTCTTTTCTTGGTTACTGTACGCTGATGGTTTTGCTTTTACTCTCTTATAAGTCGACTTCCGGCCAGTGTAGTGTTTATCAAATAGCTTATAACTTCTATCTTTATTCGTCAATGCTTGCAGGAGGAATGCCTCCAGAGGCTGCAGAACCGCATTGATGTTGGCTATGATAGCTCAATACCTCAGCATCAGGTATGTTTTCCTTGATGGTTGTGTTTGTAAGGACTGCTCACAATGAACTTTTGCCACCAAATGAATGATAAATCAAACTGTCATAAAGTTATCGGTTGCTATTTCATATGCGTGTAGGAAGCCCTGAAGGATCTTTGGAAACTTGCCTTTCCAGAAGAAGAGCTACACGGAATTGTATCTGAGCAGTGGAAGGAAATGGGTTGGCAGGGAAAAGATCCATCAACAGATTTTAGGTATGTCACTTCTCATTTCATTGCCATTTTTCTTAGATTTTTCCACTTCAGTCGACTCACAGTACAGCATCTGACAGGGGTGGTGGTTTCATATCTCTTGAAAACTTGTTGTATTTCGCTAGGAGTTTCCCGGTACGCTTTTATAAACAGTTGCAAAAAAATTGTCTTTTCATTAAAATGTTTAATTCCGTTGAAACTGTATCTGTACTCGTTTTCATATGTTGCCACCACATAATGATTTGATATTTTAATCCGGTCACTCAATTCTTGATGCCACTTGTTTGTTGCCTGCAGAAATCCTTCCAGGACCTTCTGCGGAAGCAAGTTGGAGATCGCTCGGTGTGGGAATACCCCTTTGCTGTTGCTGGCATCAATATAACATTCATGCTCATCCAGATGCTTGACCTTGAAGCAGGTACATGCACATTTATTAATTTCGGTGATTGCATTTGCATAGATGTTCCTCTGTGAACATGCATTAAGCAGCTAGCAAAAAATAGCAGAAACACTCCTAGTTAGGCACCGCCTTTGATACTTATTTTACCCAGTTTGAGATACTCAGGTTCAGTAACACTATCCTAATTGTGCGTACTAACAATAAACACCCTTCAACTTTACAGTGAAACCACGAAGTATTGTTGGGGAAACATTTCTCAGATTCCTTACTGGTAAGTCTCAGATGATACCGATTACATGTCATGACTCGTTTATTTATCACAAGTTAAGATTACTAAGTGTGTGTCCTTGGTCTTGTGTTTGTTTGCAGTAAACGAAGCTGCGTTTGACATTCTCTACTGCATTGCCTTCAAGCTGATGGATCAGCAATGGCTCTCCATGCGTGCTTCATACATGGAATTTAACGTAAGTACTGCTCTTACCTATCCTAAAGTTTTAGATTCAAAGACACATGGGTCTTATTTTGTCACCACATGAATAATGGTAATCGTGTGAAAAAAAACAGACGGTGATGAAATCAACAAGGCGGCAACTAGAGAGAGAGATTATGGTTGAAGACATAACATGTCTTGAAGATTTGCCATCATACAGTCTTCTCACTCAATAGCAAACAGCTTACCAGAGGCTTACTTTGTAAGTAGAAAAGATCTAACACCTCCAAAATCTCTATATCAAAGCCCTAAGACAACAAACAGAGCAAACAACCAAAAAAGAAGAAAAGGTTTATCTCTCTCCCTCTCCCTCTTCGCTCTTGCGATTTCCTTTACACTAGTGTTGGTTCCACGAATTGAAATTGTTGTTTTCTTTGAGGCAAGTTTCAGGTTTTTTTGTTTTTCTAACTTGTGGTGTAAAAACGTTGTTGGTTAGTTCGTTTTTGGGGCTAATAAATCATTTGGTTATACTTCCATTTTCCAGTATTGGGCTAATAAATCATAATAAACAGCACTAGGATCGGTCGGGTTAGCCCGGTCAAACAGTGACTGGTATATATAGCCACATAATCTACTTCTTATCAGTCGATATAATACTCTAATACAACCGGGTCTGGCTAGATGTGTATTTTACAGTAAGTCAAATGTAATGTAGCTGTTGGAAATAAATTTTGTGTTGGAAATATATAAAGTTGCGATGATTAGATCACAATGTTTACGACGGGTTAATTTTATATACTACGTCTCTTTCTTTACACGATTTGGTCTTCTAAATCACTCGAGGGCGTCCTCTAACGCTTCAATTTGGCGTAGATGTATCTCAACTTGTATTTCCTTTATTTATGTGACAATAAGAAAGTATCTATACAGTAATAAAGATATACACACAATAAGACATTATGGAAATGTTGTCAAAGAAATAAAGACATTATGAAAGTATATATATAGAATAATATTCTTATCTCACTGACATTCACCCTGTAAATTATCTCATCACACCGTACATCAACACCATCGCTACCCCAATCTTTCCATAGCTCATGATTCCCTTAGACGCCACGTTTTTTGCGTTCTCCACGTTTCCCGAAGATGGAGACGGCGATGGAGACGGCGACGGAGAAGGAGTGATGGGAGATGAAGCGAGTACGGGAACAGCGAGTTTCATGCCACCGAGGCAGTGACCAGGAGTAGGGCAAAGGAAGTGTATAGTTCCAACTCTCGTAAGATCGATCTTAGTGTCTCTGTTGGAAAACCTTTGCGTTGCTCTGCTACCATCGCAACCATCGAAGCCAGCTTTATCTACCACGAAGACCGCATGTGAAGGACCATAATTGAACTCTGATTGGTCAATACAAATAAAGAAAAAGAAAAAAAAACCATTAGCTTGTGAGAAGGTCAAAATCGGGTTTCTTGTAAATCAAGTAATCACTACCAACAACTTTTAACCTCAACGGTTATTAATTTGCTAGGGCGGAAACAGAGGTTTCTTATGAAGCAATTAATGAAACAACATTTTATATACCTAGAGTGTCACCGACTCTGAAAGTCTTTCCACCAACCCAAGTCGTGTAGTTGACACCAAAGTTCCAACCACCGGTATCGCCGACCTGGAAAGTCACCGCCAAAACGGTAGGGACCACGGCTAGGACGACGAGGAGGAGAGCGACGGCCACCGTTGATCTCATTGAGATATTTAATTGTATATGGAGAGATGAAGATAGAGAAAGGTATATATAGAGATCATGCGGAAGAGGCTAAAATGTGAGGTGAGTTATATAGAGAGAGTTGATTAATAAGAATGTTTGAAAATGTCATGGCTTGATTCGATTGCCAATTGAATTTATCAAGATCATCAGCTATTTACATATGTATTTGTTTTAAGCCCATTGTTATCATGTTTACCAATTCTTAAAAAAAAAAATCTTTGTATAAAATGATGAATTATCTATGTGCAAGTAGCTCAATTTTTTTCCTTCAATATATACTTTTAAATCATGACATGTAGGGAGGAATGATTTACTTCTATATATCACGTAATTTTGCAAGTTTGGGAATATCTACGAGACCCAATAAAGAATTATATAAATGAAAAATTCTCAATGAACAAGATAGATTCATTATACAAAAAGAGCAGGTGGTGGTGAAGTAATTTCAAAGACCAAGACCAAAAAAATATCGAGCACAAAAAGCTCTGTATCTCCACTGTAATTTAGGTCATGACACCGTACATCAATACGATCGTGGCCCCAATCATTCCATAGCTCATGATTCCCTTAGACGCCGCGTTTGGGGGCGGTGGAGGTGTCGACGGCTCTGACTCCGGCGTGGCGGAAGGAGAAGAAGGTGGCGGCGTTAATAGGTCTGACTCCGGCGTACCGGCCGGCGGAGAAGCAGATGGCGGTGGCGAACCTGTTTTGGGAGGGGGCGAACCGGTTTTTGGGGGAGATTTAGGGGAAAGCGGTGGAGAAGGAGGGGAAGATGATGGAGAAGGAGGGGAAGGCGGCGAAGAAGGGGTGGAGGGAGATGAAGCAGCGGCGAGGACGGTAACGGCGAGCTTCATGCCACCGGGGCAGTGACCAAAGATAGGACAAATGAAATGCATAGTTCCTACTGTTGTAAGATCGATCTTAGTGTCTCCATCGGAAAAACTCTGTGTCGCTCCACTACTGTCGCAGCTATCGTAACCGGCTTTATCCACCACGGAGACAGCGTGTGAAGAACCATATTGGAACTCTGACAGAATTAAATCAAAGCTTGTTAGGGCTAAACAACAACTGGTTTCTTGTAAGGCAAGAAATCCATATTAGCTTGTTACAGGGGAACATGTGTTTCTTGTGAAGCAGGTAATCTTAGTGGAGTGAAAAAAACAAGTATATTATTTACCTAGAGTGTCACCGACTCTGAAAGTCTTTCCAGTGACCCAAGCCGTGTAATCCATACCAGCGGTCCAGCCTGAAATATCGCCGACCTTGAAAGTCACGGCGAAGACGGCAGGGACTGCCGATAGGAGGAGGAGAAGAGAGGCCGCTACGGTTGATCCCATTGAGATAGAAAGAATGATTGTAAAGAGAGAGAGACAGAGGAAGAGATGAGATGAGTATAAAATTAATGGTGAGGTACGAGTTATATAGAGAAGCTATGAGGAGGACGATGACGACCACTAAGAGAGAGAGATAGTTTATAAACTGAATGTTTGAAAAAGTCATGGGCGCTTCAATTGCCAACTCTATATTATCAGCTGTTTTCTCATATATTTCTTTAAAATTCATTGTCTTTACTTTATGTTAAGTTGTTAACTAATTATCTCTTCTTTTCATTTTTGACAAACTATCCATTTGCAATTAGCTTAGCTCAAAATTTTTATTTTTATCAAAATATACGGTAGAACCTCTATAAAACAATACTCGATAAAACAATAAACACTATAAGATAATAAATTTCTCCGGTCCCAACTCGGGCCAATGTAAAAAATAGCATAATGCGATAAGATGATAAGACAATAATATTTTTGAAACTCTTATGTAAAAATATAGTCCCAACAATAGGCTTAAGACAATAATTATAAAACTAAGGCATATATATCTAAGGCAATTTAGTAAAATATGACTCCAATGTAGTTTGTCTTTTCTGAAAGTTGATTCTCGTTGGAGCTCATCTCGAATTTTTCTTATTGCATCAACAATTTCTGGTGGTGTGTTCTCAACATGCAGCCAAAAGTTGTGAAGAGTTCTCGAAGCCACAATTGCTTCCTTACGTGTAACTACTTGCACATGTCTTTCCTCATCATCTTCAACTTCATCTTCACCATTAAGAACAGTAGACACAATTTCTTCTAGACTTTGAACTTCTGAGTATGAATCGTTCTCACCCGGATAGTTGAGTAGGCTATTGACATCCATTCTATTCTGATAACCAAGATTATTAATCACAACTTCAAATTCAGGAATGTCGACTGATTCATCTTCTAAATTCCTTGGTAGGACATCTCCTGAACGAATTTTACAATGTCGAAAACAATTTGCTATTGTATCTTGATGAACATTAATTGTCCGTATAAAGTTTCTGTTTTTGATAAAATATTTCTATAAGACAATAATTATTGTTTTATCGATAAAATAATAACTCTATAAGATAATAAAATTTCAAATCCCAACATTATTGTTTTATAAAGGTTTTACTATACAAATGTAATCTATATATTTTGGTCATTTCTACCAATATTGTTAGATCCCGTTACGCATTTAGCTCAATGTCTTGGTTTTCCTTTAAATGACCAAAAAATGAAACTTGCTAATTTAAGACCGAAATGAAATCATGACGATTTTAGATGAAAATGAATAAGAATAAATTAATAGCAAGGAGATGGCTACCACGTTACCTAACATCGCTTTGAATAATCGAAGATACAGATTCTGTATGCACGGTGTTCGTTATAAAAATATCTTTGCATTTTTTCCAAATTTTTGTAAGCAGAGGAATGCCTACGAGATCCAAGTAATCAAAACAGAAAAATGCAAAATTGTCAATGACAGAACAAGAATCCCATAAAATAAAAGATATTATTACTATTAGCTTGACTAAAACTTCAAGAATTGTTTTTTAAGAAAGAATCAATCATTTCTCTCACCATTCTGATCAAGTACGATTGATTTTTCATAAAAACGTGTGAAGCCATAGAGATGTAAATCCTTGACATATTCAACACTCATATAAGTTATTGAACTGATTCAAAAGAAAATGCTATTACATCCTTTTTCATAAGTAAGGTGAAGTAATGAGTCTCCAACGGTTACATTAAGCCCAATACATAAATTGGGCCAAAATCCGGCGAGTCCCATACCGACATTAAGTCAACGCATTTCAGAAGAGAGGGCTCAAAGTTAAGTTCACTAGACTCTTGTATTGTTTTATGACATTACTTGGGGAAATGCAGACTAAAATTGGAGGCACCACAAGTTGGATCTGTCTCACAACTTGTCACCACTCATTTCTTTTTTCATTTCCTACCTCCATTGAATCTCACCACTTTCTCTCTTTATCTTCTTTGTCCCCATGAGGCACAAAATAACAAATGTCCACTTTTTTCCTTCGTCCACAGGAATTCACCTAATAGATTTGAGCCAAATACGGATAAGCACAAGTTCAACTTCATATAATTCCAAAACCCATTTGCTCACTTTATGTTTTTATATATATCAACCAAAGACAAGGTACTATGTCATATATAACACACTCCATGAACCTATACCAATATTTCATTTTTCAACTTCTTTTGATGACTGACATAAGATATTTTGTTTTTCCTCAAAAATGAAAAAAAGGAAGAAACCGTTACCATGATGACTCTTTTCATATAATACAGGGATATGGTTTATTTAAAATTAAAAAGCAAAACATGCAACTAGTCATACACCCTTCACAGATACCTTTCAATAGCTGATGTGGCCATCTCAAAGCAAATGGGAATTCTTTATTTCAATAAATTATCTAACCATTCATTTAATCTTTATGCATATGAACACAAAGCAGGTAGTTTCCAAAACCGTAATCACAGAAAAAACAAGAACTGCTGACTTTTTTTTTTCATATAAAAAATTCAGGTTATCTTCATGGGTACATATAAAAACGAGCTTTTCATGTTTTCTTACTATAACTCAGTGTGGGATTAACAAACCAGAACCAATCCCAAATTACCAAATAAAGATCTTTGCAAATCCAATGGAGGAAACAAATAAGAGTGTGCTTGGTGATTACTTCACCAGTGCTATGGCGCTTACTGAGTCAGGTGTCCATCACGTGCCTACCCGTTACATTCTTCCACCTTCACAACGACCAATGCTCTGTCCAAGCTTTGCCACCGACACCATCAATCTTCCTGTCATTGATCTTTCCTTCTTACACGATCCTTTGCTTAGGCCCCGTGTTATCCATGAGATTGAAATGGCTTGCAAGGGATTTGGATTTTTTCAGGTAACACACTAACACTCATGTTTTTGGCTACATACACACACACACACTACACATGTCTCATGTCTGCTTAGGTAAGACAAAATTACAAGTAATGTAGCTCAAACTCATGCATTATTACCTATATCTAAATGAATAAGGTGTTGATGTGTCATATACATGTGTCTCTACACTACACATTAAATTCAGTCACTAGGACTAGTCTGGAATCTACTTATACCATCTACCAATCACGCCTGATTTATGACTTTATATCATATCATACTGTAAAAAAGTCACTTATCAAAACTAATAGAAAAAAATAAAGTCCTTAGTTCCTGTTATTATTGTTGAGAATAAAAGAAAACAGAAAGATGCTTTATATTTCATTCTTTATGCAAATGTCATGTATCTTGGTTTCATTAAACCACACTACAGATTATAAACTTACTTTCTCTACAGATTATAAACCATGGAATATCAACAACCGTGGTGAAAGATGCGTTAGATGCAGCAACAAGGTTCTTTGACTTACCTGTCGACGAGAAGATGCTTCTGGTTTCCGATGATTTTCACAAGCCAGTAAGATACGGCACCAGCATCAACCATACAACTGACAAAGTCCATTACTGGAGAGACTTCATCAAACATTACTCTCATCCTCTCTCAAAATGGATCAATCTCTGGCCATCAAACCCTCCATGCTACAAGTAAGTATACACATATCTACGCCTAAACTCACTATCTGAACATCAAACAAAAACTTGTTCTTATCCTTTTCTTTGCCACAGGGAAAAAATGGGGAGATACGCAGAAGCAACACATGTGCTACATAAGCAACTAATCGAAGCTATCTCAGAGAGTCTAGGACTGGATAAAAACTACTTACAAGAAGAGATAGAAGAAGGCTCGCAAGTCATGGCGGTTAACTGTTATCCAGCATGTCCTGAACCAGAACTTGCCTTGGGAATGCCACCACACTCTGACTTTAGCTCGTTGACCATCTTGCTCCAGAGTAGCCAGGGGCTTCAGATAATGGACTGCAACAACAACAACTGGGTTTGTGTGCCGTATATCGAAGATGCTCTGATAGTCCAGCTTGGAGATCAGATGGAAGTGATGAGCAATGGTATATACAAGAGTGTTGTTCATAGAGTAACGGTGAACAGAGATATCAAGCGTCTCTCTTTTGCGAGCCTTCACAGTTTACCAATGGACATGAAAATAAGTCCAGCACCTAAGCTCGTAGATGGAGATAAACCAGCTGCTTATGGAGAATTCAGTTTCAAAGATTTTCTTGATTATATTTCTAGCAACGATCTTACACAACGAAGATTCATTGATACACTCAAGAAGAACAATTTATGAAGATGTTTTTGTTCATTAATATAATGACATATAGTCACTATGGCAATCACATAACAACATGAGTAATTTTAAATTTCTTGTGAGGGGGTGAATTTGAGAAGAAACTATTATATTTGGACGAAATCAGAACTACTGATATAATATGGGGTCGTTATAGATATTAAAGGAAAATTAAGACAGAATAAAAAAACAATTAATACGTGGCAAGAGGGAATTACGGAAAAGGTCTCTCTGCGTCTTCTTCGCCGTCTCTGTGCTTCCGATTTCCGATTGCTCTTTCCTCTTCCTCGTCGCTTTGCTTCTTCTCAGGGAAGCGAAGAACACTGAATAATGACAGAGGAAGAGGTAGCGATGGAAATCGAAGCTGTAGAAGCAGTTTATGGTGAAGAGTGCGTCATATTGGAAACATACCCTCCTCATCTTCACCTCCACATCAAGCCCCGTACCGCCGAGATCTCTTCTCAGCAGGTTTTTCTCCGTATTTGATGCTATTTATCTTCTTCGGAATCTGGAATTGCGTTCTGTTTGTTTGCTAAACTCCAAACTATCGGCGAAGATGAGAAAAATCCGGACTTTAAGAATTGAGCTAGAAATCTTAGAAATTGGGCTTTGTTGATGGATTTGGCTATCGTGGAATCTTTAATTGGGATTAGAGAAACCTTACTAGTTTCAATTTTTAGAAATTGAAAGCTTTTATGCAGAAACTGGTTATGTATTTTCTCAAAACTGAGTTCTTATGTAGCAAGAGCTGAGTGATACTCTGATAACTTAATTGATTACGATTGATTTTTACAATCTATTTGTTTGCTATTTGATGACATTGTGGTAATGCTCACACTAGTTTTGCTCTGCAGTTTGTGGAAGCCGTTGTGAGAATAAAGGCAGGTTCCAAGGTAAATTTTGGTTTCAGTGTCATTATCCTAGAAGCTTATCCCAGAGACTGAATCTAGCTATCTTATTAAGCTCAAAATATCTTCCTTTGTTGTAACAGTATCCAGACGAGCCTCCTCAAATTAGCCTGCTTGAATCTAAGGGTCTTGATGAGCAAAGGCAGAAGCATCTGATGGGCATTGTGAAACAGAAAGCTTCTGAACTTTCATCTTCTCTAATGCTTGTAGAACTCTGTGAGGTAACATCTCTTTAGATTTTCTTGAACTTTGCGTATGTGTATGTGTAGATAACTAGATATACATATGCAATTTCTTGAATTAAGATTGGAGTCTCATGTAGTGTGGCAAACATGTATGTTTCTAGGAAGCAGTAGAGAGGCTGACGATTATGAATCATCCGGATGGAGATTGTCCAATGTGTTTGTATCCGTTATTCCCTGAGGATGGCGGGAGTAAACAAATGCCGTTTATGAAGCTCATGTCTTGCTTTCATTGTTTCCACTGGTAAAAGAACCTTACAATCCTCTGTTCTCTCTTATTTCGGGAATGTGGTGTCTAATTGTTCTTCATTGATTTCAAGTGATCAGTGAGTGCATCATTAGGTGGTGGAATTGGCTTCATACGCAGAAAGAAGCTGATTCGAAATCTGGTGACACTTTACGTCAGCACAGAGAAACAAGTGATCAAGAAGGTTCGTCTGATAACTGTCTTATTTTTAGGGAAATTTGAAAAGATACTCTAAATGGAATAACTTATTGCAGATAAAAGCTTGGGGAACTGTCCAGTGTGCCGGAAAGTGTTTCATGCAAGTGATATTGAACATGTTCTCAACTTAGTCGGTGATGCTCAATCATCTCAACAGGTGAGTGAAGTCATCAACTTCGGATTCATTCTTTTACCTTGCACTGATTCATCATCCATCAATATTCAGCTTTAAATTCACCTTTATTGATAACAGGACTCTAGTTTGGTACAAGGTGAGAGGCAAGACCCGCTGATTCAGTCAGATTCAGAGAAGATAAGAAGGGAGCGGTTTGAGGCTATTTTAAAGACGCAGGAAGAAAAAGGAGGTTTGGTTCAACCGAAGAAAAACATATCGGTTGTTCCCGGTATGTATCTTCCTCCACCAGCTTCTCCATCATCAAATGAAGAAGAAGCTAGTCAAAGTCAAGAACAAGAACCCAAAGAAGCTGACACAGAGACAAACTCTAGTAGCTCCACCAACAGGAGAGGCCGAGGCAGAGGCAGAGGTCGAGGTCGTGGCCGGGGACCTGACGTTGACAGACGGAAGCAGAATTCACAAGATCCAAGAAAACCGACGAAGCAATGGGTGCCGAGAAGTTGACAAAAAAAAACTAATGTATTATTGAAATCTCGAGAGAGACATCAAAACTCAGACTCAAAACATAAGAGTGTATACTTCATAAAAATAAGATATTCAGCCAAAAATCGTTCCTTTTACGACTTTGTAAATGCATGTGGAGCTTTCTTTGTTCTTTGTTTTACAAAAACACAAACGCCATGTGAGAAGAAAGTGAGAAACCTCCCTTCATTACAAACAGAAGATACAAAACGTCACATGGTTGGGCCTCAACAATGATTTTGGGCTTGGGCTGAATAGCTTATTAAAATGGTCATAACACATAGCTTAACCGGTTTATGATCAGAGTAAGAAATTATTAATTCCAAACATATTAGCTTAACCGGTTTGTAGTGATCCTAAACTGAATTTTCAGTAGTGTAAATCGCCGGCGATACTGCTCATTTGTCCGATGTCCTCTCCGTCTGCGGTTGCCGATCTCTTGGCCGCGCTCGCTTACCGGCTTCAAAGCGGAAATGTAGTTCTCGAAGAAGAACTACAGGAGACTTCCTCATCTATGGGACTTGCTATCTCAGAGCTTAACCGATCTCTGACTCTGGACATGGGCGGCGAGGATTCCGGGGTCAGGGTTTTGGACGCGGCGACATCTCTAATGTGCTTCAAGGCACCTCAGGTTAGTATATTTCTACTTCTGCAACTAAAGTTTCGATTTTGCTGTATTTCGGGTTTCTTACTTGTGCGCCTTTCAGGTTTTTGATTCGGCGATTGAGTATCTGGTGAAGACAATTGTCTGCGTCTTATCATCTTCAATCAGTTTTAGGGTAATGAAGTATCACAACGAAGACACATTACAGTATATGAGCTCGAATCTACCTGGGTGCTCTGATGAATTGATCCAAGTCTCTAAAGAGATCATTGATAAATTGGGGGCAAACGGTGGGTGTTGATTTAAGCTTTCCTTAGTACTATTCTTAAGCTTTTAAAATCTTTCCTGATTTTTGGAACTGTTGTTTGTAGGAAAATTGGCTACAATGTTGTTCCAAGCTGTTGTGAGATCGGCAGCTTCAACATCATGCAGCGTTATCGCTCCTAGAAAGAAGTCAATGGATGGAAGAAATAGGGCCTGTGTCTCTAAACTTGTTACTTGCTTACCGAGAGATCATCTATAGAGAACCACGAAATACCACTGAGGTTTGACCTCTTGCACTGTTTCTAGCCCAAGCTATGTTAGTCGATAGAACTTGTGAAACTGAAGCCACAGCTTCTGCCATGTTTGCTCTCTTGTTTCAGAGAAAGGTAGACCGGTCTGACAATTTTTAATGGTCAGGATCCTGTTCTGGTATGAAGATCCACTGTCTTTGAAAGAAGATGTTTCCAGAATCTTGAAAGATGTTGTGGTGAGGCCTTTCCTTTGTCTAAACAAGGAGCTCTTCGAGAGGGCAGAGTGGCGCGACATCGTGATCTGCTTAGCGCTTTCCACCTTCAATGTTTATCAACACTAGAGCCCTCTTACATAAGTGGTTTTGCTTACGTGAGTTCCAATCCAATGAAAATCTACATTTAACCTTGTCATCTCTAGCTTTTCATCTTCCTTGCTTTCTGATTTCTGTCATTTTGATTCTTGACACCAGGGGACTTGCTTCGGTCCATGAGTTTCTTGCCGGTTTGATCTCTGCAATAGTTGACATCATTTCAAGACCAGCGTGGTGGGGTATACCAGTGGAACTAGCGTCCTCGTTGCTATTCTCTGATGCATACTTTCCTTTCCAGTGTCAATTTCTGAGAATCTTGGCTGGTCCTCTCACCTCCAAGTCACTAGTGATGTTAGCTCATACTATCAGTAAACCAATTACTGTTCCTGAGCAACAACGTTGGAACACTAATTGCAAGCCTACTCCAATGAAGTTTCAAGCATTAGATGATAAAACCGAGTGGTAACTTTACATGAAAATGAAACTTGATTCCCACATGTTTGATCTTTATATATACATACGTCCGTGTGTATGGTTTTTGAATGATGTTGTATCTTCTTTCAGGGCTTTGGCTATTAACTTCCCGGATTGGTTTTATTTTGCTTCTGCTATGCTCTTCTCAGAAGGAAACTCGTTAGAACATATCCACCGTACAAACACTTCACAAGTTGCTGGCAGTAGACAAGGAAGTGATGTTGAAGGTATCTCCATTGCTGCGGCAACATATCTTGCTTGGATTCTGTACCCTGTAAGTGGAGCCATCCAAGAATCACTAACCAAGTCTCTCATTAGCGTCTCAGAGATATGCACCAGAAAAAGTTGCGGCTCAGAAGCAAATCGTAGTGAGACTATAACTGGCAAGAGAAAGAAACCAGATAGACTCAAAGTAAACGTTTCCAGTACTGTGGAAGATCTGGTCAGAGAATTTCACAAGAACATCACCAGTTCGGTTTCTTATGAATTGGATTCTCAGAAAAAGCTTCCATCTTTCATCTCTGGCCTCCAAAACAATTTGTTGGTAAGAAGAGTTGTGGTTGGTGTACTGATTGGCTCTCCATATTCAGTAGCAGATGAGCAGTATGAGGTGGTACTGCACTACGCTGCAACTGGGAACATCCTTACCATTAAGAAACGGCGAACTTCCGGATTCATACAAGCAAAGGGAACCTCTAAAGTATCTGCTTTGTTGTCGAATGAAATCACCAAGGAGGAGGCTGTTGAAGGGACACGTCTTGTTTTCAACTTAACCGACACTTTGGAGAGTATGTGTGTATCAAGTTTTGAAGCTGAAGAGGACGCCGAGGAGTTTATCAACCGGTTTAAGCTGAAATCGAGCAAGTATTTGGTGAAATGCATTGACAGATTGATTCAACTTCACTGTGAAGAAGATGGAGATTCAATACTAAGTGACTTGAATACCAGACTGCTACAGTGGACATTAAAAGGACGAGAAGATCCACAGTTTAACGAAGATCTTGATAATATCGCTGCTAAACTGGCCTTCATATTCTCGCCTGTGTAACTGCCACCCTGCAGCCGGACTTGTGTCATATTTGATGGTACAGATGTTGATCGTGACTGCAACATTTAAATGTGAAAACTAGTCTCATAATGAACAATAAATCGATGTTGTATGTATATTTAGATAAATCGCCTGGGATACAAAAACAAACATGATTATTGGAGTAATTTGGTCATTTTAAAAACAGACAATTATTCAAACATTTAATTAGACATGAAAGCTAAACCATAGATAATAGTAGGTCATTTCAAATGTGTTTCTTTGATCATTTTCTTTGACCATCATAACACATCATAACATATTTACTTTTAACCCTGTACATTTCAGCTCCACAACTGAAATCAATTGATTCGCCTGGATTGGACCAGAGGAATTGGAGGATTCAAAGGTGAGCCTCGCATCTACTTGATGCCTTGTGAAATGCTTTTGATTCCACTAAAACACTAAGCAAAACACTAAGCTTCATCTTTTTTGTTTATATCCATTGTGTGAATCTTTTATCCTCACGCAGCAACTAGGGATAAAGACAAGAGGGGACATGGGAGGGATTCTGTCTATTGGGTTTTGGGAGAGACAAAAGGAGAGAAGAAGATGCAGAGAAGATTCATAGAAAACCCAGATCATGTGGCTTCACTATCAGACAAGAAGTGAAGAGCTGTCAGATGCGAACTCAACAGAGAAAAATCCGATGGTGACAGACCCCACACACACCCACTTGGAGTTGCAGATCATCATATAATAGCAGCTAGTAAATATTACAGCAGAGATTATTACCCCATCACCAGTTTACATTATTCTGATATCAACAAAAATTATATTCAACACTTTCCTGGAACAACGATGCTAAAAGCGATGATTAAGGAACAAAAAAACAACAGGCAAGTACAACACACTTCAATTTTAGTAAGAACTGAAGCTTTGTACTGTAAGAAGAACCTCTTTCTATAATTGTAGGATATATGTATATATAGTACACAACACAAGGTCCTACTTGATAGAGTAGGAACGAGTGCACACCGTTTCAAGAGACTCCATGAACAAAGCAGAGAAACTTGTTAACGCTTGGAACACACCAGGCAAACCCGTCTGCAGATTATTGAGCGTCATGGCTCTTGTCACTTCTATTGCCTTTGAATGTTTCATCATCTCTTCCTCTACTCTCCTTTGACAACCAGCAAGCTCCGATTTCTTATCGCTTAGCGGGTCTCGAGCATCTAACATGTGTTGGTTGTCGGGTCCTGAATCCGGTAAACCGACACCGACCATTGAGTATGACTGGTAATATTTCCTCTCCAGGTTTCTCAGCGACGAAGCTTTCTTCTCGAGCTCTTTCGACGCCGTTTCCGTTCTTTTCTTGATCTTGTGTTCGTCAGCTTGTTTAGCTGATATCACGTGCACAACGTTGATGAAGCTTTTGATTGCTTCGGACGCCACTGTGTCCGGGACACGGTCCAAAGCGAGTTTCCACTCGTCGCAGAACGCGTACGCATCGACAGGCTCCTTGTGATGGTTGCTGGCGTCTTCGTGGCAAACCGGGAGAAGGGTCAGCTTGAACCAGGCGTGAACCGACTGTATGAAGTCACGTTGGAATTTGATCAGATGACTGAAACTGGAGTGCCAAGAGGAGACGACTGATTCCAAGTCACGCGTTGCTTGTCTGTGTAGCTCAGAGGTTGATTCACCTTTCCCTGATCTGTTGATTAGCCCTCGAACTTGCTGCACAATGCTGTTTTGTGTCTCGTGGAATTGATGCATTGCTTTCCACATGTACATATAGCTGCATAAGGATCAGGAGATTCAAAAAAACATCACACACAGAGATTAATGTCTCTGAAGTCGTAACATTCAATTCAATGTCTCATTATGATTTTGTCAAACACAATGTCTCAATTTGATTACAGAATTTAGCCCCTCTTAAGCTATATAGTACTTATGAGATAAGCCTAAACCCAGTTGAGACATGATTTCCAATTTCAGCAGTATACTAGTTACTTAAAAAGCTAAGAAGTAAGCTGTAAAGATAAGAGAGGTACGGGACGTTTTTGTCTTGCTCTAAGCAAATCAAGGACCACAGAATTCTAAAACGCATGGCCTCGAGATTTGTCTCATTATTGCGCTCACCTACTTATTGAGTCCACGAGGTGTTTTTAAAGATATGAAAAGTAGGTGGAAGTGACTTAATAGACTAAATGGGGTAACAATAATGATTGCTTGCCAAAAAGAGAACTGTTGGATCATCAAGCAGTGGGTGATTCAATTGTTTAGAGAAAAGAGGGAAACTTTACCCATGACAGAGTTCAACGAGTTGAGGAACAAGGTCGGTATCACGAAGACGGATAATGGCAGAGGATGTGGTTGTAACAGCTTGTGATGTAACAATTATCAGAGACTGTAACCTCGTAATTGAGGACTTTGTCTTGTCTAGCTTAGCTTCATCTTCCCCTTTGTACTCTTGGCTTTGTAGTTGTGATAACTTCTTCTCGTGCTCAATCTTCACACCTTCTCTAGCCTGAAGTAAGAAAAAAAATCATCACTTTGCAACAATCAATCAATTGGTAAGATTCATCAAACGTAAAAAACCAACAATTTAGACCTTTATTTCTTCATACAGCTTCTTCTCCCATGCTAATAGACGATCGAGAGTGGAGCAAAGGCTCTTCACACTGTTTGGTTGATCCAATGTCGTCGTGTCTATCCTGTACTTGACTGCCAATGGCGGCTTCGAGCTCCATGTTGAGCTCAGGTTGCTGAATATGCTACTCGAATGAATCACAGTTTCTAATACAACAAAATTCACAAAAGAGAAACCAAATCAACTTTGTGAAACTCATATTTCATCAAGAACAGAGCGAAATATATTCATTCAAACTCACTCTTCAATTGGCTGAAACTCCGATCAAGCTGAGCTCTTCCGAGCTCAAGCATCTGAGAAACTTGATCTCCGGCGGCGGCCGCCTTGTCGAAATTCTCCTTGATCGCATCAACAATTTCTTTCAAATCCTTATGCCTAACCACCATCTTCATGTCGGCCATCTCTCCTCCGCCTCTATAGCTACGGGAAGATACCGTCGCGTCATCTGCTATATCATGGTTTCCTTCTTCAGCGCCGCCGTATTGTTGCGGCAATGGCGAAGGTTGCTGGTGGTGGTGCCGTCTCATCGAATTACTTCTCACGGTAGATCCGAAGTCGGAGCGTGTCCCGATCTCGGAAACCGACTCTCTATCTTCATTTTCCTCTTCCTCCTCCTCTTCCTCCGTGGCGTCCGAGGAGCTCGTAGTGCTGTAGTGATCGTGAACGTCCCATTCGCTACACGGTACTTCCTCTCTCTCCGTCTCCTCTTCCTCCACCGGACTGTTGGCTGATTCGAACTGCTTCTTCTTACCCGCATGGAAAAAATCGTACTCTGACCTCTCTGTTTCGGTATCCTCGCCGTCGGCGAGTTCGCTGGAGCGAGATCGACTATCGGGTTTCTGTTTCTTCTCTTGAGCCCTCATATTGAAGAATTCGGAATCGGGAGGAGAAGGAGGGTAGAAATTTTCCCAATTCCAGACGGAGGAGGCGTGAGAGGGAGTGGCGGAGTAAGTGGAGTTCTGGTAAGCACCGGGATAGAAATTGGGCATGAAATTGGATCTCTCGCTCATCGGAGAAGACGAAGGGCTTGATTCCGAGAGAATATGAGGTAGCTTAGGTCTTGGTTGCTGTTTCCTGCGCCGATTGGAAGAGGCGGTTGTGATTGGAGGCTGCTTTTGCTTGGAACTGGCGACCGAAGGAGACACCGAAGGAGGAGGAGGAGGATGGACGGAAGAAGGAGCAGGCGACGGCGGAACACGTGGAGGGATGAGATTGACCGGGGAGTGATCAGAAGGAGGAGGAGGCGGATGATGAGGATGGAGGAAAACCGCCGGAGTCTGATCCGATACAGAGAGAGGCTCGCCGGCGGCGAATAAGGAAAGAGCAGATCCAGTGAGACGAAGCGATCGGCAGTAATCGGCGTGAGCGGCGGCGAGATGATGTCGAGCGTAGACAGCATCTTTCATCAGACGGCGGCGATCCTTACACCGCCGAACAGTATCCTCGCTGTCGAGTTTCGACGCCGCACATCCCATGTCTTCTTCTTCTTCTACTTCAGCTTTCTTCTTTCTTACGGTGGCGCGTGAGCTCTCTGCATTTGCCTCTCACCACAGAATCATACAAAAAGAGAGAAAAGTTGTATTAGCTGTTTTCCAGATTTTCCACTTAACAGTCTACACACTGTACTCAATTTTTCTCATATTTATCGGAGAGAAAGAAAAAAGAATTAAAAAAAAAAAAACATAACCGACAAACGAGAAATAAAAATATAATTTTCCTCCACTGATAAACGAGTCAGTGACTGTCATTAAACCTGGACTAATCTTACATTTCGGTTTCTTTTTTTCGTTACTTAAACAAATAATTCGACAATTTCTGACACAGTTTTTAACCGTTACCGAAACCTACATTACAGTATTACGGTTAATCAGATTTGATACAACAAGTAGCGATATTATTAAAAGGACCACTCTATATTGTACTTACAAGTAACAAAAAGAGACAATCCGTGATTGATGTTAAAAAATACAATCTGTGATTTATAAACTTAATAAGTATTGTGAATGTGAATCTAGTTATTTGAGAGGAAAACAAACTAAAAAGGGGTGTGGATCTGACTTCTGATTTCTGAGCGAAGGACGCACCGATAAAAGGAAAGTGATAAAAAAAAAACGGCAAGATGGTGAGTAGCTGAAGCTATAAACGGTGAAAAGTGTTACTTTCCTCTTTTTGAAGAAGTCTTCAACGAAAAGAACAAAACCACATGCATTTCTCATTTCTCCCTTTTCCTTCACCTTTTTTTTTAGCTTTCTCTACTTTCTTTATTTGATCACTTTGTTCAAAAAGACTTATCATCATCGTCTATAAAAACCGACCCCAAAACTGTGGACTTTTTTGCAAATCAGACTAGGCTTTTCAGTTATAAAATTGTAAATTTGTTCTCTTTATTTAACTATAGGGACCAAAGAGCATCTGATACGTCTGCTCGCTTAATGGATTCTTGAATGCTTCAATATATGTGTCCTTCCCTCTCATTCTTATACTTCCTTCATCACGCAAAGAATGTTAGATTGTTTCATATTTTCAAAAAAAAAAAAATATATATATATATATATATATAACTAAATTTCTAAGTTATCTCTATTATTTCAGCTTATTGAGTCAACAGAAGAACTTATTTAGTGTGTATCAACAAAATATATAATGAGAAATTGGCACAGGTAACCAAAAATACAATCGTATTTGCAGAAATAGGAAAGAGAAAGATCCCATACTAATGATTTTTTTTATATACAAAACTGCCCTTTCTCTTTTTTCCTTTTTTCTCTTGTTTCTGACGCTTCTTTCTCTCATTCTCTCTCCTTGTTTCCTCCGCCTCTCCTTTTCTCTCTCTTCGTTTCATCTTCTTCCTTTTCCTGCAAATCCACATTCTCCTTTTCAATTTCTTCCTCTAATTGTTTTATTTACTCTGAAATGGATTGGTTTCATTACAGCAGTGTGGATCCACTCTTTCTCCGGCAACAACTACGCATTCTGCAATTACTCCAACGCTCTCAAATCCCTAATAAACCTCACTCAGCAGTACGACGTGGATGAACATGGCGGTTCTGGTGACTTGGAATGTCCAGCGGAATTGTGCTCCGGTTTCTGGGATTCTCAAAGTTATGTAGCTAATAGCGAAAATGCGTAGATTTCAAAACGGTATATCAGTATTATTAACATTGTACATTATTATTTTAACATAGTATATTTTTTAATAACAAGTTATCTTTGCTTGTAGTGTGCTAAACAAAATTGTAACACAAATAGTAATTTGTATGATATATTGTTGTTATCTGTCTAACATGTTTAATATCCTGTAAAATATAAAGTTAAACGTAAATATATATGTATACATGTGATACAATAATTGTTAACATGTTTCAAAAATATGTAACTTGTTAATATAATGTATTTTCATTGCATAAGTGTATTTGGTTGATTCAATTACATTTCTCTTCCTCATTTCGCATTTGTTCTTTTCCAAATAACTTTAAAGTTATGTAGCTAATAGTTAAATTATCATGTTAATCAAAAAGTTAAAGGATAATGTATATGTTTTTATTTGATATAATAATTGTTAGCTTGATATAAAAAAAATTAACAAGTTATTATAATGTACATAAATCAGATCTCGTTAAAATTTTAAAATTTCTCTGAATAATTATTTGAAGTTTTAAAATATATTAAAAATTCCAATTGAAATTGTTGTCTTTTTTATTTTTGGATTATTGCAGAAAAATGAAAAATGGAGAAAGAGAAAATGCATGATTTTCAAGAGAGAGAGAAAAATAAAGAGGAGCTTTTAGTCATTTTAACACCCAAACCGTATAGTCAACCCATACGTATAGTCAACTTTCCCATTTACTTAAATACGGTGTCTTTCTTTCCCATATGCCTCATTGTCTCATATATAATAGAGCTTCATATGTTTTTTTAATATGTGTTCAAAATAGTCAAATAACACTTTTAATTGCAAAACTGGAAAGAATATCTTCTTCTTAAAAACATGAGGCCGCCTAAACTTACCAAACTGCCTTTGATTCAGACAGTAAAGACAGATTGTTGACGATGGAAGATAACAAGTGCATAGAAATGCTGCAATATAGGAGTATACAACTAGGCAAAGCACATTTATGAGTTATGACAAAACGTCTACACTGTACTCAATTTAGCAATAATGATTTCAAGTTACAACCCATAATTATATCATGGGCTTTGTAAATGTTTTGAGGCCGAACCAAAAGTATCAAATCAGAATATTCTTTTGTTAACATCACAAAAATCTAATCATAAAGTCACAAAGATGTGTTTGAGTAAAAATAAAATAAAATTCACAAAGATGTACTGTATATAAGAATTAGGTGATGGCCGTGTTCTTTTAATAATCGCTACGACAGCAGCTAGCGATCACAAAATACACGTATACATAAGTTGCTTGGAACCTAAGGTTGTGGAGAGCATGCTCATGAATGTTCATCACAAAATAGAAAATACACGTATACATAAGTTGTTTTAAATTGGCTTCTATATAATTTTGAAGTTGGTGTAATACTGTAGTATAGTAACGTTTTTCAATTGACGTTAAAAGTTAAATAATATAAAAGTAGCGTTTGTTAACTAATCAACGTGAAAGTTAGAGTCTTCTCTGTGAGTAACGGTAGCGAAAAGTTAACGTCATGCAGTGTTAAGTTACTTTTATAAATGAATCGTCACTTTAAAAATGATGTAAACCATAATAAAAACTGACGCTAAACCCTTATTTTTTTGTTAGTTGTTGTAGTGAATACTAACGTGCTTCTTAGTCTGATATCCCACTGGGGTATCCTTAAATGGTTGTACTTGTGACAGTGATGCGTCACCCTTATACATTTGACAGTGACAGTGACAGTGACAGTGACATGATAACAACCGTAGAAAAACAAGAGTATTATTATTTATTAGCGCGTGTCTCTCTCTGTCTCTATATATAAAAGCCATCATCCATCCCTCTTAACAAAACCACGTACCCATTCACCAAAGAAGATCATCTGAGCCCTAAGTTTCGTGGTAAGATGTTTATTCCCTGCTCGAATTTTTGTTTTAGTCTCATCAGACTAAATTCACATTTTTTCCCCTGTCAGCTTCGTATATGTTTTGCTTATGCGTTCTGTCTTGTTTGAAACCTTTGCAGAGACTAGTCATCGATCGCGCGCATCTTTCCAAATCGGTAATTTCTCCTCACCCATATTATTATCTTAATTATCCCAGTTACGTACGTTTTAACAAAAACCCCCCTCTTCTACGATCGAGAAAAAAAAAAGATTTTGTATACATAATTTAAGCGTCTTTTTCTAGCTAGATCTCCGGTGAAACCACTTGCTCGAAATTATTTTGTCAATTAGATTTCATCTGTCATGCTAATTAAGCTGTCCGAATCATACTGTACTGTATTCACTTTGTATTTCCCGTCAGTTATGTAATTGTTTTTGTTTATGCTATCTCCGTTTGAAAGGTTGGTATGGATTTTATGCTATCTCCGTTTATAACTAACTTAGTTTTTTCTTTTTTCTTTGTGAAAGGTTGATATGGAATTGTCTCACCGAGTATATTCTACGAAGTTCGATGGACCCTCGCAAAAAGACTATGGGGTTCGGGTCTATTGGGATTTGAACAGGGCACGTCTATTGGACAGAGGACAAGCGAGAACCATCTTTGACAAAATCAGTAGTTCTCTCCGTAAGGCAGATCCTCAGTTTAGGATCTGCATGCTAACAATCTATGGAGACTTTTCCTTGCATGGGGGAGATGCAAGAAATCTCTTCCGAACGACAGACTTCCCACCTGAGGTCATCGTGGTCTTTAAGCACCTCCCGGAAAGAGACGCCTTTTGTACGGACGAAGAAGAAAAAGAATGTTATAAAGGTACTCATCATGATTTCCGGGTTTTAATTTCTAAAACAAAATGTTTGGTTTTGGTTTTTGGTTTTTGATTTCTATTTTTATTTTCTAGAAAAACCAAAAGTCAAAGACTATCTTCCCCACCACGTATTGAAGCAGGACATCAACATACACACATTGGCAAACAAACCACCGTTCAACATCATGATTATCACATCTGACCCCGACTTCACACATCTCATCAGAAAACTACATACACAGGGTTATGTTATGATGCTTGCTTGTCACCGTGATGCAGAGGCTTGTCTTGGAAAATATGCTTATTACAAATGGGATTGGGAATCAATGATGGACGGTGGTGAACCACCAGTTCCAGCCGCAACACATTATCTCGTCGACACCAAAAAACCGAAGAGAAAATAATCCCTTAGTGCGTATCGCATTATATATCATCGATAAGGAATAATTCTCGTATCGCATTATATATCATCGATAAGGAATAATTAATTCTCCTAGTTTGTGATTTAAACTTTTAAGTATTCGGCGTATCGATCGCATTATATATTATGGATTGTGATTTGAACAATTTGAAGTATTCGGCTACTGTAACGTGTAATAATTGAAACTATTGGTCGGTCATTAAGTATCGATCTTTTGTAATATTCAAGTTCAATTTATATCGTGTTGAGTTGTTAAACTCGTTGGTTTAGATCCATACAGCATAAAGTTTCTCTATTTGTTGTTAAATGTTATACAGCCTTGATAAAATTGGTCAGTGTTCAAAAGCGTAACCATGAGGTTTGATTGTAATCGTTGCGACTCTCAATCAACAACAATCTTATAACAATTCTGCTAAGGTTTTGTTATGGACAGAGAATGAAACGAACCATATATATATCTGCGTCGATAATATATTACGGAAAAATATAATACAAACTAGAAACAAAAGCACACCAATTCCAAACAAAAGGATCCAATAAGCTTAAGGACAGAGCAATACTTAGAGAAGAAGAAAAACAAAAACAAAGAAGAGAGTTTTTGATAAAAACGAGCCCTGTGCATCAGCAGCTAGTTGTCGATGGAACACAAACACACAAAGGTCAATCGTCTTCGTCTGGCTCTACGAAGAACAAGGCGTCTTTTCCTCGAGCTACTAGGGCTTCTAATTCGGCTCTGGGGAGAGGTTCTCCTCCTTGTACAAAGCTTTTCCAGTACCATATTAGCCTCACACGAGGAAGTGGCACTTGTTCTGGTTCGCAATCATCAGGCACCACCAAGAGAACATTGAAACCTAAACCGAAATATAGACCACGAAGAAAAGAGACGAACTCCGTATCTGCCTTGATGTTTTTTGCGACTACCATCACATTTGATCCGGTAAAACAGGGGCGGGGAGCTTCCGTAGTCCACCAAGCAATGTCTACGAACATCTTATGAAGTCTCCAGTACTTATCAACTGGAAATCAATAAAATAGATCAAATCAACGGATTAGATCCGGTAAACCATATTTCATTTTCATATCAAAGCTAAGTAGAGGAAATTACTTACTTCTCTCTACGAAGGTGAGTCGAGCCTCGGCGGTTTCTTCAGGCGAGAACGGATCCTTGGCACCATAAGCCGTGATTGACACCTCACCCGTATAACCCTTGTTCCTTAGAGTATCTTCGACAATGTCACGAATCTTGCGACCATCGGGGACTGGGAAATCGTCCACGTCCCAGAACACGCTTGTTTTACCAGCTGCCCAAAACCGACAACTATTAGGAAACTGCAGAGCAAGTCAAAACGGATACAGCTTTCGAGCACATCTTACCGGGGTTATCTCTGGGCATGGTGAGAAAATTAAGCCTCAGATCTTGTTGGTGAAGGGGGTGGATCTTATAGCAAGGGAAATTTTAGGGCTACAATCTGTGGGTGCCGATGAGAGAGGGTATTTGTTGAGGAAGATGATGATGATGATTCGGACATGCACACAAGTGACAAGACTGGTGGGTGAGGCTACTTTTGTAAAATCTCATAGGTCGGTGAACAAAGCAGGCCCACCTCCGAATTGTTTTGGGCTCTGCGCTAAAAAGTAAAAGCCATGTTAGTAAAAATAGAGAATAGTAGTTGGTGAAAAACTTTTACTACCACATTTCTGTTTTCATCTTTCATAAATAAAGAAGATATTGAAAATGATTTCGACGACTATTTTAGTATTTTCCCACTCTTTGCTAATCAGTTGCTTTAAACTGGCTTACTTTTCGAAAAATATTGAAAACTCGCACTAGCTTACTTGACGTTAAACAACTCTAGTAAAGTTAACATTTTTTAACTGCCGTTACACAACTCTAGTAAAGTAACGTTTGTTAATTAATCAACGTCAAGATAGAGTCTTTTTCCTTTTTTTGGCAAGTAACTTTTAGAAAGTGACTCGTCAAGATGATGTAATTGTAAACCATCATAACTAAAACTGACGCTAAACCCGTAAACCCCTTTTTGTTCTTTTAGTGAATACTAACTTCCAAGATGATGTTACCATTTTTAAAAAAAAGTGTAGTCTCACTCGTCAACACCTCGAAGTCCATGTTTACGTGACTTTCCCCACGAGTTGTTCACAAAGTTTATAATTATATTTCGTCACACCACCGTGATCAGTGAGCTACATGCATTGTTTAGATCTTCAAACGGTTTTATTGCTAAATTAAGCTTTTCTTTAATTTCTCGAACTCAATTAGAGGTAGTTAATATCATGAACCAGTGATGGAAATTTTGTTTTGTTGAAACGATTATGAGATCAAAGAGACTCTTGGAAGCTAAAAAAAAAAAATTACCTACATATGCCTACGTTTTTGTTCTGTATATATATATATATATATATATATATATATATATATATATATATATATATGCTTCCTAAAATTCTGCAGCTGCTTCGTTAATGCTTAATAATTAGGTCATTTAAGCTGTCTTCAAGGATCAATAAACTTGTTCGATAGCAACGAAGGCTTTATTTTGACAGCCTTCTCTGAGATTAGTGATGCATATGGACACTTCTTGGCCAACTTTGCAAGGTACAGAAAATTTCACCTTTATTGTAATATCTTATTTCTTAGTTAATACGGCCATGGATCTTGCTCTGATCAACCTGATTAAACAATACCAAACGGAAGAGAATAGAAGGCAAGAAACTTGCCGAAAGGACGTCCGGCTAAATTGTTGTTGGCCACTAAATGGTTCTTGTCTTCTGAAGATTTATATGGTCAATTTAAAACTGCTTATATATTCTTATTTTCAATGATTGATTTTTTTATTTTAATGGAGGGTGTTAAGCTCTTAACTATCTCGGAATATCCTGATTAGCGTAGAAAATGAATAAAACTCCCAACATCATGGATCACCACTATCTTGCATTGTTTATTATAGAATTTATATTTTGTGTGTTTTTGTTACACGTTCCAAGAATAGGACCGGTTGTTGTTGTGCTAGATAATGCGATTAAGGCAACCTTACTACGGAGGGTGAATTAAGGAATTTTGATCGAATTATTTGACGCGTGTACCAATTGTTTTTTTTTTCTCTTTCTGTCCCTCTAACCTTTTCAATAGGCAAAAACAGAGGTCAATGACCTTAGACGTCATAAAAATTAACATCTTAGTCAGATTCTTTTGACTTTTGAGAATTTTGCTTCTCCTGATTGCCAGGAGCACGAGTTACTCATCTTGGATTCTTACGGTGGTAAATGCTAATAGAGAGAAGAATCAAAAGCAATAGGTTTAGTTTAGATCTATTACAACCTTAATGCCGGTAACGAATTTGCATAATCCTTCTACGTCTTCAAATGAAAATAGGTAATTATGAATATTCTTTTTCTCAGATATTTTTTTCCTTCTTTTTAATTAATTTACAGCAAATATATGAAGGCAAGTTAAACGGCATTGTATATAATAAAAAAAAAGAGAAGAAAAGAAAGTTGAATGGCAATTTGAAAGAGTCAGCTCTCTTCTTGCATTGGGTTAATCTGGCCGGCAAATCTTTGAACTCGTTATTATATAGACCCTCTTGTCTTCTTTATTTGTTGCCTGCATTACTTACAACTCTGTCTCAATTCCCAGATATTATGATCATCCAATAAAAAGGGTTTCAATTTTTTCAAATGAACGATTTGAAGACCTATTGATTCTAACAACTGATTGCATAGTTGATCGTTCGGACCTTTCAATTCATAGATGTGGATCTCAGACCTATGAATGGGGATATTCTCGAAACTCACAAAGAAAAAAGGAAGTGAGTTAGACAAAAAGAGAAGTAACTTGGACAAAAAAAGAAGTAACTTGGACAAAAAGAAACGAAGTGACTTAGACAAATCTTTTTTATCAATAACCTCAGACCAATCAATCGAATATTGATTAATACATAATCGATCGAACACTACTTGAAAACGGCTCTTCCGCTCAGAAACGAAATGTTCCAAATGCTCCTGGAAATTCTTGCTCCCATTGGACCATTTGTATCTATATGCATTAGGATCCCGATTTATGGATCTCTCGGTTCGAGAAAGAAAAATAAGAGGATCGAACCATTTCTTCTGACTCTTTTTCAAATTCGATAAATGTTGGTTGATCGTATCTTTCATTATAGTTCTATGATTCAGAGTATCATTTCCTATTAGATCCCTTTGAATTCCATATTCGAAGTTGCGATCAGGTCTCTTCATTAAAAAGAATCGATTCAATACATTTCTTATGTACCCATAGGGACTATATTGGAATTGGATTTGAATCAGATTTCGGATCAATCTATATTGATTGACTGCCTCCATTATGTTGTTGCTAGCAAATACCACTCTTTTTTGTTTTGGATCTTCCAAATAATTCCCGCAGGAGATCCGGACCCAATTTTTTCTGATCCTTCGATAAAAAGATTCATTTTCTTCATAAAAAATAGGAGGTAGAACCAATAAAGATTTCTTTTTCGATTCATCCCTGGAGTTGAAAACCTCCTTCAAGAATTGTCTTTGATCCAACCCGTAGGAATCAATAGAAAAGGCAAATCCCTTATGATACACCAGATCCGGCTCGGTTATTGATAGAGTGAATAGATCTGCCATTTCTTGAAATCTCTCTTCTGACTCAAAATCGTGGCGTAACGTGTACCCCCCCCTCTTCCGTTCATGGAATAGATCAAATAAATCAAAAAATTGATTTTTGTTCAAGAATGAAATCTTATTGGAACTGTCATTCCTGCTGATGCTCGTCTTCTTGAAGGAGACCCTTTAAAGATTGACCAGGCAAGCTCTTCCTTCTACATGCAAAAATATCAATAGCTCTGTTCTTAGCTCTCTCCTTCGACTAATGTTGGTTAGTTTTATCTTTTCTCCAGTCGGCACTTACAGGTGAATCTCTTCCGGTAAGCAAGAGTCCTGGTGCTTCAGTGTACTCTGGTTCAACTTGCAAATCAGGTGAGATCGAAGCAGTTGTTATAGCCACTGGTGTCCACACTTTCTTTGGCAAAGCTGCTCATCTTGTGGACAGTACCACCCACGTTGGTCACTTCCAGAAGGTTTGTTTTGTTTGTTCACACACTTTCAGAGTTAATATATGAAAAACTTTCAGAGGCTAAACTTTCAAATTTTTGCAGGTTTTGACAGCAATTGGAAACTTCTGTATCTGCTCTATTGCAGTAGGAATGGTGATTGAAATCATAGTGATATACGGTCTCCAAAAGAGAGGGTACCGTGTTGGTATCGATAACCTTCTTGTCTTATTGATTGGTGGTATCCCCATTGCAATGCCTACTGTTCTCTCTGTTACTATGGCTATTGGTGCCCATCGCCTTGCTCAACAGGTCACTAATATATACTAGTCTTCTTTTTTTGTTTTGATTTCTAAAATGATGACTTTACTTACAAGTTACAATCCATTTTCAGGGTGCCATAACAAAGAGAATGACAGCGATTGAAGAAATGGCGGGAATGGATGTTCTGTGCAGTGACAAGACGGGTACTCTCACGCTAAACAAGCTTTCCGTTGATAAAAATCTCATCGAGGTTTCGTCTCTTTTTCCCTCCATTAATTCTTCTTACTCTGTAGTTACAGATCAAGATGATGTAGTAATAGCATTTTCATGTGTTGTTTTGTTGTTGCAGATATTTAAGAGGGGCATCGACACAGATATGGCTGTGCTAATGGCTGCAAGAGCTGCACGTCTAGAGAACCAAGATGCTATTGATACTGCCATTGTTTCCATGTTGTCTGACCCCAAAGAAGTATCCATTCAAGACTCATCTTCTTCTAGCCACTAAATTAGAAAAAGCTGTGATGTATTGATTGATTGATCTGATACGCTTTGTATTCATCAGGCACGTGCTGGAATTCAAGAACTCCATTTTCTACCATTCAGTCCAGCTAATAGAAGAACTGCATTGACCTACTTAGATGGACAAGGAAAAATGCACCGTGTCAGCAAAGGAGCCCCTGAGGAGGTTGCTTGCTTTACAAGCTTCTAATACCACATTCCCTTATTTATACTCATTGTTTCCTGAGATATGGTTTTGAATTTTGAATCTTTTCATTTTTCTAGATTTTGGATATGGCACACAACAAATTAGAAATCAAGGACAAGGTACATGCTACAATTGAGAAATTTGCAGAGCGTGGCCTAAGATCCCTTGGCTTGGCATATCAGGTGAGTGAGACATAGATAATTAACTAGTTTTACTAGTAAAATGTGGACTTTTCTTTATTCTTTTTTAAAAACCAATTTTGAATACTGCATATAGGAAGTACCAGATGGTGATGTTAAAGGAGAAGGTGGTCCATGGGACTTTGTAGCTCTGCTTCCTCTGTTTGATCCTCCTCGTCATGACAGTGCTCAGACTATTGAGCGTGCACTTCATCTTGGTGTCAGTGTTAAAATGATCACTGGTGACCAGCTTGCAATTGCCAAAGAAACAGGAAGAAGGCTTGGAATGGGCACAAACATGTACCCATCTTCATCTCTGCTCTCTGATAACAACGCTGAAGCTGTCTCCATTGATGAACTCATCGAGAACGCTGATGGTTTTGCTGGAGTCTTTCCTGGTAACCCTACTCGCTTGTAAACTACCTTTATAACTATGATGTTTGATGAGCGATATCTGACAAACACCATTTATTGTTTTCCTGATTTCTTAGAGCACAAGTATGAGATTGTGAAGAGATTGCAATCAAGGAAACACATATGCGGTATGACTGGTGATGGAGTGAATGACGCACCTGCATTGAAGAAAGCTGATATTGGAATAGCTGTGGATGATGCCACTGATGCTGCTCGAAGTGCTTCTGATATTGTCTTAACAGAACCTGGTCTCAGTGTTATCATCAGTGCTGTCTTGACCAGCCGTGCCATTTTCCAAAGAATGAAGAATTACACGGTACTAAAGATTAAGTCTTATTCCTCTGTTCCTCATTGACTTATATAACCTGATAAAGCTTAAAATGAATGCTTATATTGGTTCTTTTTGGTTTTTAAACTTCATTGTGCAGATTTATGCTGTTTCTATCACTATACGTATTGTGGTAAGTTTCTACAACCGGAATGCATCAGATTTCTTGGTCCTATTTTCATCTGATAACACATATTTTTTCCTCTGTTTTTGTGTTACAACAGATGGGTTTCATGCTTCTATGTGTCTTCTGGGAGTTTGACTTTCCTCCATTCATGGTTCTTGTTATTGCTATCCTTAACGATGGTTAGTTAGTTAAGGTTAATTTTCAAATGATTAAGCTTAAGGTTATAGTAGCAATCTGATGAATTTGTTTTCTTGTTGAAAAAGGTACTATAATGACTATCTCCAAGGACAGAGTCAAGCCTTCTCCAACTCCAGATTGTTGGAAACTTAAGGAAATTTTTGCTACTGGTGTTGTTCTTGGAGCTTACTTAGCAATCATGACTGTTGTGTTTTTCTGGCTTGCATACGAAACCAACTTCTTCCCCGTAAGCTATCTATACTACATTTTAGATAGAATTTTTTTCTTAACTTCAACTTCACGGCAGAATAACAAAAATCTTTTTCCTTTTGTGTGGTAGAAAATTTTCGATGTGAGAAACTTCAACCAGCACCATTTCGACATGAAAGACAAGAAAGTGGCTGCACATCTCAACGAGCAGATGGCTTCTGCGGTTTATCTTCAAGTCAGCACGATCAGTCAAGCGTTGATCTTCGTGACACGTTCCAGGAGCTGGTCATTTGTTGAACGTCCTGGTTCTCTTCTTGTCATTGCTTTCCTAATTGCTCAGCTGGTAAAAGACTTTTTCATTCATTCTCTTCCTTAATGACTCTTACCTTCTTCATTCATGGTTTGTGTTAATGGAACCTATTTTGTGTGAAAAAGGTTGCATCGGCGATATCAGCAATGGCAACATGGCCTTTTGCTGGAATCAGAAGCATTGGATGGGGTTGGACTGGAGTTATCTGGATATTCAACATTGTAACTTACATGTTACTTGATCCTATCAAATTCGCAGTCCGTTATGCTCTAAGTGGCAAATCCTGGAACCGTATGATCGAGCAAAGGGTCAGTGTGCTGTAGATATACACACTATAATTGACACAGTTTGACTTTGGTGCTTCAAGATTTACATTTACCTAACAAGAATTGTGTGATTTGTTTCCAGATTGCACTCACTGGCAAGAAGAACTTTGGGCAAGAACAAAGAATGGCTGCATGGGCCACCGAGCAGCGTACACAACACGGTTTAGAGACAGGTCAAAAGCCGATGTTTGAGAGGAACGGTGCAACAGAGCTTAACAATATGGCTGATGAAGCTAAAAGGCGTGCGGAAATTGCAAGGTTAGATTTTTGATCACTTTCTGTAATGTTTATAGAGTAAAGAACGAGTGATGATGATCTCTCATGTTTTAATTTTTTATGATGGAATTTTGTAGAATGAGAGAGCTTCAGACATTGAAGGGGAAAGTTGAATCAGCTGCAAAGCTGAAAGGCTATGATCTTGATGATGTTAACAACAACAACTACACAATCTGAGAGTCTTAATCTCTGCTTACATTATTCATTTTTATTTATGTTTTATCTTCTTTCTTTTCCTAAATGTAATACTATTCTTCTTGATATCGACGTTCATGTTGATATCTTCCATTTGATGCTTGTAACTTTATTACTTTTATTTGATGAAAATTCACACTTGATTGGTTTTGTTCAGCATATAATAAACTACACACGTTAAATGTTAACTCTTGTTCTGGTCTATGAAGTGTTTAGGTTGGTGAAGAAGTATAAAAATGTAATGGTAGCATCTTTAAATTTATGAGTCATCTTAAAACTTCACCAACTACGTTGGGTCATCCAATTCCATATCCACCCTGAGAAAGAAATAAAAACTAAGTTAGACTTGTAACAGCAAAAGGACGATTTTGGTTTAGTGAAGCTTATAAATTTCTCAGATATTGGAATCTCATTACATTTCTTTTTTTGCGCTCAGAAATTGTTGTAGTTATATTGGTTCTTGTTTAAGTGTTACTTAATCTTAAAAATGGGCTAGTTTGTGCTTTGTAACATTTACATTCTCATGCATAAAATAAAATAACTTTTAGCATAACATACGAAAAAATTTAGCAAAAAAAAAAGCAAAAAAAAAAGCCAGATATTTAATTTTCTAGTTACATTTGCTGCTTTGCATAATCATATGGAATACCAAACCAGAATTCAAAGCAGACTGGTTTAAATACTTTCAAACAAAAATCTCAAACTTTTTGGCATGCTCTTTGTAACTTGTAATAAACATTGATAAAACACACGAACTTTGACTGTTTATATCTCTCATCAAATCCTTCGGTTCTCTTTGGCTTTATTACACACACTTAGTTGTAATGATACAAAACTACAAAACAACATGCTTGATGATTCACTAATGCGTGATCACACATTAGTTTGATATTTAAATTACAAGTTAAATTTACAGAATCATATCGAATTCCAAACCAGAATTAGAAGCAAACCGGTTTAGATATGTTTCTTTTGAAACAAGTCTCGAAGTCTTTGACGTTCCGTTTCTTTTAAAATGACACAGAACGTTAGTTGTTTGTTTTTCTCATCAAATCTTCAATTCTCTTTGGCTTTATTACAGAACACAAAGCTGCAATGACAAACCCACGCGATTAACCCGAGCGTGAATAAAAGAAACCAACTAAAAGTCAACTAACTCACTAGCGCGTGCTTCACACATGCCCTTACTGTTGATATGAAAACCAACCACAAGAGTTTCTCTCATCGAACAAACAATTATTAAAATTCTCTGCGATCCTCGGGAGAATCAAATATTAATCCGGTCGGGGACGAGACCAACTTCGCCGGCGGAGTTTGTTCCGGTATCGGAGATTACGATTCCGTTTCACAATTTTACATCTTCTTTCCCCCCAACAAAACCCTAGATTAGCGGAAAAGGGAATTTTGCTTTTGTTCTACTCGAGTTTATCAGTTTGTTCTCTGAAATTACAGGAAGAAAGAATGGCTTTTCTTAAGGCAGCAGTTATTGTTGCCCTAATTTCCACTTTCGTCACACTCGCTTCCTCTGTTCCTTTCATAGTTCTGCATGGTAATTCGCTATCTGAATTTCACTTTCTCCTTTTTTGTTGTTCGTAACTGGATCGTTTTCGAATGAATGGATACTGCGACAATCATGTTCTAATTGATAATTTTTTTATCAATCAACTGTTTCCTTATTTGCTGGAGATTGATTAGTGATTAGTTGATTAGTTGATTAGTGTCTTTAGGTTCTTGAATTCCCAGTAGTGAAAGCCAAAATTCTGTGTTTACTTTCTCAGGAATTGGAGATAAATGCAGTAATGCAGGAGTGAAACATTTCACAGAGCTTTTAGGTGATTGGTCTGGTTCTCAGGGATATTGCTTGTATGTCTTATGTCTATGTCTTCATTTATTTACACCACAGACATGTACAATCAACGCTCAAATGTTTGTATTGACTCCATTATTGTGTTTCTTTGTAAATTCAGGGAGATTGGGAAAGGCTCGTGGGACTCATGGACCATGCCCCTTCTTGATCAGGTAATGACATCACATGTTTATAAGAATGAAACTTGTATATGTATTTATGCTTCCAAGAACAAAAACAAAAAAAATCTGATTTTTGGTCTCTCTGTTTTTGTTTGTGAGTGTCTTTGCAGACAGCGGTTGTTTGTGAGAAGGTGAGATTAACTGGATCAACTGTTTACTAATTTTTGACATTTTGAAAATCCACTTCATTATTGTATGTCTAATAATAATAAAACAGGTGAAGAGTATGCCTGAGCTTAGTGACGGTTACAGCATTGTGGGGCTTTCTCAAGGTAACATGATTGGTCGAGCTCTCATTGAGTTTTGCGATGGAGCGCCACCTGTAAGTCCCATTAACTTATGTGTATGAATTGTTTTGTAAGGAGCCATGCTTTTGTTCAAGCATTTTCAATCTTATACTTGTCCTGTAATGGTTAGGTTAAGAACTTTGTATCAGTAGCTGGTCCTCATGCTGGCACTGCATCGATTCCTTTCTGTGGCGTAAGTTCACTAAATCCCTCCTAAAATTTTTGTTTCCTCTAATGACATGGAGCTTATTTGATTGATTCTGCAGGCTACATGGATTTGCATCATGTTGGACAGTATGATCAAAACAGAGATCTATAGCGACTATTTGCAGGTACTACTGCTATGTTCAGTAGCATTTTACCTCTTTTTGGTTACGGAAGTGAAACTTAGTACATCTGATTTGAGTTTCAGGAACATTTAGCTCCGAGCGGTTTTCTGAAAATCCCAACTGTGAGTTTTCTTTGGAGATTTCAAAAGTTTCAGATTAGAGACGTTTCGTTCCAATTCTTGTTGTAACCGAATGCTTTTTTTCCATAGGACATTGCCGGTTACATGGAAGGATGTAGGTTTCTCCCAAAGCTAAACAATGAGCTTCCAGTTAAAAACTCGACTTATAAAGAGAGGTTCTCAAGCTTGGAGAATCTCGTGCTTATTATGGTTAGTTATTCATCGAACGAACGCCACTTCTCTGCTATTATTAGCTTGCAAGTTTCTTTTTGATGGTAACGTTTTTGTTTTTTTGATTGAATTATCAGTTTGAGCATGACACAATACTGATACCTAAAGAGACCTCATGGTTTGGATATTATCCTGATGGGTCTTTTAAGACCATTCTTCCGCCACAAGAGGTAAATTAAACCCCTTTCAATCATTGTTTCAAATGGCTCATCTTTTGCAGATACATCGGTTTATGGTAAGTGTTTGGATTTGTTTTTTGTTACTGTTGTAGACGAAGCTGTATACCGAGGACTGGATCGGTTTAAGAAGCTTAGACGAAGCTGGAAAGGTGAAGTTTGTTAACGTCTCTGGGAATCATCTTCAGATATCACATGAAGACATGAAGAAGCATATAGTGCCATACCTAAGTGACAAAGCATCATCATCATCATCGTCATCATCGTCATCATCAGTAATAATGGAAGTTTCCGAGTATTCTTCCTCGCAAAAGTGGCTTCCAAAAGTGTAGGTAAGTTCGTTATGGATCTGATTGGTCCAGAGGTGGATCAGCTTCAGCTTGTGCTGCGTCATGTCTGAATCTGATGTGTTCATGTTGTTGTTTGTTGTCTTACTAAACACAATCATCACGACGTGATTAGTATATATATATATATTCAATTCAACTTCAGTTATTCGCTAATAAAAAGCCATTGACCACATGAATTAGAGACAGGGAAAAGCTAAAATTTAAGCCCTATTTCCATATACCCCATACCTTTCTACTAGAGAAAGAAACAGACCATTTAACATGTAAAACCGATGCAAGGAAACGAATTGTGAGGTTGGCTATTTATGAAATATGGAGAGGGGAGTGTTTACACAAAGGAACAAACGCGTGTTCCATTGTGGAAGGTTTAGCCCTCTGAGATCATGCCAGAGATTTGGTTATCCAACTAAGTGTTGTTGAGAGTTTGAGTCAGACTCTGATTAAAACCATTAATGAAGGCTCTTGATGCTATCGATTTCCCTTTCTTTTGATGAAATTTCATTTACCACCACGGGAAGAGAACAATCTATCTAGTAGAACAAGCTTTTAATTTGGCTTTTATGACACCACCACAGTCAAGACAGTAGATAATATATGGGTATTCTTTTTTTTTGGGCGAAGAGAAGAATTTGAGTACAATTGACTAAAGAAATAAATAAAATTGATTAATACTGGACGTAAAACTGGCAAGATTTGTCGATTTGAAATAAAACTCTAAAAACAATTCGGTAAAAGAAAAGTTAATAAAACAAAAACTGGGAAGATTTGATCATTTCCATTCACTAATTTTTTTTTTAACTACAAATAGTTTCTCAAATCCCAAAGTGAAGGTTCATGATGTCTATCCTCGAAATATTTTTGTGTGAATTGTAAATGTGAAAAGCAAATTCAAGTTGTGATATCTTCCTGCTTTATGCTGTGTTTTTCTCGTACAGTAACAAATATATGAAAAAAAAATCACAAGAAACTCACGTTTTTCAGCAGCTGGATATACAAATCCAAATATGAAATGCATTTTAATTTCTTCCAACTCAGCATCCAATTCACAAGCTATCATGACATTTTATCTTTTGATATTAAGATTATACATGACATCATCAAAATGTGGATCTACGGTGAAAAGCATAATATTCAGGAGGATCATTTTCGTTGGTGAAGATGGCGATATCCTGGGTAATGAAAAATATCTACAATATCATCTGCAATATCATCCAAGATGAAGATTCATTATATTTTATGTATACCTCCTTTACAATTGGTTTTGGCACAATAGTTTTTTCTCTTTGTGATGTGCTTCACATTGACTACACAAGTTAACTTTTTAATTCCAAATAGTGCATTTGGGGATCGAGGCTAGAGAAATATCCATAAATAGTCATAGTTAATATGTGAAAATTGGATATCTCAAACTTTAGTTTTTGTTTCATAAAATATCAAATTTCATCCGATCATATTTTGGTTTAAATTGGTTTAAATTGATTCTCTAGTTTTAAAGGAAAAAAATATTTCTCATAGTTATTTTCCACACAAAAACTAACACAGCATTTATATTTTGTGCAGTGAAAATAAATGAAAATCACAATAAAACATTTGTAAGAAAAAAGAAACAAGTGGAAATAATTATTAATTGGTAACATATAGTTTTCGTTAAATTTATGTTTGCCTCTAAAATTATCCATTAAACTATCTTATGTTATTGTCGTCAAAAACAAAAAAAAACCCATCTTATGTTGCTTTTTTCAACCATGTTAATTAGATAAAGACTCATAAACATTCTTTCAAAACCTTACAAATACTTATTTAAAATAATCTATGATAATTGGAACATAAAACGAAGCAAAAATCCAATAGTCTTGGTAAAATGTAAACTACTGGATTGGAACACCTGATGTTTTGTCATGAAATTTGTGATATTTTTTTGTGTTTCAAATAATATGTTTATGTCACAATAGCCTAAAAAATGATTATGAACAACAATGATCCCTAAATTATGTCCAGAAAATTTATTTCAGCAGAATGAGATAAAGAAACATGAATCCATATGTAGTATATGTATATCACAAGATTCAGAACACTTTTCTATTCAAAGATTCACAACATTTTTTATGTCTTGTAAAGAAACATAAATTCATATAGTATGTATATCACAAAAAGTCATCATATTTATGTCTTTAATAATCTGAATCAAGCAAGCATTATGTAGCAAGTGAGTATCTGATTGGGCTGGGCCTGGTTGTGGTAATCAAAGCCCATTACTTTACTAGGTCCGAGTCAAAGATGTTATTTCTTCCTTCTGTAGACGAAGATACCGAGGACTGACTGGATCGAAATCATCTTAGATCGACGACCATCTCCGACGAAACCATGTCTTCCTTGACCACCAGCTACGCTGGTAATCTCTCTCTCTCTCTCTCTCTCTCTCTCTCTCTCTCTGACTCTCTTAAGGAAAACGAGTCTTTAACTCTTAATAAATTATGCATATATAATGATTAATAAATTGCTGGAACGAGAATCCTAGTTAGTTAACCATATTTAAATAAGTATAGTAAAGATAATACTTATAAATGTTAATTGTCTCCTAATCGACCACCACTGGAGTTGTAGTATAAATGCGTGCGTTTCTTGCATTTGGCAGAGGCAAAGACATGCGTCTTCTGGGACGTGGAGGATTGCCCGATCCCAGACGGTCAGGATCCGGAATCGGTTGCGATCAACATCAAATCAGCTCTTGCCAAGAATGGCTACCGTGGAGAGGTGACAATCCGGGCTTATGGTGAAAAGTACCAGGTCCAAGATTTCTATGAATCCGCCGGAATCAAGCTCTTTCCCCAAGGTCAAATTCCTTTTACCCTTGTTTAAAAGTTAAAAACCTTCACTAATTTTATGTATGTATCTTTATGTATGGATTATAAATGGGTTTCAGGAGATAATTATGCGAGATATATGAAGATGCATATGGCGGTTTATGATTGGATGGGTGAGAACGGTCTAGAATTGACGAATCTGATGATGGTATCAGGAGATAACTCGGGCTTTAGGCGTACTGTTGGAATGCGTAACCATAATATTCTGTTAGCACAGCCTCAAAACTCACCAAGAAGATGCAGCGATTGCACAAGTCCTTTGCCTGCAATTGTCAGTGCTGAATGGATTTGGGAAAGCCTCTCTGCTGGAGGAGACCCCATCACCACCACTCCCACTACTTCTTATTAGTCTCTTGTTTACAGAGCCATGTTGTAATAATGCTTTAGTTTGACGTGTTATCTAATTTAATTATCAGCACCAGCTTGTGGCTTGGGAAACACATGCCTGCCTTGTTTATCAAGCTTTCATATGAATCTAGGTTTGTTTGCATGGCAGTCTATATTTACACGAGAGTTTATAAAACAGACAAAGATAAAGTGAAATTTGATATACAAAACAAAAGAGTATCATTTGAAACGCACAGAAGAAGCTCCCCTCCTCCTCATCATCAGTTATCTTCTGACTTTTCTCGGAACCCCCCTCGTCAGTTTCTTCATCACATGTCCGAACCAGATACAATAGGACCATCGCCATCGAACAGTGGCAAATCCGATTCTGGCAAGTCATCAGGCACTACTAAGAAAACATCGTAACCTTTTGCCGTCAAACGTTGCATAACACTGACCAACTCTGTCGTAACATCTGGGATGTCTTTTAAAGCTAGGAAAAGATTTGTTGATTGGGGATTAGGATGGCAGCGTGAAAAGTCGATCATGTCAAGTAGCATCTTGTTGAGCCTCGCACGTTTTTCAACCGACGACTCGGGTACGTACCAGATTTGGGCCTCGTGAAACTCCCTCCTCTCTTGAGTAATTTTTTCCTTGCCGTACGCATGGATTTATGTTAGAAAATAAGGATTTGATTAAGTTTCGGATACAAAGATTTGAGACAATTGTTTTCATCTGAATCAATATCCAAAACGTAAAGCAATGCCCACAGTAAAGCTGAACGGTAATTGTTGTCTCAGGTTTCACGCCAAGACCTTCCTTAACCCATGGTCTAAACCCACCTTGCACAAAGTAAGGCCTCTGTCACATTATAACCAACCTAAAGAAGAGCTTATTTCAGAAATATTTCTGAGGTACACCAGAATTAGAGCGAGTAGAGGCATGAAGGTGGCACGCCTTAACTGTAGGTGTCAAACTTAAACATGAATGAAGAACAAGAAGCATATAACTCCACATGTGGGAAAGAACCGGTTTGCGAAGAAACCCAACATTTCATAGAGCTGAAAGAACCGGTTTGTTTAGCATAGTGAAAATAACAAGTTAAACGATCCAAGAACACAAAACAAACGGCGTTTAAGACAGACAAGGATAAAATTCAATTTCACACAACCAAACAAAGATAACTACTACCAAAAAGGGTCCTTAACTCTTTTTGGAAGTTCCTTCCGGACACCCTTCCGACGATTCTTGGGACCTTGTGAAGTTCCCACTAGATCCGTGTTGATCACGGTAGGGGAATCTCCATCAAACAGAGATGTCCAACGCCACACTAAGCTTGCAGAATCTCTAGGTGGAAAATCCGATTCTGAGGCGTCATCAGGCACCACAAAGGAAACCTTGCGACCTCTTCTTCTCAAACCCTCCATAACACTGAACAAATCAGTGTCTACACCCTGGATGTCTTTTGCAGCTACAAGTATATTCACAACACGGGCCCCACGAATACTTTGGGCAAATGCAAGCATGTCCAATATTATGGCGTGGAGTCTCTTACATTTTTCACCTGGAAAGACATATGAACACAGATCAATACAAAAGAAAATAAAAAAAAAAGAGAAAAAAGGTTGAAGGATTTTGTTCACCATAGTCTAACGAGATTTGGGCACCGCGAAAGTCGTATTTCTCTTCTTCAGTAAATTCTTCACAATAACCTTGGATGCGAATAACATCTTCTAAACCCTTATAATAATCCTTGCCCACAACAGCTCGTCCGACGTTTGTATATAACATCTTCAAATCGCGATCCAGTGGGACTGGGAAATCATTGACGTCCCACAAGAGGAGTGTGTGAGACGCTGCGAACGCATATAATCAATTAGGAATCAATTCAGTTTACACATCTTAATTATCAATTCAATTTATACATGTTATATATATTTCAGGGTTGGGTTTGCTCAATCACGATTCTACCCCTTACTACAACCTCATACACCGCCACGCAGTTGAGAATAATTTTGTAATTTACGTTGGTGAGGCCCGGCACCAAACTTGCTCGTTACTCCATCTAGATTCTAGAACACCTTTGATTATGGATCAAAACCCCAAAACCCCAAGTTTTTTTTGTTTGATTTGCAAATAAAATTCATCTTTTATTTTCTAAAATTTCTGATGATAATAAAAATAAGAAAGCAAAACATAATTTAGTACGAGAATTAGATAATGTGAAATTTCATACTAGAAAAAACTAAAGCCTCTATATCATCATCATTTTCAAATTTTGATAAAACATTATTATATTGTCGATGCATCATCAGAGCTATTTGTGGATTGGACACGTACCCTAAACATTGTCTTGACCAGAATCACCGTCATCTTCACCATTAAAGAATAAACAGTCTCGTGGTCTTCGATCTAAAAGGGCTCGATATTCGGTTTGGGGCATAGGAGGATCTCCTTCTTCCAGTAGGTTTTTCCAATACCATGCTAAGTTTAACATCAGGAATGTTCACTTCTTCTGGTTTGACATCATCTGACACTACTAATAAAACATTGAAATCTGAAGGATTCAAATTTTAAAGAAAATCTGACACTACGAAATGTCACAATAAATGGACTAACAAAGTGAAGAAAAGAACATCTCTAATTAAGATGTCGTTGATTCAAACATCTTCGAAGCAAATAAAGAAACATTTGTCCTGTCCACATACATATATATCACAACACATTTCTGGCTTGAATCCGAATCAAACATCTTCTGATACAACAGTCTTGGAGAGTTATGCAGCATATATAAGAGCCTGATTATTTTTCTTTTGTTTTGGCTTGAGTTGACTTGTATGGTATCAGAAATACTCTATCGCTATGATTTATGAATGCTCTGATTTCAAATCAAATCCTATTATAAGAAACTTTCTTTCATTTTGAAGGTTCTGTTTGGTGATGCTCTAGATTGGGAAGAATTAAAAGCGTGTGCGAGTGTACCGTCCCTTTGAGAAATGCGATTACGTACAACGCAAGAATAGCTAACGAGATCTGCTTCCAAAAGCTTGAATATGTTCTCACACAGCTTGATTCTGAAAATAACCGCTGAGAAACTTTGTCTGCAAACATTTCAAGTTCGCAGGAATCATGCAGTATATAGTTTCTAGAATAGCATAGGTTATCCTATTAAAGTAGCCCCGGTTTTTTTGTGTTTGAGTCACGTGTGGCACAAGTAAGTTGAGAGTCTTAGTTTTTTGCTGTATTTATCACTAAAAATGGCCTGAATCACATATTCACATCACATGCAAGATAGGAAGTTAGGAACTGCGTTGCTTTTGGATATGAAGAGAGTTGTCGCACATCTTGCGACCTTGCGTCTGGGTGGGCCTGGTAGAAATCAGATAGGCCCAGTTGGAATAATCATTGGGACCCAACCAGAGCCCCATTAAGTACTTCACTCTGATCTCAGTCTCACTTTGTCACTTGGAAACCTAATTTCCCTTCCGTTTGTTCGGTGAAGTCTCTCCGTAAATTTCTCCATCTCCGTCGTCGGTCGAAAGTCGAAAGTCGAAACCATGTCTTCATTCGCTGGTAACCCTCTCTCTCAGATAGCCTTAAATTTTAAATATGTGAAATAAATTATGCATAATGATTAAAACGCTGAAACGAATATAATTAATCATATTTCATATAGACAAATAGTTAAACATAAACATAAACATAAACACACGTATTTTAAATGCGTTTCTTGCATTTGGCAGAGGCAAAGACATGCGTCTTCTGGGACGTGGAGGATTGCCCGATCCCAGACGGTCAGGATCCGGAATCGGTTGCGATCAACATCAGATCAGCTCTTGCCAACAATGGCTACGGTGGAGAGGTGACAATCTGGGCTTATGGTGAAAAGTACCAGGTGCAAGATTTCTACGAATCCGCCGGAATCAAGCTCTTTCCTCAAGGTCAAATTCCTTTTACCCTTGTTTAAAAGTTAAAACCTTTCACTAACTTTTATGTCTGTATCTTATAAATGGATGATTATATATGGGTTTCAGGAGATGATTATGCGAGATATAGGGAGATGGATTTGGCTGTTTTTGATTGGATGCATGAGAGCCGTCCAGAATTGACGAATATGATGATGGTCTCCGGAGATAAATTGCGCTTTACACGTGTTCTCGGAATGTGTAATGATCTCTGCCATAATATCCTCTTAACACAGCCTCAAGACTCACCAAGAGGTTGCAGCGATTGCACAAGTCCTTTGTCTGCAATTGTCTCTGCTGAATGGATCTGGGAAAGCCTCTCTGCTGGAGGAGACCCCATCACCACCGCTTAGTCTCTTCTTTACATATGAGTATTGTAACAAATGATTATCTGTTCTAGTCATTAGTCCTCTGTAATAACTACATTGACTGTTATGCGTTATTAGTATTAACTAGATCCCTCTTTCTTCTTATTTTACATCTCTCGCAAACTTTATAATCACATGAATGCTGCTGTTCCCAATCTGTTCTATCAAAATATGTATGGAACTTGTTCATTATGGTCAGGAAGTGGATCAGCGTAACCTTGTGATTAGTTTTGTAACTTGTAGAAACAAGAAAAGCTTTCATATTTATGATTCAAGAAAAAATGTCACAGAGAGCCTAACAAAGGGATCCCTAAGGTCTGTTGATTCAAACATCTTATAACCAAAATAAAGAGAAACATTTTGTCTTGTCCACATATATATATCACAACACATTTCTGTCTTGAATCCGAATCAAACATCTTCTGAGACAAAGAGTCTTGGAGAGTTTTGCAGCAGAGGAGCCTGATTCTTGTTTGCTTTGGCTTGACTTGTATGGTTTTCGACAGATACAGAAACATACTCTATCGCTATGATCATCATGAATGCTCTAGTAAAGTTATAAAAAAAAGGGGCTCAAATCAGATCCTAAGATAAGAAACTTTCTTTCCTTTTGAAGACTCTGCCTGGTGATGCTCTAGATTGCGAAGCACAATCTTCGCAAAGATCTTAGCTTCACGAGGCATTTGCGAAGATGCAGCTGCAGAACGCAACACTCTTGCTTCTCCTGCGCTCTGCATCAAGCTTGCGTGATGCATCGCGTGACGACCTCCAGGTATTGTAAACTGCATATACATTAATTCATATTCTCCATCGGTTACTAGTACTCAAAATGCAATTTGATTTGATTCCATGCACACATACAGATATATATATACCTGGAGAAGCGCAAAAGCTGCACATGCTTTGAGTACAGGATAAGGGTTTCGCAACATTGTAACAAATCTTCCAATCTCAGAACCACTGCATCTCAAGTGGCCAGCTTCCGGGATTCGAGCTTTCTCTGTGACTTGTGCAAGCATGGATGGGGCACATGAGAAAGCAGCTGCTGCAAAGATTTGGGGTTCCATGAAAGTTTTAATGAAATCATCAATGTGTTTAAGAGCCATTGCTCTAGCACCCTCTAAGCTAACACTTTTCGATGTACTTTCTCCTATCGTCGCGTAGTCATCCATTCTGTGTACAAATGTAAAGATAGATAAGATCAAAAGTTAGATTTTTTAGTATATTAACAGAGACAAATCTGGCAAATATCTTGAATGTGGATATGAGCTATATAAGCTTTGAGTACCTTCCATCAAACATGTATGCTAATGCTAACGCTGCCATGAAACGAGCCATTTTGGAAACAGAAGACAAACAGAGGTTAACGAGTGCTATAACTCCTCCTTCCGCCACAATGCGGAGTGCGTTACCAGGATTAAAAGCAAGATTCCACAGAGCTCCGGCTGCAGTTTCATGTACATCCTGCACAACAAAAGGTAAAAGCTGGATCGGATTAATCCATAATACTACCTGGACATGACAACTTAGAAGGAAAACAAGTATTTACCTCAGCTTCGGATCGTGCAAGAGCAATGAGAGGCGGAATACCACCTTCATGTCCAATAGCAATGCTGATAGAAGAATATCAAAAAAAGAAACTAAAGGATTATCATTAAGGTTATACGTAAATCGCTTTTGCATTGACGTTGCTACCAAGGCTATATTAATCATATATGCACCTGTTTACTTCTGAGACTGATAGTCCCCAAAGAGCACCAGCTGCTCTCTCTTGCAGACCTGTGGATGCATTTGAACAGGACTTCGCAAGTGCCACCTAATATATGACCAGGAAGAAGAGATAAGAATAAGATGCCTGAATATGAAGAAGCTGTGGAAAAACACAAATGAAATATAAAAACACTAAGGAAAACCTAATACCAATGCTTCAACACCACCAAATGCAGCAATGGATTCTCGGTTTTTGTCATCGAATGACAAATTCCAAAGAGCACCAGCAGCTTCCTGTTTAACACCTTCATGAGGCGACTTCGTGAGCTGAACAAGAGCTTCTAATGCACCAGCCTCTTGTCCAACAGCAGCATTATTATTGTTGCTATCACCATGAGCAGCCAGATTAGCCAAAGCACGAGCCGCCTGAAAATAAAAACAATTTGTCACAAAATTAATTTCACACCATAACTCGTAATCACCACAAGCATATAACCGATACAAAACAAACAATAATAAGATGCATTCCAAAAACAAGTACCTGTTCTTGTGCTCCTTCATACTTGCATTTCCGAGCTAGCATCACCAAGGCATGTACACCTCCTGCTCTTGCAACTTCTGTGCTGCATTTATCGTCTGCTGCTAAATTCGCCAATGCACCAGCAGCACGTTCCTAATCACACAAAAAGGGCAGAATTCTCCTTTTAGAAAGGACAAACTATAAAAAGTAACACTACAAGTATAATATCTAGCACCACAACCAAATCTGGAAACATCTTTGCATTTCATTGTAAAATTATTCAATCTAAAAACCCTAATACAAAATGATAATATTATAAATCCGAGTGTGAACAAGTACTTAGCCAGAAGTATTCATTTTGGATATGTCCAAATCAAAAGTGTGAGACTTTAAAGGTTGCAAGCGTGTACCAGAACTCCATCACAGCCATTTGGCCATCTAAATATCAGCTCGACTAACGCCTTCACTCCTCCAGCTTGAGTAATCGCGTTCTAATAGAAAACAAGCAAGAAACAGCAATATTAGTTAAAGAGCCAAAGGTCATATATGTGTTCAACTCTTTACAAGAGGACCCTAACCTTATGCTCTTCTCCAACAGAGAGATTCCACAGTCCACCAGCAGCTTCTTCAGCCACAAGTCTATTCATAGACTTCGCCAAACCAGCAAGAACACTGATCCCTCCTTCTTCAGCAACAGCCTTTGCAACTTTAGCATTTACCGACAAGTTTGCAATAGCCTTTGCAGCTTCTGACTGAAGACCTTCTCGCCAAGACTTAGCAAGTTCCAGAAGAAGTCTGATCCCTCCATCTCGCATAACTGCTTCGGCTCTTCCACAGTCTATACTAGCATTCTCATCATCGACAACAATGAAAGTAGCAAGTCCTGTGGCTGCTCTCTCTTGGACATCCTCTTGCGAGCTCTGCATTAAGCTGAGAAGCAACGCAGCTCCCTGATTCAGCCAGAAATCGTTCAGTCCTGGTAAATTGCTCTCTGCAATTCGTAGAAGCGTATGAGAAACGATCCACTCAATCCAACGCATCATTTCGTCAATGCTTTTATCCTTGCTTGTCAAATCTCTCCAGTAAGAAAATACATCCTTTGGTTTCTTTGACTTATCGGCAAATAAAGAAGCAATCCCATCAAAATTATCAGTAAATAGAGCAAGCAAGACCTTTCCTTTGAAGCCACTGGAGCTGAAACTTTTATCCTCTTCGAGAACAGAGCAGTTTAAAGCACACAAAACTTTCAAGCTCTGCGATGATTTCATCAACCTGGACACTGCAATATGGTCAATGCTGGTCCTCGAGACATCCAAAGCGGTTAGCTTCGGCAGCTTCTCCCAGTTATCCGCTGCAACTTTCCAGTTCATGTTCGTCGTCCCTGCAACAGAGAGGTAACGAACAGATACCACTTTCCCCAATGCTTCTTCGTTGATGTTCAAGCAATCCAAGAATCCAAGATCACTGAGCTGTGGACAATGCTTGGCCAAAGATTCAATTGCCTCAGAGCTAACATCTTTCATCCCAGAAAGCCGGAGCTTCTTAAGCCGTGGACAGCAAAACGCTATAACTCTTATAGCATCACTAGTGATCCTCTCACAGAAGTCAGGTCCAAGCTGGAGGCTCTCCAGACCTTCATGACGCGCCGCAATCATAGACAATGTAGCATCCGTTATCTTCCTACAGTAATCTCCGCTTATCTCAACCAGATTCCTTGCCCTGAGGTTGATTAAGGCATCAGCAGAGTCAACACCACGAAACCTAACCTTGTGGAGATTAGCACACCTGGTTGCAAGAGAAGCTGCCATTGAGAGATTAAACTTGTGGACACGAAGATCCAACGAAGTCCACAAGCAAGAGGAAGCACCAAGGCTTCTCCATGTTGTACAAGTCGATGCTAAGCTAGCTCTATCACGATAATTCAATCGAGTAAACAGATGAAGCACTGAGTCGTAAGGCAAACTAGTCCAATCCACATACTCTTCAGATTTTGGTGCTAAATCCTCATCGCCAATCACACGATCACTACTCGGCGAATCAACCTTGTTCTTCCCCTTTTCCTCCACTCTCTGACGCACCCTACGACTCATAATTACTTGATCGGATTTATATACACACTCTATTGAGCAATCCTCTTGCTGCTACAGAAACCAAATCATCATCATCATACAGATCCTACTCCGCCTAGCAAAAACAAAACCTGTAGACGAAGAAGAAGAAAAAGAGATCAATTGGGAAATTTAGAAACCCAATTGCTCCCGAAACTAAACTCTCATTGCTGATATGAGATAAACAGAGAGAAGTGAGAATGAGAAGGAGAATGCTCGCTGGTTTCAGACGAGAAAAACCCTCGAATAGAAACGCAAACAAGGGCACTTGAATAAACAGAATCTCTGGCTCTTACTATTCGCATTCAATTCAGAGAAAGAGACTCAATTGGGGGAAGAAAAAGTGAAGGAGTGAGAGAATTCAAGCGAGCCCAGAGGGAAGAAAAACAGTTACCAGAAAAAATGGGAAAAAATGATGAAGAGGGCAAAACCAATACACCTTAAAGTAATCACCTTTGGAACAGAAAGGAGAAGAAGTTTCTTCTCTTCCCTTTTTCCGAGCGACAGAGAAAGGAGGAAGAAATTGAGGAATTGGGGAATGAAGGAGAGAGAGAGAGAGAGAGAGAGACGAGAGAAGGGCGGTGTTGAAAGAAGAGCTCATATAGGCATATTGTAAATTGTAAAAGAGAGCATCAATCACCTCCTTTGCACGGTACATTTTATATATTACCAATTACCATTCCTCTTTTTCTTCCCATTTTCTACTTGTGATTTCATAATATTACCATTTCCTTTGATTAATGGTTAGTTTTCATAGATTTTCATCAGTGTTTTACCATAATGTAAACCATTATTCACACGATTATATGATATCACAACGATTTATTTTTTAAATGATGTAACTTTTATCAGCGTTTACAGTGTTTTCGCGCGTAATATATTAACTATATCTAAAATTTTATATTGATTAATGTCCAAAGAATTTTCGCGCGTATATACACAATTGTATAGAAACTTTTTAAAATTTCAAACTACAAAATTTAACGAATTGGATATATTATTTACTATTTTGTATATTTACATCAAGTTTCAGAAGAAAAAAAAAACAAATTTATATGAATTTTGTATATATAATTAATATTTCTCTGCTATTTAAGTTTTTTCAAATTAATAGTTAAACATTTTTGGTAGTAATATAATATCACAACACATGAGTGACCATGTGTCTTACGCCTTTAATAATTAAGATTTTTCTAGTAATTAATTAATGGCTTTTATGATGTTTCTTAAAATAATTTAAGAGTAATTTGTTTTTAGTAAAAACAACAAATTATCACAAACCATGAGTGACATGTGTTTTGTGCCAAAGAGGGATTTTCGTCTTTAATAGCTACGATTTTATTCAAAATTTAACTTATACGGTAACCGCAACTGTTACTTTAGAGTAAACTCCAAGAAGTTGTAACAATAAATAAATAAATACATAAAATTCCGAAACAGCTATAGCTACGACCAGTATGACAAATCGAATCAAACACTCTCTTTTAGAGTAAGATATTGTAGGTAAAAGGTAAAGGGAAAAGAGAAGAGAAAGAAGCACATTGCTGATTGCTATTATTGACAACCTTCTTTTGCAACCCAAACTTTATGTTATGTGAAATAAATTAAAAGTAAGTCTGAATATTGGATACTTCACAGCTATTTTTAGCTTCTTGTGTTAAAAATTTCATCAATCACAAATAGCAAAACTTTTCCAAATATGTAACAAAGCAGTTTTAACAAAACAAAAGAAGTCTCATACAAAATTTTCATATAAAGTTGTGCAAAATACTATAGTAGAGATGAGAATAAAATGATGTGAAGTAACACAAGCACGAAAGCTTTTGAGTCTTCAGCGTTTTCGATCAGAACGCCATTTGTATACCGCTTTACCATCTGGATTGAGTATCTCGTCATCACGTAGCTTTCGTTTGCGACCCTTTTTCTACACATTTAAAAGAGTTTAATAAGAGACTGAAGATCCATTATTATCAAGATACAGCAGTCATATGATTTGATTATCATTTACCTGTAATTCCTTCTGCATTGACATATCCATGTACAACTTCTCCAAATCTTTAGCCCTACTCTTCCGTGCCTCGAGATCTCTGTATGATCTCTCCATTTTCCTGTTTCAAGAAAGTTTATTAAGATGATGAAATATTGCTTGTACCACTTTGATACCTTTGTGAAAAACATCTAATGCATTTTTCAGATAACATACTTTTTAATGTCTTTCGAAATGTATATCTCAGGGATATCAGTTTGGCTTCTAGTTTGTAACTCCAGTTCTCTAGCCTCCTCTCTGATAAAGCAAAAACCAGAGTTACATACAGATCATAAGACCAACACAAAAGTTTTAAATCAGAGAACATTTTTGTTGGAAACTAACTTGTCTTCTGCATAGTAGATATGTTTACGGCTCGACTGTCCCTCAGCAAATTGCAGTGATGCAGTAAGCTTGTCAATTTTCTACAAAAAAAAAAGATAGATAAAAATGGATTCGTATTATTGTATTCATAAAGCTCTTTTGGACTGTTGGAATGAGGAAAAAATGATAAAGCTTACGTTTTTCTCACTCTGCCATTTTTGGAACACATATCCAATGTCTTGGGTCTTCATCACCATGAGCTCCTCTGCACTGTATTTATTTACCTCTTCCCTGAAAACCAGAGTTTTACAAAAATTTAGAAAAGAAACAGTCCCAAGTAGAAAGTAAAAAAACGAGGGAAAATTTTCACAAGACTGATGATTACTTTGCTCTATGAACTCCATCTTTTGTTTTGCTGTTGATCATCTTAAAGTAAAACTCATCTGGATTCTTGAAGTACGCCTTCTCCTTAAGTTTCTGCATAAAAATTAAAAATGAAAAAGAAAAAAAAAAGCATAAGAGAAACAAGACTATTTCACAGATATCAATCTAAGGAGAAAATGTGTCAAACAATTTAATTAAAAGTTAAAAGCAGTCCACAATCATGTTCTGTTCAACAGCATTATCATAAGAAGAGGATGCAAATTTATACCTTTTTGATATCTTCCTTTTTGTGGTAAGCTTTAGCTCGGAGGACATAATCCTTATGCTTCTCGAGTAGGCCAAACCTCTTCCTCTCTTGCCTGATAGATTTTACAAAAAAAATCCAAACTTTAAGAAGAGGAATTGGGAATTGAACGAATGAAGAAGAAGAAGGAAGAAATAAGTAATAGCTTACGGTTGAGATCGCTCCTTATGAGCAGGCCTTGGAATAGCTTTACGTAGCGACGACATTGTTGTTTGATGGCTCTTAACAGCTGCAATTTCAGTCACAAAAAGCCTTAGAATTGAGAGAGCGACTAACTAAACCTACTCGAGTCCATGTGCTTATTGAATTGAAAATTAAACCGAATCTCAATTCTGAATCAATCAAACGATGCAACATTCTCAAAGTCTAAAACCTAAACTATGAACAGAACTTGAATTGAAAGAGAGAGAGAAATCAGACGAAACGAAACGAGAAGAAGCCAAAGTTTCTCACTTGAAATCACGGGGAACCAAGAAGACAATAGACGACGACCAGGAGAAAGAGGAGAGTTGCCGACAACACGACGATTTTCCGATGAACTGCAACTCGATTTTTGGCAAAGGAGAGTTTAGAGAAGACGGCGAGCAGAATTAAGTGTTTAGGGTTTTTTGTGATAAAGAATATCGAACCTTCTGGGTAAGACTAAAGGTTCAGTGTATCAAAATTGAAATGCACTCTTTTCAAAACAATTGCTCATTAACCCTTTTCGTTGCAAATAATAAACAGTTTCCACATAAATAGTTGTTTGGTCTTTTACTTAAGATGAATTCACAAAAAGATATTAAACTTTCCGAAATCGGAGAAAGAGCATTGGACATCTACCGTTCAAATTTCCATTGTATCTTTGTCCAATTTATTGTTTGTTTGGGGTCTTGGCTAAAGAGTGCCAAACTTTGGGGTACAAATTATAAATAAAACAACGAAATAAAAAGAAACGTAGAGCAAAAAGGTTGGGGATGGCAAGACAGGAAGAAGACAAAAAAAGCTCCAAACGATTAAAACGTGACCAACCAAGCAACACAAGTAAACTGCGATTATGAAAAAAATCGAGTCTTTACATGATCTTTACCTCTCCATTGGATAATGCCTAATCAAAAAAAAAAAAAAGATTTATAGCTTTTTGTTTTGTTGCAGCTTTGTAACACTACAGCACCACTTGGAATAAGTTAAACGCAGGTGACGTCTGAGTAGAAACCTATAGTCCTCCTCTGACAGTTCTGGATACTTAGCAACTCCACATCGAATACTTCAAATTGCTTCGAGCTGAAGAAGGTCGATGGTCCCACCTGGTTAGGAGCCAAATCACGATGTTAAAAAAAAATATGATCAAACCATAGATGAAGACAGTATTTACACTGTAAAGGACTGATCTACATCGATTCACATAATATCCTAAACAAGCAGGCTCAAGCTAAGACTTCCATTTAATTGTTGATAGACTGATAGTGTATTCAACGAATGTTTAACAAAAGTTTGCTTTCCTTTACAAAACTGTACAGTCAATAAAAGCGTATATGAGTAGTAGGAACTAACCGGAGGTCCCAATTCTGGAGGGATGATAATCCTTCTTTTTCCACCGGGCTTCATGTCACGAATACCCATTTCAAATCCTGCATCATCATTATCATCCGTACAAAAACAATCTTCAGTCTGTTTCCTTTCAGTAACATCATATCATACATTATACTGGAGAGCAAAAAGTTAAAATGTTCTATAAACTTGCCTGGAACAAGAGCATTGGTTCCCATGCGGATTTTAGCAGGAGAGCCCTGAATGTAGGTACTATCAATTCGCCTTCCAGACTCATTGTATCCAATATAGTGAAATGTCACCTTTCCAGATATACCACCAAAAGGAATCGAAAGTCAATGGCTTTTTCCAGAAATTATCTAAATTGAGTAAACTAATCGAGCAAGTAGAGAAAGTACCTGTTGACCATCTTTTGGGGAATCACCTTCACCAACACTGAAATCTCGATAGATGAGGCCTGAATCAGCCTTTATGTAGTTATCTGAAGCTACTACCTTTACCTCAAAACCTGCACTATATCCGCAAAAACATACACACAAACAAAACGACTATAAGTTCCCATATTCTTTTCAGCAACATCTTAAGCAGTTTTTTTTGTAAGAGACGTAATAAAAGCTTTTAAACCTTCTCTAACGAAATTTGGAAACTCGTCGGGAGCATTGTTCTCTCTCTGTATCCTCTTGTTCTGTTCTAGCAACCGTCTCTCATCATAAGGGCTCTTAGATTTTGTCTTTGCGGATGAAGGTAAAGCCGTAAACAAACATGGCGAAGTAACCAATACATAAACAAGCCTTCTCCGACTCAAGCTGCAAATTTTTTTTTTTTTTTTTTTTAAATCAAATTTGAAGGCTATATAGCAAAACCAAAGCGAATATAATCATCATCCCGCAGAGAAGCAAATTTTACCTTTGGTAATTTGGTTCTTCACTCAATGAACAGCTGATCGAGCTTCTACTCCGAGATTGCGAAATTCTTGGAGTGAGTGATAACGACAGTCTTTCACCTACAAGAACTTACAATGCTTAATCTATGTTTTGCCCGGAAAACAGCTTACAATGTCGGAAGATCAATGAAATTTAGCAGAGAGAAGAGAGATAGAGCATAACTCACATAGAAATGTAAGTCTCGGAGAGAGAGGATTTGATAAAATCGTCACCATAGCTTCCTTCTCCCTCCGGCGAATCCTGCAAAATCCAGTGTTATCCTAAGTTTTTTTTGCCTTGGATAATTTCGTTTTACTCCCTCTATTTTCAGTTTTTTATAGTCTAGACCCATAACATTCATTTTGAAACCAAATCCGTCGTTCGTGTCAAATTCTGGACATTGGTCAAAGACAGTAGACTTGACTCCGATTCCGACCATCATTATTAGTAAAGTACTAAAGTTGATAAAGAAAAAAATCAATTTTATTCAAACAATATAAACCTCAAACAGATAGTTAGAGAGTGGTAAGTAACTCCAGGTTCTCATCAACAATGCCGATAAACAAATATTACATGAATAATACAAAGTAACGAAGCAAGAAATGGTTTGAGTAGTGTCATCTGAAATGGCTGTTTCTGATAATGCCAGTGCCTCCTCCTCCTCCTCGAGGTTGTTCACCGGACGTCAGTTTCTGCAACCGTATCTGTTCTCGGAATTTGGCTATGAACTCTCCGGCTTTTCTATCAACCTCATTATGGTCATGGCTTGCATTGCTCTGGCTTTCCCAACCACCTTCTTCTTCTTCTTCCTCTAAGGTCACTTGAGGTTGCTCTGCCTCTTCCCTAACATGCTCTTCTGGTTCTGATTTAGCGCGACTTTCTGAAAACTTCTCCTCGTGTGGCACAATTGATAGTTCTTGTTGCCATTGCCTTCTCATTTTGGTTCTTCCGCGGCTTTCTGCTTTACCTTCTGCTCTGTCATCAGATGAATCTCCATCTGTCTTTAGATCTTTGCCATGTCGATCAGATCTTATCGTCCTCACTGACTTTCCTCTCAATGGCACTTTACTAGACGCTCTCCAAGACTGTGCTTCCAATCTCGGACTGTTTGCTTTCAGTTCCTTGTTACTACTAGAAAGGTCTCTTTCCTCTAAGTTTCTTGTGACATCTCTCTCCGGCAATGTCTCACGGCCACCTCGTGAAGAACGCATTACACGCCTTGAAGCTGTAGCATCCGTTGGTTGGAAGAGTAGATCCAGAGCTGGAAAAGATTCACTGGATTTGGATTTCTCGTCTTCCGCTGTAAGCTCCAAAGAGTCGTGACTCCGTCCCTTCTTGACTCTCAGCTTGTTACGGTCAGGCTCCAATCCTTTCCCGATAACGTCTTCAAGCAAACGATCGTCACTCTTCTGCTGATGATCTCGTCTTCTAGCTGTGGAATCGTCAGCACCATTAACGGGAGACGGGATGGAATCAGGAGGGTAAGATCTGCGAGACTTGTTCCCTCTCCTGGAACTTTCAGCAGTCAAGTTAAGTGACTTAGATCCCGTTTCGAACTCTCTTCTTCTCCCTCTGACTTTACTCCCTTCCATCTCATCTTCAAAGCCATTCCTCACATCCTTCTCTAGCAATGAATTATCACTGTAATGCCGTGAATGTGAGACACGCCTGTGCGTATCATCGGTGAGTAACTCAGGCGACGGTGGAGCTGGTGGAGACGGAGAAAGCGATGGCGAGCTAGACCGTGACGAATCCTCAAGACTCTTTTCCTTAACCGATTCCTCCACATTCGAGTTTAACGACTCTTGAGAAACAGAACGAGAAGGCGAGAATCTGTTCTGAGTATGAGATGAAAAACTAGTTTGTGATGAAGAAGAAGAAGAAGAAGAAGAAACAATAGAGCCAGAAGACCTCGATTTAACGCTCGCAAACTGGTTTTCTTCATCAACAGATAGAGGCTGGAAATTTGAAGTATAGTTGTCACCACCCATTCCCATCATTTCAGAATGCCATGGAATAGGTGAAGACGGAGCAGCAGCCATGACTTCTTCATCAGCCAATGCCTCATTTACAGTTCCATCACAACTATCAGCAAATGAGCCATCCTCAGGAGCTGCGTTCTCTCTCAAAGATGACCTTAAACTCCTAATCGGCAAGCCTAATGGCTGATGCACGACGTGACCATCAAGTCCATAAGCTGGTCGAGCAACCACAACCTTAGATCTTCCCTGATAATACTTGGAATTCCAAGCTTGGACTTGACTGATTTTACCATACTCAGACGATTCTTCCAATTCGCTTTCAACAACATCAAAAGACTCAGATTTTCTCTCATTAGCCACTACAGAAGCTCGAGCGCTCACATTAATCGAATTCTCACTCCTCACATCAACAAAATCACAGGGATTCTCTAACTCTTCGTCGAAAACGGAGGAAACCTGGAAGATTCTAGATACATAAGACAGGGAAGACTCATCTACACGACTCGTCATCCTCAAATCAACTGCGGATTCCACATTCCTACGGCTAAACAAACCATAAGCTACAGCAATGCCGACGAAGAGGAGGTGAATCAGTTCCCAGAACCTGGTGAGCACAGTCTCGCCGACGAAATCGGGAGCCTGGGAAGGGAACAGCGGCAAGGCGAGGAGAAACAGAGCGAAGAGAACAGACTTACAGAAGAATCCTCCGGTGGATTTCGAGCGAGGCTGGGCGGGGGAGACTGGCGGCGGAGAGCGACGCTTGGTGTACGGACTCGGAGACGCCATTGATTGAGCTGGAAAATTGAGATCTCGAGAGGGAGAAGAATGTGGAATTGGATATTGAAGGGATTCGTAGGGTAAGTGGAGGAGGAAGGAAGGAGACTTCGAAGCGACGTAAAAGACAGATCTAACATTAAAGCTGTACACGAAAGAGTGAGAATGGAAACTATCTTCAACAGCTTAAAAGCAAACCAACAAAAAAAAAGATTATAGGAAAGAGAGAAGATCCTCTCAAGACCGTTTGCCGAGATTTACGGGATTGACCTTGGCATTATTTGCTACAGACTCTCATACGACGTCGTATCGCCTCACTGTAAAGCAACCTTTCAAACGTCGACGTTTCTTGGTTTCTCGTTATCCGGTTTTATCAGTGAAATTACAATTTAAGAAATGGTTTCTGGTTCGGTTTGGTTGAAACTAATTTCGTTGTGATTCAGTTTGTTGGGCATGGTCTGATTTAACTGTCCACCTAAAGTCTACACTACTACTATAGCCACATGTGGGTTGTGGCATGCCTCGAAGGCCCATTTATTGGAAATTTTCCTTTTTTTCTCTGCCAACAATTTAAGCATCGAGAGAGATATCTTCGTCGTACCTCTCTCTCTTTCTCTGTCGGTTGAGATCTTTTGACATGCAAATAAAAATCGTATCTTCAGTGTTCTGCAAGAGATTCTAGTGGTCTGACTTCGTCTTGTGTGGACCCGAAATTGTCCAGATACAGACCAAATGTTATGTTACGTCACGTACTTGTCTCGATATTCGTATTGGCTAACATTTTACTTATGTTCACACTCACACATGCAAAACAACACACGCTTGCTCAATCACAACGCCCTCATTGCTTCTTTACTCTTCTTTCTAGTTATACTTCTATCTGATGATCATCTTCACAAACCATAAAAGTAAGAAATATCCTTTCTTTAGTGCCAAGGAAAAACCCATTTTAGTACATCAACATTTTGTTTAGTAATGCTCATATAACAGCAAAAATCTTAATGTGATCTATAGCTCCTTGCACTTTTGCTTAAGAGTGATGATTATTAGAATCAAACTATATAAGAAGCTCAACATTTTATAATGCTCAGATAAAATCAAATAACAGCTAGTAATACTAATAAATAAACTGTCGATCAAATTGTCTTTTCTTAATCATTCCACAATTATATATTTTGTAGACGTTTCCATTTTTCCTTAAATTCAGCTTACATAGACGTGAAAACAAAGGAGACAGAAAAGAAAAAGACCATGAGACCACCAACTCCTGAAAAGACATAGCAAGACCGTTTTTACACTAATAAGTAAAAACCGAATCTCCAAACCTATTAAATCTAGAAGAAGAAAAAGAGACGTTTTCCCTAATGAGAACCAGCAGCAGGTCGTTGCCGGAGAGGAATGGCAGCCCACGGACTCATTGGCCCCATCGGAGATGATGACGTCATAACAGGTGGAGCCACCGATGATGATGATGACGTAACAGCGACTCGCTCGCAAGAAGGACACATTGTGAGAGTAGTGGGAGGTTTCATGTGCATGTATAAATGTGGCGAAAGCTTTAAAGCCCTAAGCTCACTCACTTCCTTCTGCAATCTTCGATTCTCCTCAGTTAGGTTCTCGCAACATCTTTTTAGATATTCACAGTCAACTTCCGTTTGCTTCAGCTTCGTCCTACACAATACACACACACACACATTCATGAGAGTCCAAAACCTTAAATGCTTAAACCGAAATCCAAACTAAAAACCGGAACTCTAAGTGAAATTTGAGCCAAAACCGGTTTCACATTGATCCTTAAACCGGAATACCGACAAACTTGGACTAAACCCTCCTGACTAAGACAAGAGACCCATAGAGATCCTTTAGGGAAAATCATATATGGGTCATAAAAGGACATTTACATACCCATCGTAGCAATAACTGATGTTTGGTTTTTATATGTAATGACGAAATTACCCCCTAAAGAAGTGATTAACAAAAATTTACCTTGCCCTTCGGTTTTGGAACCAAACTTCCACTTGCCTTGTCCTCAGGTTCAATTGCTTAGCCAAAGTCATCTTTTGCTTCTGCATCCATAACACAAAAAGAAATGTCAACATAGAAACGCAAAAAGTCTCTACCATTTTTAAGAAAATTACAACAGCAAAAACAAATTGATAAAATTACGGAAATGCCACTGACCGGACTGAGAGTGCTATGCTCTTTAAAAGTCTCCTCGAGGACCAAAGCTTGTTCTTTAGTCAACCGGAGTTTCTTCCTCGAACCGTCGTCTCCGTTCGCGCCGCCGTCTTCATCGTCGCTACAGCCACCACCGAGCGAGCTCGAAGCTCTCTCCGCTTCGTTATCTTCTACGATCCTAACGCCTCCGGCAGACGCCGCCGCCATTAGATCTCGCTCGCTCCTTTTCCCGCTCATTACGCTTGAGACGGTGCTGTTCGGAGACGAAACTCCGACATCTTCTTCCACGTCAACCACCACCGTCGATGGAGCTCTGTTCACGTCGACTCCCCGGATAAACGATCTCATGTCGGAATTTTTCTCTGCATTTCCATATACGTTACGTTAATATCTCTTTATGATAAGAATCTGAGGATTGCATTGGCACAAGATTAAGGACAAAAATCACATAACAAATCAAGACTGATTTTATTTTTCAATAACAGAATCAATTATGAGAAGAAAATCGGATCTAAAACAAAAAAAGAAACATGATATAATAAATGATCATAAAATCTATTTAGATTCAGACATAAAATGAGAAATCATGCCAATGACGTTGAACAAATGATTGATACAATCAAAGAAAATTTGGAATTAAAAACAAAAAGGGAAGTACCTGAAGACTGAAACATTTGAATCCAATTGCTCTGAATCTTTTGAGGATGATTATAATTGCTCTGCATATGCATGTGTGATGAAGATGAATAAGAACCTCGAGGCATTGGATTCAATCCAGAAGACGGCTCCCTCTGATTTAACCCTAGACTCAAGCTCAAACTTAGCCCCAGTTGATCATCTCGCTCACCCATTTTCTCAACAACAAACAAAAAAAAAAACTTTTTTTTTCCCAAGTTTTTTTCCGAGAAGATGAATAAATGACTTCTCTTTCTTCCCTCTCTCTCTCTCTCTTAAAGATGTTGTGCCAGTGCCTCTACACTTGTGCAGCAGTACAAATTCAAAGATATGGCTTATATGCGTTGTATATTTATATGCAAAAGAGTATTTCAGACAAAGAGATATGGGGTTGTGGGGAGGCTTAGGGTTTCAATGATGACTTGTGTCAGAGAGACCTCTGTTACCTCAATGATGATATATACTGCATAAAAACCTGCTTTTTAACTTAACCATGGTTAATAATAACACCAGGAGTTATTACTTTCACCTCACACAACATTACCATGGTTAACATAGAAAAAAAGTCCAAGTCTCTTTTCCTCTCTCTCATTTTTCCGTTTTTGTAAGTTGTAACTATTCTTTATTAAATAGCAACAAACAACCTATCAGAGCATTTTCAAAATCTTATTGTATTATTGTATGATCTGAAATATTTACTACATATGGATAAAAAATGTACTTTCATCTTTACAAAGAGAAAATAGAAAAGGAGATTTTATTTACTCGAGTTTCAACGTTAAGAAAATGTAAAGCTCTTTTTCAAAAACCCACAAGCTTAATGGCCTTTTCATTACGAAAGCGGCTTTCTCGCTCGTTGACCGTTGACCAATAAGAAATAGGAGAGGAGAGAGAGAGAGAGAGTAAAAAGCTGCGGTTGAAAACAGACCAGGCGTTAGAATTCACGCGCTGGCGAGTGTGGAAAAAATAATAATTAATGAATCATCATTATCATCATCATCAGTATCATGATGAAAGATCATTATCATATCATGCCTTATTGTTATCATCATATCTCATTATCTCCTACCCTTCTCTCTGAACACGCCGGTCCCACGTATCTCCAACATGACCTTTTTCCCAGCTTTGCTTTAAAATGATTTTCTTTTTTGTTTTGAGAATAAATTGTACTCGTACATTAAATCATTATAATAGTACTTTACTTCACAGGTTATCATGTGATACCTTTGATTTATATCCTTAAACAAATCACACCACTCACTCCTAATGTTTTAAATAATTAGATTATCATAAATTCTTTACTTAGGCTTGTCGTGGAAAGATCTTTTCAGCACATTTTTTACTAAATAAACTTCCTTCTAGTAATTTCGAACCAAACATTCTTCGTTGATGTGTGATTACAGTACACGCGCGAGAGAGGGGAGCGTGAGAAGGAGAAAAGAGGCGGTGGGCTCAAAATGGGTATGAAATCAGGAGGGGGCAGAGATACGGTGTCGTATTGATGGATAGGCTACACAGAGAGCCTAAGAGGCTAAACACTGCATGGATTTGAGTTGTCTGTGAATCCAACATGCATTCCCATTCCATGCCTCCCTCTCATTTATTGTTCCTTTTTCCCAATATTTTCTGTTTTTTTCTTTCTTTTAAATTTCATTTAAATACTAGTACAAGCAAAAGTTTAATTAAGTTTGTCATTAATTTCATCTGTCAGTCAAACTTTAAACAAAAGTAAACGTATGACAAGTGGTGTTGGAGGATTTTATGGCTGATTACAGAGTGAGTTAATAACTCTTTTATTAATTCTGTTTATTGATAATGTTATCATCACTGCTTCTGGTATTCAAGACTTGCAGCAGTTTTACAGACAAGACAGGTCAGCTTTATTAATACTTGGAGTATAATTTCAAACGTAACTTCTCTTAACTTATTACTAGTTCTCGTATTTACAAACAATCTAACATAACCCTTTTTCTCATTGACCTCCTTCATTAATTACAGGATAACACTTGCCTAGATTCTTTTTTTTTTTTTGGTAATGACTTGCCTAGATTCTTAGACAAAACACAAAATGCATCCCTAAAAAAAAAAAAAAAAAAAGACAAACACACTAGCATTTTAAAATTAACACATTCTAAGCGAAGAAAAAGAAAAGGGAAGCAGAGTATAATTGTAAAAAAAAAACGTGGGGTAAAAGTAACTATGGAATCGTACATTAGATTATAAACCGTATGTGTTCAAATATGCAGGTTATCGTGGATCTGAAATTGAACGGTCCAGATCTCGAGAAAACCGTTATTATTTAATTATGTAACCTTATTCCATTATGTAATAATCTCAAAATAATCTCTCTTGCTCTTACAGAAGAGAAAAGGACCTTTCACTAGGGGGAGGTGTCTCCTGCCTTGTGTTATGTACTTATGTAACTAATAAAGAGAAAAATCAATTGGCATTTCGACAGACCACGTAGAGGAACTGAAGTGCTGAGAAGGCATAGTTTTTTTCCTTTTTGTAGAGAATTTTAGATAAATATTCAAAATAGGTGTAATTAAGAAGTGAAAAAAGAAAGAAAACTACCAACAGGAACCGACTTCACTGGGGATCGAACCCAGAATCTCTGGTTTCGTAGACCAGCACCTTATCCATTGGGCCATGAAGTCACTCGTATTTTGTGGCTTCTTCCTAGTATTTTGTGGCTCTTGTCAAATGGCTAAGGGGAAAGCGTCAAATGCAGGGTTGTATATGCCACTGCCTATTCCAACTCAGCCTTGGACTGATGTCAGTATGGACTTCATTTTGGGACTACCAAGGACGCAGAGAGGTAACGATTCAATTTTTGTTGTCGTTGACCGGTTTTCTAAGATGAGTCACTTCATTGCCTGCAAGAAGACGACTGATGCAGTAGCGGTGGCTCAGCTGTTCTTCAGAGACGTATACCATCTCCACGGCTTACCCTCTTCTATTGTCTCGGACAGAGACACGCAATTCCTAAGTCACTTTTGGCGCTCTGTGTGGAAGCTGTTGGGTACGATTTTGGATATGAGCACTACTTATCACCCTCAAACTGATGGGCAAACGGAGATTACAAATAGAGCGCTTGGAAACATGTTACGGAGTTTGGTGGGAGACAATATCAAGAGTTGGGAATCGAAGTTGCCTCAAGCAGAGTTTGCACATAATCATGCGAACAACAGAAGTCTCGGATTTTGTCCCTTTCAGGTTGTCTATGGCGTTATTCCACGAGAGCCTTTGGACCTATCAATGCTACCAGACAAGACCAGGATGTATGGTTCTGCAGTGGATTTTGTTAATTCAGTCCAGGAGATACACACAAAGGCCATTGACAACCTCCACGGTTCTGCTATCAAGTACAAACGAGCAGTGAATAAGCACAGACAGGAGCTGCTTTTCGAGCCAGGGGACTTGGTTTGGGTGGTTCTCACAAAGGATAGAATGCCCCTGCATGAGTACAACAAACTACGATCACGCAAGATTGGCCCGGTCAAGGTACTCGAGAGAATCAACCCCAATGCTTATCGTCTTGAATTGCCTGCGCAAATCCATACGGCGAATGTCTTCAATGTCAAACATCTTAGTCGTTTTGTTGGAGATAATGAGGGTCCAGATTCAGAGGCGAATCTCCTCTCAAGCCCGGAGACCTGATGCAGCGCATCTTCACCTAAACCATTAGAGCCGTTATTAAGTCGTTCCTGTGTTTGTGGGAATGATTAGATTTTATTTCATTTCTAGTTTCTTAATATCTTTTAGTTTAGATTCTCTATCATGTGTATAAGTAGAGATTAGATTGTAAAGATGAAACACGTTGAATGATAAACAGAGCTTTTAAGCCTTTTCCCTTTCAATCGAGTATCTTTGAGTTCTTGTTTTGAAGGAAGAGTTCTTTGTCGGTATTCCCTTGAATCAACGACTTGGATCTTTTGTTACGCTTGCGCTACACCATACAAGTTTTGAGCGAAATTTAACAAATTCGTGTCAATTTTTTTTTTTTTTTTTTTAAAGACACCAATTCAAAGTTTCAAATTAACGTATATCTTATACTATAGTCCATGAGAAATTAAGCGAAGTGGTGGTGAGACAGAGATTGTGGCATCTCTATGAGAGAATATAATTATGATAAAATATACAAGGGATGCTAATTGATGCTTACAAAGATACTACTCGAATTTAAAGGTTTATTTTTGCAGAAATCAATTTCTTTGTCTCCGGAAGGATAATATTAATCTACACGTGAGAATGGAGAGATCATGCTTTTCAATAAATTAAACGAGCATGGGTATGTGTTCACTGATACTTTCTTCAGTATCGTTTCACATGCACCGCCAATTGATGAAGCGTCATTTACACACGATCTTTTTGTATCCAGATTACGTAGCATTAATTTGAATAAATTTTCAAATGGTAAACATGAAAAATCGAACTACAATGAAATATGGAAATAGTGAAAATTCTTTTGTCCCGCTATTTTTGTAGATGAACATTTTCTTCTAAATTTAGGTGTGTATATAATCGTTATAATTCGTATTCATAATGTAATGAAGTTAAAATATTTTATTAGTAAAAAAAGAGATAATGAAAGTACACATATCAGTTTGTTACGCACAATAAGACTATTATTGCTAAACAAATAGATGCTAGCTTGTTCCAAAATATAAAGAGAGATGCTACTAGTGGTGGATATTTAAATACAATACATATGGATGAAAATTCCTTTATCATAAAAAAAATAAATCGGATATAGAAATCTGGAAAAGATAAAAAGAAAGAAAGTGACCAGAAGAGGCAAGATCTAAGAACAAGAAGAAGTGGAGGTCATGAGAAAAATGAAACAAAAGAGGGCCCAATTGGTTTACCTGGTAATTAGAAATGCAGGCGGCCTGATTACCCCCTGGCATTAGTTGGAAGGCATTTCAAACTCGGAATAGGCGGTATGGTAGTTCTTAGGATGAGTCCACTTTGTAGCACCTTGGTGCGTTCCTACCGGGGCTAACCGGAAACCGATAGGGTCTATAAAAAAAAAAAAAAAGAGGGCACGACGTCACGTGCATGAGCATGTGAGAAGCAGTCTACATGGCAACTTGTGGTCCCCAGTGACCACACTCGTGCGGTGTAATATTGTTCCTCGACGACCAGACATCCCACTTCTCTACAATCATTTGGACAGATTTCTCACGCGCCCTAGCTTCCGCGTGGACACCACTACGTCTTCTTGCGACCATTGTTTTAAAGTTCTAAATCCCCGAATCATCAAAGCAGAATTTTCATCTTTATACATGTGGCCAAATTGATTGCGCATAACTAAGTATTGGAGCTATTTCAAATAGTAGCAATCAATGATACTTGTGAAAGTTTTAGTGATATCATGGCTTTGGCAAGAAACAAATAGGATGTGGATCCAATGTCAACCGACCAACAAACCTATTATGTTTACCCCAATAATGAGGTCGTGAGATTAATATATAGTGGCGTGCATCCTCTTAAAATAATCAGCTTATCATAGTACTTACGTCCATAAATTGTGTTAAGAATCATTTTGGTGTAAAATGTTTAATTGGATTTATGGTCCCACGTTTGTGCCGGCCCCAGCCATGTGCTAATGCTTTTCGTATTTTCCCCTTCTGTTTTCAATTTTCATATCCTCGTTTTTAACTTACTCGTTTTTTATGTGCTTTTGAAAACTTAAAATTTTGACAATGGAAAAGAAAATTTATAATTTAATTCAACAGATTATTTTAAAATATCTGCCGTTGCAACGGACAGAAGCGAGTGAAAGCCACGTGAAGTAATATGTGTAAAAGAGCATGGGTCTATGCGAAAAAACCGAAAAGGATTTATATCAACAACGTCGAAAATAATTAATCCCTGTCAGAGTAATCACGTGGAAAGTCACATGACATAATTCCACGTGTCATAGTTACAAGAAAAATGAAAAAGACACGTGGTCCTACCTTCTCACCCTCTCGCGCGTGTCTCGCTGTCTCTCTCTCACCGGACACCAAATTTCTTTCCCAATCATTTGACGCGATTGCCTTTTATTGCCAACTTACTCTTTTGCCCTTGGGCCATCATCTACTCATGAGCTTATCCAAGCCTCAATCATGGGTTTGTGTGTGTGGGTATGCTTTTTGTTTTCTTACATATTTACAGCTGTACTCCACGTGACTCGCACGTGACATCGTTCATATCCGCTTTGTCAGTCGAGTCGTGGCCACAAAGATCTCATCAAATCACAAATCTATTTGATTAAAGACAAGGGCCCAAAACAATTGTCTTTGAGCCTTTATCGGCCCACTTTTAATGTACACAATGCGTGTTCTGAAATTAAGCAAACAGTGAATATCAATAAACTTCACGTCGTCTGCAATGCTTGCCAAATTTAACGGCGAGGCAATCTGGACCGAACTGGTGTAATTTCCGGGTATTATAATTTCACAGTGGTCCGGTTCAATTTCTTCCCCAAACAGAACCATGATCCACAAATGGCAAAAGAGTCATTTCGTATAAGTTGCGGGGACTTTCCGGTTATCGTTTAGAACGGCACTGGAAGAGTAAGGCACAACACCGGTGGAGAAACCCTAATCCCCCAAAATCGACCATGTTCATGGTTAGGCCGAAATTCGCATCGATCTGGCATAATTTCAGTACGGTAGCGAAACACAGAAGAATTCCGTCGAAGTACAGGTCTATGGCCATCGGAAAAGCCCAGAAAGCCATTGCAGACTATCTCCACACATTCAGGTCTCTCTCCTACAATCACGCCGACCACATTGCCACAAACGCCTCGGTTTCGATCGGAAATCTCATCCGGCAGCTCGATTTCTCCGTCCCGACCTTTTCCAAGTCGCTCCGGAAGCATCTGAGCTACCACCCTATAAACGAGTTCGAATTCTTCTTCGAGAGCATTGGCATTGATTACAGCGAGGTTAGCGAGTATTTGCCCGAGAAGAAATTCTTCTTCTACGAGGATCGTACTGTGTTGGATGCAGCTTGTGCGTTATCTGGATTCGGGTTTCCTTGGAACAAGCTGGGTAAGTTGTATAAAGAGGAAAAATTGGTTTTTCTGCAGAGCCCTGAAGAGATTCAATCGAGGCTGCTTAAATTGAAAGATATAGGGTTTGGTACGGTCGCTGTGATTGGTATCTGTTTAGCGATTCCTCACACACTGTGTGGCGGTGGTGAATTATGCGCGGAGACTCGTTGGTTGTTTGTTAAGCTGAAGAGAGTTTTCGAAGAATTGGATTCACAGAATCTGTTCGAAGAAAATGTGGACTCTTGGTTTGCCATTAGTAGGAAAATCAAGGTCTTTTACGATATGGGTTTTGAGAATGAGGAGATGCGGGAGCTTATGGGTAGAAGTAGATCACTTTTCATGGAGTTTTCAGAAGAAGCTCTCATGGAAAAAACTGAGTATTTTTGTAGATTTGGTGTTGGGAAAGAAGATGCTGCTATTTTGATTCTTCGAAACCCGGATATTATGGATTTTGATCTAGAGAAACCGGTGATCTCGGTGATGGGAATGCTTAAGCATCTTGGACTGAGCCAGGATGAAGTTGACGCTGTTGCTCAGAAGTACCCATACGTTATGGGTAGAAACAAGTTGAAGAATCTACCGCATGTGCTTAGAGCATTGGATCTACATGAAAGGATCTTCGACATTTTGAAGAATGGGAGCCATCATTTACTTGGTAGCTACTCGTTGATGGACCCTGATGAAGATTTAGACAGAGAATATCAAGAAGGCGTGGAGGAGGCTAAACACTCACGGTACAAAGTACACAATGTTCAGAAACTAGATTTCCTTCATGGAATAGGTTTTGGCGAGAACCGGATCACCGTGAAGATACTACAACACGTCCATGGTACCGCTGCGGAGCTACAGAACCGGTTACAGATCCTAATAGACAATGGTTTCGATTTCTCAAAGATATGCAAGTTGATAAGATCAGCACCAAAGATCTTGAACCAGAAACCGGAGAGCATACAAGACAAGATAAGGTTCCTCTGTGACGAAATGGGAGATTCTTTGGATTACCTAGAGATTTTCCCAGCTTATCTATGTTTTGACCTGGAGAACAGAATCAGTCCAAGGTTCAGATTCCACAAGTGGCTCGTGGAGGAAGGTTTGAGCGAGAGAAGCTATTCAGTCGCAAGCCTTGTAGCTACCAGCGAAAAGACCTTCATAGCTCGTCTCTATGGGATTCATCCAGCACTCCCTAAACATTGGTTCGAACGTTTCTCCAACAGAAAAACCAGAAACACTGTATCCTAACTTTGGCAAAAGACTCATTCGACCTATGTAGAAATTGAGCAATGTGTTGTCTCTCGTCAGCATGATGCATCCTGCACGTGTAGTTGAGTAGTGGGAAAGACTTTAGTACAAAAACGTGGGACCAAATTGCACACGTGCCACTGAAAGTAATCGAGCTTCTTTCTTTGTTATATGCATCCGGATAGTTTGACACTTTGACCAAGTACCATTTTTTAAAGTCTTGTAAAGCAAGCAACTGTGGGTGTGCAAGTCACGTGCGTCTTACGTTTGGAGCCTAAGAATGGCAGACGCTGTAAATCCAACGATATAGGGAGGGTAAAAGAGTCAATTAAACCATTTCTATTATCTTTTTTTGTTAACACTATGGTTTTGTGGGATTCAGCAGTAACATAACTGCCGCTCTTCATTTTCTGGTTTTCTTTCTCTCTCTTCACATTCGCTCTGTGAAATTTCTTTTTTTTGAATTCTCTCTTTCTTTCTCCTCCATCATTAGGGTTTCCTACTTTGTTTCGGATTGATGTTCCGTCAATCCATGGCGTTTCCTCCGCCGATTAATGGCTCCGATGCGCCACCGCAGCAGCAGCAGTCATCTCAGCAGCCGCCGCCGGTGGTTAACGTGAGCGAGAGCTCTAGACGGCTACAGATTGCAGCTGCTTCTTCTTCCTCTCCGGTGAAATCTCATCCGCTTCACAATTTCCCGCTTTCTGATCTGAGGTGGGCAATGAATCACACCAATACACATCGGCTTCGGAAAGCATCCGGTAGATCTCCACTTCGTGAAGCTAATTCCGGGAAAGGGAATCTGGTGATGGAGGAAGCATCCGGTTCTTCACCTATTGAATTGAGACCGGAGAAGAAGAAGGGAATCGCGGCTGGTGTTAGTGATTCCGCCGCAGATCGATCCGGGACGAAGTCAACGTCGGCGGATGGTAGATCGAAGATCTTCATCCGGATCCGCACGAAGAACAACGAAGAAGCAGCTGATGTCGCCACCGAAGTCTCTGCCCCAGCGACTGATATCGCCACCGCTACCGCTACCGCCGTCGCCGGTATCCAGGAGCCTGATGATTCAGGCGAGCCGGCGATCGATGCTGATGTATCGATTGGTGAACGGATCTCCGACGGCGGTGGTCAGGAAGCAGACGAGTTTGGTCCGAAGACTTGGAATCTGAGGCCGAGGAAACCACCGCCGACGAAGAAGCGTTCAGCTGGAAACAACGGCGGCGGCGGGATATTGAAGAGCTGTAGCGATTCATTTCAGGAGAACAAAGCTCAGGGAACGATTCGGACGGAGGCAATTCGGGCGAGGATCGGTGTGGATGCGAAGATGGCGACGATGACAGAGAGAAAGGAGAAGAAACCGAGGCTGACGATTTCGCTCTCGAAGATGGAGATAGATGAGGATATCTACTCGTTGACCGGATCAAAACCTAGCAGACGACCGAAGAAGAGAGCCAAGAACGTCCAGAAGCAGCTCGATGTAAGATTTCACACTTTTCATGGAGATCTCCGTTTCCACAACCTAACCTTAACCTAACATTTTGGCCTGTATTCTATGGTTTTTGATTTTGGTTTCAGGTTCTGTTCCCGGGTTTGTGGATGGGTAACGTTTCTTCGGACGCCTACAAGGTCTCAGATCATGCTTGAAAGGTATAACATTTTGATGAATTCGATTGGATTCTTCTTATTATCTTTTGAATATCCCCTGCCTATTTGTTTTCTATCTGTTGTATAAATTGTAAAAGTGTACTCTTTCTGAATCATTTTTAGGGTTGATTGAGAAGGAATGTGAAGTTAATCTTGTTGTATTGACTTCGACTGAAACCAAATTGGGGCGTCGAAGAAGCTTTTTCCATAGATTAAGGTATGAAGGTAAGGGATTCAGTCTTGCTTGTTGTCATTTGAGTCAGACTAGTGTATAAGTGCAGATTCGGCTGTGAGATTGATTTGCTTGCTTGGGCAGTATGTGGTGTGGTTTTCATTTGTTGGCTTAGAGTCCAAGATAGTTAGGGATATATGAATGAATCAACTCTTTAGGTAAAAAATTTACCTTATAAATTATTGATTTGGTGTAGAAGAGGTTAATGATTGCTTAGTGAAGACTTATATAGATGAAGTCAATTTGTATAAACCTTCACCTTCTTCCTCTCTCTGCGTGCAGTTGTAGAGATGACTCGCTTCTTCAAGCCTTGGCTTCGTTTTTTGGCGTGCTCCAAAAGTAGAGAGTGAAGACTGTCTCGAGGTTTCAAAGCTCCTGAATCCAACAGTCAACTTCAGCTTCTGATACGGTCCTAACCACGGCAGTTTGAAATGCGAACTAGACTGGCTTTGATTCGGCCGCTTTACACGTGATTGATACAGCCTTTACTTTTTTTCTGTTTATGCACTTTGTTGACCCATTTGTAATTAATTAGTGGGAAGAAAAAATTAGTGGGACGGTGTTTTGATTTTATTTTTTAAATGCTGACTGACTACCGATTGGAAAGGTGAAATACAAAATCAAAATTATCAACATTATTTATTTATTAATAAATTATCAACATTTTTGTGCTAATTATTTGTTTCTGTAATAATGATCAACATTGTCAGTTTAATTTATCTATTTTTATGAAAAAGGATAATTTGGTCAAATATGCAACATAAGTATCATTAACTGCAATTTTTATAGCGTTTCTACAAATTGTAAATTTTCCGTCTTCGACGTTCGAAGTATGACGACACTCAGACTATTCAGTAAGTATTATAATCGTGGAATATTTATTTATACTTTGTAGAAGGACCATCGTCACTCTATTCATCACCTCCACTTGCTTCGTCCCTTGGTTTATCCAACTCTTCCTTAAACAGAAAACCCAAAATTTCCGGATTCATAACAAATTTAAATTGTTTAGACCTATATAAATTCCGCATTTTAGACTACTTAATAGGATAGAGCATTTCTTGTTATGTACTAGTAGTAGAATTTACAGTATCCATTAATTATTATATATCGTAGAAAGTTAGATGTACTAGTTGACCAAAAAGGAAGAGGAGATTCACCATATACCTAAATGCCTTTAAGAGAAAACAATGATAATTTCGTCCGAAGAAATTCACCATGTACCTAAATGCCTTTAAGATTGTCAACACTTAACAACCAAATAATAAGTTCTCCATTAACCGTTAGATTGTAGTACTCTCTGTCTATGCTAAATTAGCACTACTAATGCTGTAAAGCCTTGAGCCGCCTATAATGCATGCAGTTCAATGGATGATTTTGTTAGATAAGTCGGATCATTCTTGGTAGTTTCTGATAATGTTAAACAAAACAAAACTTCGTAGTAATTTCAATGAGTCGTCTACGAAAAGTTAGAAAAACAACACTCTTGTGTAAGAATCTTCCTCGCAGTTTCCTGTCCTCGAGAAAGACTTCCTTACAAACTTTATAGTCAACAAAAAATAATTAAAAATGTCACTGCATATATATATATGCACACTAGACACTACCGGCAAAGGCCACACAGAGAAAGATCAATGGAGTCTCCTAAACCGAATAGCAATGGCCACCAAAATGTCATCGTTATGCGTCACGGCGATCGAGTCGACCATTTAGAGCCACTCTGGCTTTCAACCGCTAAGAGACCATGGGACCCGCCGCTCGCTCACGACGGTTTGGTTCGGGCCTTTAGGACCGGTCAGAGAATCCGATCTCATTGTGGGTTTCCGATTCACCGTGTCTTTGTCTCCCCTTTTCTCCGCTGCATCCAGACCGCTTCCGAAGTAATTGCCGCTCTCTCCGCCGTTGATCTCGACCCAAACGCTACGTCGTCTAAAGACGTCCTTTCTGTCGACAACTCTACGCTCAAGGTCAGACACAATATCGCTGTATATCTTGTTGAAATCGGACCGGAGTTTGTAAGCTAGTGCTTTGTAACGACAACGTAATATAATTTTTTAATAGTTGACTTAACTTTACACAAAACATAACTTCAAAACATGTTATCTTATTTAAAAGTTGAGATGCTTATACTCTTTCTTGTCTAACTCAGGTAGCTATTGAATATGGATTGTGCGAGATAATGAACACTGTGGCTATCAAGAGTGAGGTTGCTCCCAAAGATAAGAAATTTGATTTCAAGATTTCAGATCTTGAAGCTATGTTTCCTAAGGGAATGGTGGATCATAATGTGGATATGGTTTATAAAGAGGTGCTCTATATGGCTTTTCTTTCTTTGTTTTTTTTTTTGTTTTGTGTGACTACAAAACTGATTCTCTTTAACATATATATTCCTTGTTGTTTCTGCTCCAGTTGCCACAATGGGAAGAGTCTGGGGAAAGCTTCAAGAAACGATATGCTAATACATTGAAGGTTCTTGCGGAGAAGTATCCTTTAGAGAATTTGCTGTTTATCACCCACTGTAAGCAACAAATTATGGGTTTTTTAATTCAAAAATTAAAAACCAAAAATATTGAAATCCTTTTTTGGATGGGAAATTGCAGGGGGAGGAGTAAGCTCTACACTTTACAGATACTTCAAAGACGCAACTAAGTACCTAGTAGATTACTGTGGTAGTGTTGAACTGAGAAGGCAAATTTTGAATAAAGATGGCTTTGGTGAATCTGTGGAATTTGAGGTGGTTACTAGTCATGGAGTATGTTTTAAGGACCACAACGTCCCAATCCATGATCATGTCGTATACCAATCTTCGGTTTAGCTGGTTTTTGTCCATTACGATATGATGATATGGTGTGAGTTTAAATAAATTATATCATTTGGACACATTAGCCAGCCTATTTATTTACAGTTTATAAAAGACCGGTGACAAGAACAAAAGTGTCAAATTAAGGGAATATGGCGTGTTTCATTACTCCACCATTCAATAACCATCACCACCTTCATTATTCTGATTTGTTTTATTTCATCCAACTATTTTTATATAAATGAAATGGGAAACTGTATAATCTTACCTCAACATTCAACAAGATGCATGTTTCCAACTGTTCACTTAGATATAAATGTACTTCTTTCTTTTCTTGCAGATTTCAAAAGAAGTAAAACATTAAAAATTTAATCAATATTGCAAAGCTTAATGGTTTCAAATACATATCAATCTAAAGCTAACATAAGCTTAAATTGTTTTGACCATTAAAAATGGTCACAAGTTGTATTATACTACCTTTTATTAGTACACTACTCAACAATTTTATCTATAGAAAACAAAATTCATTTGAAAATATATAAGAAAGAAAATCAAATTTTTTTCCGTTGGTCGTATAATAAACCAATACTAGTAATAAAGAGAGAAATATTATTTTCCTTTATTTTTTAAAACACAAGGCATCATGTTTACTATCACTTCCAACGTACTCCCAAAGGTCGCATCACCACCACCACGAACAATCAGAGCAACGATGGATTCTGCTAATTTGAATTCCGATAGCTACCAGAACGTGTTGATGATGCGTCACGGTGATCGCATTGACAAAATCGACCCACTCTGGCTCGACACAGCCGCGAGACCTTGGGATCCTCCTCTCGTCCAGGACGGTATGGTTCGGGCGTTTCGAACTGGTCAACGGATTCGATCTCAGATCCAGTTTCCGATCCACCGCGTCTTCGTCTCCCCTTTCATCCGCTGCGTCCAGACCGCTTCCGAAGTCATCGCCGCTCTCTCCGCCGTCGATTTCGACCCTAACGCCAAGTCGTCGAAAGACGTCCTTTCCATCGACAAGTCAAAGCTCAAGGTCAGATTCAAATCGTTTTAGGCCTAAAACTTTGAAATCTGTTGTGTTTGTAAAGCTCTGTTGATCAATTTAGTCTAGAATGTTGAGCTGAATCGAGATATTCGTCGTAATTATTGTGTTTGTTGAATGTGTGATAAAATTCAGCTAAGGTTGGTTGATTTCTTTGGCTTGGTTCAGGTGTCTATTGAATTTGGGTTGAGCGAGATGCTGAACACAATATCTATTCCGCGTGAGATTGCTCCCAAAGATGGGAAATTCGATTTCATGATCACAGATCTTGAAGCTTTGTTTCCTGATGGAATGGTGGATCATAATGTGGATCCTGTTTACAAAGAGGTGCTCTCTCCAAGATCTTGCTCTGTTTCTGTATCCTATAATCTTGGAAGAAATCTGAATCTTATTATACAGATTGTCTCTTGTTGGTTATTCTGTGCAGATGCCACAATGGGAAGAGACTGTTGAAGGATGCACAGAAAGATTTCTTAATCTGGTGAAGACTCTAGCTGATAAGTATCCTTCAGAGAACTTGCTCTTAGTCACTCACGGTAAGCAGAAAAAACATTCTTGACTTTGATCAAATTCAATCTTATTAAGCCATTTCTGGTTTCTGAAACCTCTTTGTTTCGGGAAAATGCAGGGGAAGGAGTAAGGACTACATTTGCGACCATTAAAGACGTAGATGTGTACGACGTAGGTTACTGTGCTTGTGCTGAGCTGAGAAGACAGGTCTCGAGTAAAGATGGGTCGACTAAAGCTGGAGACTTTGAGGTGATTACAAGTCTTGGTCAAGCTGGAATCAAGTACCATCCTTGACCAATTATCATGTCATTAGCCAAACTCCGGTTTAGTCAATGTCAAACCGGTTAACCTGCTTTGCCCTTTATTTCAAATGGGAATTTATACAAATGGGAATTTATACACTTTTACACTTCCAAATATCAAACAAAGGCACTTTGAGCTCTAGAGGGACTTTCCACAAAAACTGGGTAGTGAAAATCCACACATACTTTGCTTTAATTTTGTAATTACATCTACAGATTTTTTTTACCATCCGCGACACAGTAACTTCCTGTTCTTTTACAGCTGGAGAATTCGCCAGAATAACTGAAGAACGGTTATGGATCTGGGATTTTTAGCCAATGAATTCAACAGAACAAACGAATAATGTTTGTTGGATCTGGGAGAGATTTGTTTTTATAATTGAAAGCAAGTATACTATGAGATTTCGTGTCGAATTCGATATCAATAATCAATTTAGAAGATTTCGTCGTCGAATTCGTTGAAAAAAATTCTGCTGGTTTTTAGATCTGGAAAATTTCCAGTCTCCTTGAAGTTTGGAGAAGATGAATCTATGTTAACTCGCGATCATGTCCACATCTACATATCCACGCAGTCGTGTACATGCGCCCATCTGGACGCCTTTGTTCGGATAATTAAATATTTGGAGTTTGAATGAGATGTGTGTGGACATGTAGATGTGTACATAATTTTGTGAATACAAAGATAATTAACAACTGAATAAGTGTTTTTCGAGTTATTGTTATCGCCTAGACTGTTTCATAGAACGCATCCATATACTTGTATCCATACTTGGGGATGTACACACACAAAAATGGATGCATGCACACACACAACAATGGGGCAGAGCCATATGGATGGGTCCGTTTGGATGTAAAAACGAATTAACTAATCTTAATACAATAGGTCTATGAGATCCATTAAAACTACTAAGATCACAAGAGATCCATGACTTCGTGTCCACAAAGTTATGTACACGCAGACATGTCTTAATAACCATTTTAAATGTCAGAATTAACTAATCTTAATGCAATAGGTTTATGAGATCCATTAAAACTACTAAGATCGCAAGAGATCCATGATTTCGTGTACACAAAGTCATGTACACGCAGACATATCTTAATAGCTATGTTAACTGTCAATACAAATATATGTGTAGACAGTTTTGAAGAGTTTTTTTTGTCCATATCTTATATCCACAGTATTCTTGGATACAAACTATTGTTTGTCCATGCTTATTTATCCAACAATTAGTATTTGTTTGCTAGTTTGCTATCTTGGTTCAATCAACTCATTTCTTCATAAACGTATCTTTTATGCTAGTTGTGTCCATGCAGCCGCATCCATGTGGATAGTTATTCATTTCTTAGTATAGTACACTGTTTTCATCCACGACTGCGTGGACATCTAGATGTGGATATGATCGAGAGCTAACCCAGATTCATCTACTCCGAATTTCAGCGAATCTGAAATCAGCTATATTCATCTTCTCCTCACTCCAAGAAAAGAAATCCAAGAAAAAGGTGAGAGAAACTGAACTCAATTTGTCAATACAAATATAAAAATGTGAAATTGAACTCAATTTATCAATTTGTTCAAAGGTGAAATTGAACTCAATTTGTCAAATACAAACTGAAATCAAGAAAAAAAACCCAGAAAAAGATGTTCAGATTCAGTTGATTTTGGGTAAGATGAAAAAAATGAGATGAAAAGAAAGTGAAACAAATGTTGGGTAAAAGAAAAAGAGAACTCAAATTTAGAAGAGAGGGTTTTTTGGTCATTCAAACACTCAAAAGTCCCTTAGGAGCACAAAGTGCCTTTGAGTGTAAAAAATAACTTAAAAGTGTCTTTAAATGTAAATAACTCTTTATACAACAAGAACAATGTTGTAGTCACTAGCCAGTCCAAGAAATTTGAAAAACTTCGAGTTCTTTCACTGTATATTCATTGAACAAATAAGTTTGGACTCGAATAAAAGATGTATTGACCATAAATAGATTTATCCATACTCAAGTCATTTACAAATTGCTATACGTTACCAATCCAAAACATTAGCGTGTGTATTGTACTATTGTTAAAAGTTGAAGAAGTCATTAATAGTGCTGTTGATGATGTTGACATGTTGGGTTTGTATTCAACGACAACCACTCCTCCATTAAGGAAAGGTTCGACTCCAAGATCAATTGTTTAATCAAATGTAAATTATATGATATGGACTTATTAACATCCAAATTGTTCATTGTGTTGTGTATTATCACCACCTTTTCGTCACTTCATTCATCACCAAACTCCACGTGTCTCCCTTGTTATTTTTTTCCTTCACTCAATCTTTTCTTTATGTCCTTTCCAAAGATAACGTTAAAATTTGTAATGACTTGTCGTTTGAATATACGATTGACATTTGTGAAATTCCATCGATGGAGATAAAAATTAAACTAATGTACTCTCATATAGTTTGTATAAGTCCTATATTCATATTACATTTGGGTGTAAAAGTGTAAAAAACCCGTAATATTTATAATTCTCGAATAATAACGACATTAATTTTTTTTTAAAAGAATAATAATTCCCAAAAAGAAAAAACGTCCTTACACAGTGTATATATATAAACGGTCCATTGTAGTCGCAGAGGGGGGCACAGCAGCAAAGAGCAAAGGAAGAAGAAAATGGAGTCTCCGAAATCCAACAACGATGGCTACCAAAACATCTTCGTGATGCGTCACGGCGATCGAATCGACAATTTCGAGCCGCTCTGGGTTTCAACAGCTGCTCGACCTTGGGATCCGCCTCTCATTCAAGACGGCATGATCCGAGCCTTTCGAACAGGTCAAAGGATCCGATCTCAGATCGGGTTTCCGATTCACCGCGTCTTCGTCTCCCCTTTCCTCCGCTGCATCCAGACTGCTTCCGAAGTCGTCGCAGCTCTCTCCGCCGTCAATGTCGACATCACCGCCATGTCTTCCCAAGACGTCCCTTCCATTGACAAATCTAAGCTCAAGGTCAGATATTGATCATCGGCTTATACATTAAACTCAGATTCACCCAAAATCCATCTGGTTTTGTTGAAATGTTTGATGATTTAGGCAGGAATTTCAAATCTGTTCTAAAATCTACAGGTTGCAATTGAATTTGGATTGTGTGAGATGCTGAATTCAGTGGCGATAAGGCGTGAGCTAGCTCCGAAAGATGGGGATTTTGACTTCAGGATCTCAGATCTTGAAGCTATGTTTCCTGAGGGAATGGTGGATCATAATGTCGACATGGTTTACAAAGAGGTGATCTCATCTCTCTCAAGGACTTTCAAGTCTCAATTTTTTTTACCATTTTAGTTTTAGTATAAACTTGATCATCATCACTATGTCCTTCAGTTGCCAAAATGGGAAGAATCTGTGGAAGGTTGCAGAGATCGTTATGTTAAAGTGGTTAAGGCTCTTGCTGATAAGTATCCTACAGAGAACTTGCTCTTAGTCACTCATGGTAAGTCCAAGTTTCTGACTTTGTTTTGTGCGTCAACAATGAGTCTCTTTGATTGATGGAATTTGAAATTTCAGGGGAAGGAGTGGGAACAACATTCTCGACCTTCTATAAAGATACAACAGTGTACGAAGTAGACTACTGTGCTTACGTTGAACTGAGAAGAGAGGTCACAGGTCAAGATGGGTCTGTGAAAGCTGGGGAATACGAGGTGGTTTTGAGTCATGGTCAAGCTGGGATCCGGTTTAGTCATGATCCTGAAAGCCATGACCCTGTCATAAGCCGAACACCGGTTTAAACCAATCCTCTGTTTGTGTGTACTTTTGGTTGTATTTTGTGAATTGCTTCTGTATTATGAATTATGATGACCACATGGTTTCAAAAGTTTGATTCAATCAAAATAAAGGTTTTGTGATTCTGCCAAAACGAAAACAAGTTTTGACATAACGAGGAAACAAGAATGAACATTACATATGAATGTCGTCTGCGATCAAATTAGTTCTAAACAAGAAACAAACAACAATCTTAAGGACTAGGACTAGGGACTGGATCAAACATGTCAGCAGGAAAATCGTCAAAGAAGACATCAGAATGTTCATCATCATCCCTTGAAACATGTCTGTATCTCCTCGGAGGCGGAGAAGGCTCGAAAAACGGCTGAGGAAGAGCGAAGAGTGGCTCAGAGGAATCTTCTGGTCCAAGTATACCGTAGAAGTCATCGAATCTAGCCAAAAGATCTCTGCTGTCTGGAGAGAAAGGGGCCAATGGTTGCTGGTTTGGGATCAGTGAGTCAGAGAAGAGAGGTGTCATCGTCGCCGTCGTCGTCGTCTCTGCTAGAGCAAGACCACCAGTCCCAAAAGTGAAAGGCTGGAGATCTGATCTCATGGTTTCATCAACTCTGTCAGATGAGTAAGGAACTGGAATCTTGGAAGACGATGAAGACGCTGTAATCTCTTCCTCAACCTTGAAACACACACACACACACAGTGAAAATGAAAAATGAAAATGAAAATCCTCTCTTGTGTTTTACTAACTAACCAAGTACCTGAGGGGGTTTGAAGGATTGGAGTGGTTTGACGTTTTTGCCCTTGGAACGATGAGAAGAAGATTTGGGAGTGAAACTGGAACTGGAAGCATCAGAGTTGTTGTTGTTATGGAGGATCCTAGCGAGTCTCTTTGTTCTGCTGCTCCAGAAATTCTTCACGTCGTTATCAGTTCGTCCCGGTAAATAAGTGGCGATTCTCGCCCATTTGTTGCCGAACTCCGACTGCAACTCAATCACCGTCCTCTCTTCCTCCGCCGAGAACTTGCATCCACTTTTTAAAAAAGAGAAGAAAAAAACCTTAAAATTGAAGCAAAAAAAGCAAAACCAAAATTGAAGAAGAAGAAAGAAGAGGAAGTGATTGATGATACTTTTTGAGATTGGGACGGAGTTTGTTGACCCAACGGAGACGGCAGGATTTGCCGGTGCGTTGAAGAAGGCCTTTGGATCGAATGGAGCTCCAGTCACGAGGACCGTATCTCTTCACATGGTTGATGAGCACTTCGTCTTCTTCCGCTTTCCATGGTCCTTTCTTTATCTCCTCCTTCCTCCCCGCTTCCATTTTCTTCATCTCTAATGATTGATGATCAAACGATCTCTCTCCTCTCTCTCTCTCTCTCTCTCACGTTCAGTCTAATTTTTTGAATTAAGAAATTCTGTGTTCTTCTTCGGAAGTTTCTTTTCGATTTTGTAGTGACGGTTGGAAGCGGTTATCACCCATTACCCCACTCAAGGCCTCCACTTTCAGTACCCCACTTCCCAAGTTTCTCTCTCCTATTTTCGAATTTTGCCAATATTACCAAAACACCCTCGTAATTTTAAATCCGATTTCCTAGCCCAAAACTAAGCCCAAGTCAAGTGAGCCTTTGTAAGGCCTCGTTCGTGCTCTTAAAGCTTAATTCGAGTTTTACACAAAGTATGCTTTGATTAGAAATGAATAGAAAATGAAGAAAGAATATGGCATCAAATTAAATTATTAATTAGGATTAGTAAATCAATAAAAATGCTTGAACATGGCTGTTTTTCTTACAATTGATACCAGTCGTTGAATGTGGGTTTTTTTTTTTTTTTAAAGCTGCCATCTTTAACGTAATTAATTAATATCATTTCAAATTGAACACCATAGTTTATTGATGTCGAACCCACTTGAGTACCAATAGGGTTAAGTGCCAGTTTTTATTCTAAATTAATCTAATTAGGCTTTGGAATCAACTCATTCTTATTTATCTTAGGCTCTTAGCCAAATTATCATCATATCCTTCTTATCCATGTTTTAACAATAAGAGGGAGATTTCGAAAGTAGTGTTAAGTTGTATTACTTCTCCTTATCTTGTACTCTCATGGATCTTTCAACACTTCCAATTTTGAGACAGGCTTCAGATTCTCCAGACAAGAATGGATCCTCCGACCCGGAAACAATGAACCGGATTGTAGTTCTTGAACCGGACAAGATCAAAGAGCTAAAGAAATGGGCTCCAGGGATGTGGCGGTTTCCTACAAATCCGGACCTTTGCTGCATCTACAGAGTCCCAAACTGTCTACGTCAAGTCCATCCAGAAGCATACACTCCCGAGCTAGTCATCATCGGCCCTCTTCACCACTGTATAAAATCTCAAGCTCTCAAGGCTCTTGGAGATAGCACATGCACAAAGTCAATGGGCTACGTAAACGTGGAGGAGCACAAGAAAATCTACCTCTCGGCGTTCGCAAAAAGATTCGAAGGCAAAAACGTCATCGATGGTTTCAAGAAAACAATCCAAGAAGATGAAGCAATCATCAGAGCATGCTACTCTGAATCAACGGCCTGGATTGGATCTCAAGAGTTTGTGGAGATGATCTTGCACGACTCAGTTTTCATCATAGAGCTCATGTTGAGGTTTTCTTTGATAGGACCAGAGAAGATCGGTGACCCTCTCATGGACGAGCCTTGTCTTGAATACACAATCAAGAGAGATCTCATGCTGCTCGAGAACCAGCTTCCTTACTTCATCCTCGAGAAACTCTTCGATCCAATCATTCCAATACTCCGACCAAACGAGACGCTACGTAAACTCGTGATAAGCCACTTTGAGTTGGAGACGAGGAAGAAGAAAGTCAAAGACGACTCAAAGTTCAGACATTTCACTGATCTCTTCAGGTGTGTCCGCGTGGAGACACTTCCTGAGCATGGCTTAGGGTCAGACGATTTCATGGACCACATGCATAACGCGGATAAGCTATACGGTAATGGGATCAATTTCAAGGTCGTGGAAGAAGAAGAGTTGTCCGTGGAGGTGACGTTCAAGAATGGTTGTTTGGAGATACCATGTTTCAAGGCTGATGATGAAGTGGAGGTAACACTTAGGAACATAATGGCTCTTGAACAATGTCATTACCCTTTCAATGCTTACGTCTGTAGTTATGTCATGTTCTTGGATTTCCTTGTCGACACTGATAAAGACGTAGACTTGCTCGTTGAGAAAGGTAATTATAAATAAGCTTTTACCTTAATATATCTCTGTGTATCAATAAATAAATGTGTTGATGGTTTTGGTTTTTGAAAGGGATAATAAAGAATTGGATAGGGCACCAAGGTTTGGTGGCTAAGATGGTGAACAAGCTTTGTTTGGGAGTCGTGGACCATGGCTCATACTATTCTGAGTTGGTGGATGAAGTCAACGATCGCTACAAGAACCAATTTTATAGAACATTTGGGATCCTCAGGCGGGTCTATTTCAACAACCTGTGGAAAGGGACTGCGACCGTAGCTGCTATCTGTATATTGATCATGACTCTTATCCAGACGGTCGCTTCGCTCATTGATATTACGCAGAAGAAAGACTGAAGTGAACACTCTTTTCTTCCTAAACGCGTTTTGTCTTTGGTTTTAAGATTTGTATTCTCATTTTGCTAATTTTATGTTCTTCCAATTCCATTGCTATTAAGCTAATTAATTCTATATATGATTTTTTAAAATGGTTAGTTCAGGACTTCTCGTAGCATAAAGTAACTTGAACAGCAAGAAATTAGAGCTTTATTACACTAAAGTTTAAAAGATATTATCCCAAATTATATTGTTTTATAAAGTTAACATAAAAAGAGTAAATTAGATAAAAGATTTTTACTAAAGAGAAATAAAAAGTGGCAAGATTCGAATAGAAAAGAAAAAAGTGAGAAGAATTTTGGTGTATTATTAGGCTAATAGAAGAAAAGGGTTACCATAAAAAGAAGAGAGAAACGTGCAAGACAATCAGTCCTGTCTCCGATTATACATCTAATCGTTGTTCAAATGATCTAGTTTAGTAGTAACTAGCAAGATCTGTTCCTTCTATTTTTCATAAAGTAAAGTCTTTTATGATATCAAACCAAAACTATTGTGAGGTATTGTATATCCAGGAGCTATTTTGGCACAAAAGTTCAAATGATCAAGTCTAGTTCAAACGATTTTACATGTAATCGTTGTTCAAATGGCAAGATCTGTTCCTTTTATTTTTCATAAATTATAATCTCTTATGATATCAAACCAAAACTATTGTGAGGTTGTATTGTATAACCAGGAGCTATTTTGGCACAAAAGTTCGCTATATCTTTGAATATGATATCAAAACAAGACGAAGTTTGCTCTGTAAAATCCTTTATCGTTGAAAGGAAACTAAGACAGAGCACATAAATCTTAAGACATCATCTAAATTATTACGAATAAGCCTCCCAATAACCTTGAAAAAGTTTCAGAGAAAGACAAACAAAACTTCGTCAGATATCTATATAGACATACATACACGAATCGCTAGCAGCATCTGAGAAAATCCTTCGCACGATGCACAAATCCGGTTCTCAATGTATTCATCTACCAGAGAGTTGTTCCATGATCGTTCCATAGTCAATCCAATAAAAGTACCATAACTCAAATTGTTCATGATAGATCATCCGTCTCTGCAAAACAAGAACCGAAAATTCCATAACTATACGGTTTATCAAGAGAAGAGACGATCTTTGTCAAAACCCCTAAAAATTGGCGTACCGGTGATTTGCTTTTTCGGAATTTGAGGATGAATCCCCATATTCGTTCTGATGCATTCTCCCAAGTCTATGGCGTCTTGGACCTGACGGCAATTTCAGCATTCAATTGGATCATTCAATCTCTCTGATACGAACTATTTCACACACACAGAGAAAGAGATAAAATTTACTGATTTGACTAACCGTGTGAATCCCAGAGGCACTGAGAAACGCGACGGAGGTGGTGGCTATCGCGCCGACGAAGAGTGATGCCACACCGAAGGCTTTGAGCGGCATAAGACGCATGTCGCCGGCGTAGCCTCTCCGTATACATCTCACTCCCCACATGATCTGGGCTCCACTTCCCATTGCCCACCACCAGTGAGCGGATCCATCGAACAAACTGCTATCACCGCCGGCACCGGCGTCGTTTTGTTCGTCCATTTTCGCCGTTGTTTCTCCGGAGATTGTGAAATGAGCAAAATCCGATCGCGAGATTCCTTTTTCGCGTTGGCCTTTACGAATTACGATCGTTGTAGCTTTCATGGGCTCCGCTTTGGGCTTAAAGGCCCATATTTGTTCTTAAAGAGTATAATTAAATGTTTTTTTTTTCCTTCTTATTAAGAGTAGAGGAGTTGATTGTTGAGAATGCCATGTGAGTATAGGCGAAGGAGGAGGAACAAAAAAGGTGAGACAGATGGTATTTGGTTATGAGTCATGACCACAACGAACTTGTTCTAAACTTTTACTTTTGTTTTTAGATTTTTTTTTTTAATATAGTTTACTTGTATGTTTTAAAGAATTGTTTACCTTTTTTTTTTTGTCAAAGTGCTTTGGTTTAAACTTTAAAGGATAGCTTAATTATTAAAGAAATGTTCTTTTTCTCTAATCCGGGATCTAATGTGTGAAGCTATTAGCTTCATATTTCTTTAGATAATCTAAACACTAAAGAAAAGCTTTTTCTTTTCATTTTTTGTTTTGTTTTGGCTTCGTTTGTCAGGAGTTACTAGATAATTTAAACATCAAAAAGTGATTTTTCGTTTTATTTATCAGGAGTAATATTTAGGCGAAGGTTTGTATATTCATCATCATGTATTTAGCTTTTAAAGTTTCCTCACCGTTACAGGCTCATAACACTTCAGGAAGCATTGCTAGGGTTTAATTCGAAAACATTAATAAGAAAATGAGGGACATTGCTGTTGGAGAATGATGTCACTACACACTACATAGTCTACATTATAGTAAAGAAAATATAGATATTAGGTTGGGCCAAAGGGAAGATTTGGTATGGCCCAGAAAAATGCTACATTCAGCCAATTCTGGTCGTGATTGTTAAATGTATGAACGGATTCATGTACGCGGTTGTAGTGTTATACATATTATAATTCTAAGCTCACTTTACCTCTTCTTCAGGCGTCCTATAGACGACAAAGTTTTTCTCTACTTGAATTTATGTATTTTAGTTGTGTGATTGTAACTGGGTTCAGTGTACAGATTCCAAAGATCAAGAGATAAACTTCACATTTTACAAATTTTAGGAAATGGAGGAGGAGGAGGTAACCACAAACTTATTGCTAAATTTTTGTCTTGATTTTAGCATTAGTTAGTTAGTTACATTACAATACACGCTAACGGTCTAATCCAGCCACTTTTTTTTTGTTTCTTACATATAACTTTGTCTCTATATGTATAGCTTTTTCCAGTAACGAACAAGTTCAGATGAATATACAATTTGGCATATCGCATATATATATTCCCTGTGGAGAATATATATATGCCAGCACATGATAGCAGTACATTTGATTTCTTCCGTGTCGTATAAATTATAAATTGATGTTTTATACCTATTAATCTAGTTACTCATAGTTGTTGATTTGTGGTTGCGCACTTTCGAAACAGAATAATTTAACACGTTTTTGGCTTTTATTTACTGGACAGCAGCTATGTAATAATTATAATATGTTTTGAGTACAATATTTCTTTAAATTGAATATTCATCAATGTGAGACTACGACTACTGTATATCAACAACGAGTTGACACTTGACAGCAGTACTCATTACTCAGGGTTCTTCATTCTTCACCAACAACAAGAAAACGGTAAAATAAACGTGTGCCATGTATACCAAGAAAGAAAAGAAAATAACTACTATAATGGAGTACATTGTTCAATGATTTCACTAGAAAAGTTGATGTTCATTTTAGTATTTCAAATTTTATCATTAGTCGAATAGTTATAGTGGCGACAACTCGAATATTATCCTTTTTATGTAAGTAGTAAATTGAGCAATGGTTATGACAAATTATATCCTTCTATAATGCCGTCTTATAACGTGATTCTCGTGGTCTAACTTTTTTTGTTAACTAATTACTACATTGTGTATTCCAACGTCCAAGTTAATTACGACATATGTCAATTTATCATAAAGCAAAGTGGGCCGAGATGAAACTTTTATGTATTAATACTATATACGTCGTCTATAAAGCCTATAATGGAGGAAAACAAAAGTTGACACTCTCTGCATATTGTGCTACTTATCGGCAATTATAACGTCACACACTGTTCCAGGACAAAGTTCATGGGTTGTGAAGGTGACGCACATGCACGATGGTCGGTTCATATATAAGACTAGAGATGGTTGAACAACATTTCAATGAATGCCGTCTAACCGTTTATTCAATTTTAGCAAAAAGACATTTGCACATATAAAATAATTTCCATTTAATTTCACATGGGAGTAAGTTATTCGCTGAAAAATGGTGGATAGTAGTTTCACGATCCGGACCCACTATTATGAAAATCATAAAGATTTGTTCTTTTATATATGACTCTCTCATGTCTTTTTCTTTATAATATGGAAACCAAGGACAAAAAATAAAAATAAAATAACTTGGAAGAATATTAATAGCAGCCCACTTCAGGTTGCAACCAACCTATACCTTTAACTCTCTGTCTTTCTCTCTCTCTAAAATGGAAAAACAAATCAACATAGAGAGTAGTGCTACTCATCATCAAGCCAACAATGCTTCCGTTACAACCCCAACCGTCCCCGCCGCGACGTCTTCGTCGGAATCTTGGACGTCTTCCTCCAAAAGACCGTTAGTGCAAGACAGCGAAGCCGACGGTAAACGGAGGAAGAGCAACGACGGCGATGATAGTAAGAATCCAACGACGTATAGAGGAGTGAGGATGAGGAGTTGGGGGAAATGGGTGTCGGAGATAAGAGAGCCGAGGAAGAAATCAAGAATATGGCTTGGGACTTATCCAACGGCTGAGATGGCTGCTCGAGCTCATGACGTGGCGGCTTTAGCAATCAAAGGCAATTCCTGTTATCTCAATTTCCCTGAGTTATCCGGTTTGCTTCCTCGTCCGGTTAGCTGCTCTCCCAAAGATATTCAAGTCGCAGCTGCAAAAGCCGCAGAAGCCACGTGGGAAGAACAACCGGTTATCGATCATGAGAAATTAGCCGAACCGGAATCAGATGAGCTAAGCCATTCCGAGTTGTCCACGGCTCAGTCCTCGGCTTCGAGCGGTTTAGGGTTTTCTAATTCTTCGGATACGTCGGAAACTTCAAGTAGGGACAAGGAAAGCAACGAAGAGACCTTGTTTGATTTGCCGGATCTTTTCACGGACGTTCTGATGAACCAAAACGTTGCGTTTGGTAACTACGACAACACTTCTACGTGGCAGGTTTACGGAGATGATGTGTGGTTTCGGTTTGAAGAACCGTTCACTTGGCGGAACGAATAAACTACCTTACTAATTAACGTATAGTTCCATTATGGTTTAAAACTAATTTTGTCTATCCTTTTCTTGGTACTTTGTGGAAAAATTGAGCTCGTTTTAAATAATTGTCTCTGTTTCGAAATTGTACTACTGTAAGACTGCAAGTGAATCTAATAAGTGGGAGTGGTGAAAATGAATTTTAACCTAGTAATACAGAGATGACAAGAAGGCAACGTTTGTTGATAGTGACATACACAGTGACACTCTCGATAACTTTCTAGCCTTTTTTTTGTATTCGCTTTGGCCCCTAGATTTTAAGAATATATACGAATTTTGACTTCTAGAACCAAAGCACCCCTGTGTGGCATCGACATTGATTTATATTTGCTTAATAACTAGTAGTAATTAATCTAGTCAAAACTTGAGCATCTTCGATCTTTGACTAGCAGTCAGTGTTGTTTTATAATCCTGACTAGACAAATTTGTTTATATTAGTTTAGTGGCAATCTAGTGAAAATCTAGTTCCACTTACCGGTTTACTTTTTGCTTAAGTACAAAAACTTATAGTTACTTTTAAAATGACAAGTTAAACTACCAGACTAAAGAATATCCATTGACAACATAATATAGGTAGATAAGCTCATAAGCATATTCTATCATAAGATTACTAAGAACATATATAAAGTTTAAATCAATCGATAAGATGACCGTGATCCCAATCCGTGACGGTTCTCATAAATCTAGTGAATTTATAATCCATTTGAAGTAAGCGAACTGAGCTTAGCGCAGGTATCATATACTATGTCATAATTAGTGTGTGCGTCGTTGATGAGACGATGATTGCGAAATTGAAAGTGAAGGAGACAAGCTTTTGATTAAATTATCTCTTTATTATATTTAGGGTGGGAATATAACATGACTCACATGTTCATCATTGCTTTTTTTTCCTTTTAAAGTTACAATAAGTTAATAACCTTTCACTTTTTTTCTTTCTTTCATTTCTCCATTTCTTTATTTCGCGTAAAAGGTGAAAAGATATATTCTGTAACAATGGGAATGCTTTTGCCCAACACCTTACTTTCTCCACTGTTATGAAGCATAATACGACTGTTATGGATTCCAAAACACGTTCACTGGATCCAATAAGAAAAGTAGTAATAATATCCATGCATATATGAATATGATCGTCAAATTCTAACAAATTGCTAAAGCAAATCTTTATCTATAAAAACTCAACAACACTTATCTCATTTGAAAGATAGACCAGATCATTCGGATTAACACCATATGATATAGGAAACGAAACAGCTATAGAAATTGGAAAATTCTAAAATGTACTCAAATATATGCATATACAAATTTCATTCGAAGTATCGTAGATACATCATTTGAGTTCGAAACCGGAATTTGACTCCGGAACAGGAAAAATCTTGTTGAAAACGAGTGATATTCTTAAATATGCACAAAGCAGTTATAGGCGAATATGTATATTCTATTGGTAGACTTATGGGTTGTTGAGGCCATTGATTAAGAAACATACATATAAAGATAGTGGATGTGGTAGAGAGCTCACTATCACATTATTGCTACATACATATATATGAACTTGTCGAGTAATTAATGTATCCTTATTCTATTCTCTCATGATGTTCGGGTTTGAATTGAATGTATGTAAGTGTCTCCATTAAAATTAATAGAAAATTTAGGAAGACATAAGTATCTCCAACCTCGAGTTTTGTTTGTTTGTTTGCTAATCTGTTCCTCAGCCGTGAGTTATATACTTAGCTCATCTTTCGTATTTTTTATCATTTTTTGGGAAAAGATTCTAAATCCGTTTCCACACAAATCACTTGGACAATACTATACATTAAAACTTCCTAAAACTTATGAATGCTTTTCTTTTTACAAACTACAGCTGAATTCCTCTTTTGGCCTCTTCCGTTATGTACAGAAAGTCAGAAACTCGTCTAAGAATTATTATAAAAAGAGACATTAGGATGAAAGAAATATACATATTAAAAACATGCGATCTTTTTCTTTCGAATAAAGTGGACAAAAAAAGAACGAAGAAAACAGGGAAGCAGAAAGAAGAAAATGAAAGCAACAACAGCAGATGAAAGATTCATTTTGTTCACTGATTCACATATTTCCTCACATCCCAATCAAAAGAAACGAAAAAAAAAAAATAGGAGAGCATGTGGGAAAGACTAAAATTGCCTACGAAAGTAACGAAGCCCACAATTGTTTATGAGGTAGTAGACTTATTTAGAATATAGTTTGAACACTTTTAATTAATATTACAAGTTGTCTCCTGCTCTAGTCCATGTGGTTTGTGTGTGCGCGAAGCAAACATCAACATGTCTAAGATCAGACATTATTATAACTTCGGTTCTGAATTCTGACAAGTTCTAGATTCATCCTAAGTCCTAACATGTGTCTTCTTGAGAATTAAGTAATAATAGTAAACAAACCAGCTTAAGATGACAGTGATACAACCATATGGCATATTCTTCATGAGTCATGAGCCTTCACAAAACTTAAACAAAACAAGTAGTGGCTCGAAATTCCTTATTTGTTAGTATATATTTCCACAAGTAGTGTTATTTGTTAGTCCAAACTTCTAACAAAGTTAAAGAGCATGTTATATTTGATTGCGCAGATAGAATACAAATATAGACACCAAGTGGATCTGATCTTCAATTATTTGTGGAAAATAATCTGACAGAGCGGGCTTGTTGAAATTCCTGATGCAGCAGTAGTATGTAAAAACTAAAAAGCAAAGCATCTGCATGGAAGTTGCACTGAAAATAGATGGGCTTCATAAAATGTCTAAGACGGGCTTTATTTTATTTCAAATATGTGAAACGACGTCGCTCGTTAGTCACCTTAACACGGCGCCGTTTACATTATGTCTCCTCCATCCCTCTCGTTAATCAGTTTCAGAGACACTGCAAAACCCTAAATCCTGTAAATCGAATTTCTCCTCCGTCGTCTCTCTCCGAAACTTCTTTCCATTTTCACGCTTTCCCCGAATCGCCGCCGCGTGTTGCACTGAGTTTAGATTATTTTTTTGGCTTCGTTCTGAATTCGTGTTAGTAGCCATAGCGAATAATGGAAGGGAGATTGGCTAATATGTGGAGGTTGACGGTGAACGAAAGCAAATTCGTGGAAACTGCGTTGAAATCTGAGCTCAGAGTCGATGGTCGTGGGCTTTATGATTACCGAAAGCTTACCATTAAGTTTGGAAAGTAAGTGCTCTAACTTCTTCTTAGGCTTCTAATGTTTGCTGATTTTAGCTCAGGAAAGCTTCAATATTTGTGATCACTTTGAATTGAGATGTGATGCATTTTGCTGCTGTATATAAGAGTCTCTTTAGCCTATTTCTTAATCTTGTGTGTGTATGAACAGAGAATATGGTAGCTCAGAAGTTCAACTTGGTCAGACTCATGTGATGGGTTTCGTGACGGCTCAGTTGGTACAGCCTTACAAAGACAGACCTAACGAAGGCTCCTTGTCTATCTTCACTGAATTTTCTCCAATGGCTGATCCGTCGTTTGAGCCAGGTCGTCCTGGTGAATCTGCTGTCGAGTTAGGCCGTATTATAGACCGTGGTCTAAGGTAAATCTCTCTTTTTGAACAATCTGTATCAATGCTGAAAAGACGATTATAGTTGGAGTAATGGTAAACTGACGACCACTGTGATTGGTTTCAGGGAAAGCCGTGCGGTAGATACAGAGTCACTCTGCGTTCTAGCTGGAAAGATGGTTTGGTCCGTTCGCATTGATCTTCACATCTTAGATAATGGAGGGTAGGTGTCTGTTGATTACACTACTTCTCCTCTCCTTAATGTTCATTGAAGGTTTTGGTTTTGAAATGGTCTTTTTGTTACTTAATCTTGTATAGGAACTTGGTTGATGCTGCAAATATTGCTGCTTTAGCAGCACTGATGACGTTCAGGAGACCAGACTGCACAGTAGGAGGAGAGAACGGTCAAGAAGTGATCGTACATACACTAGAGGTTAGTCATATCTTTCGGTTAAGTAAAGAAAGAAGTTCTCAACTTCAACTGTTTGCTTTATCGTTTACTTTCTTTTGCAGGAAAGGGAGCCAGTTCCATTGATAATACATCATCTTCCAATAGCCTTCACGTTTGGATTTTTTAACAAAGGCAACATTGTGGTAAGAAAAATTGTGTTTTTTTTTTGTGAGATTCTAGTTTACTTTTTTTTTTTGTCTTTCTGAGATGTTAAAGAGTAATGTGTTGTTATGCAGGTGATGGATCCAACTTATGTTGAAGAAGAGGTTATGTGTGGGAGAATGACTGTAACAGTCAATGCCAATGGAGATATATGCGCGATCCAAAAACCGGGAGAAGAAGGCGTGAGCCAGAGTATGATCCTTCATTGCCTGCGTCTTGCTTCTTCAAGAGCTGCTGCAACAACAAAGATTATTAGAGAAGAGGCAAGGTTTCTTTAACTCCCAAGCGTTTTCCTTTTTGGATCCAAAAAGATACAATAACTCACAAAGTTGCTGTGTTTTTGTAGGTTGAAGCATATAACCGTGAGAAGAGTTTGCAGAAGGTGAAACGACATCCTACTTTGGCTAAATCTGAAGTGTCTGGACCTATTGTAGTTGTGAAGGAGGGAGACAAGAAGTCCTCAAATCAGGTTAAAGCTGAGGAGATATCTGTTGAACATGTCGAAAGATTAAAACTTTCTTCTGATGAAGTTAAAAGCAGTAGTGAACAAGAAGCTGCTTCCTCTCCTAGCCATTTCAAAGGCGGTCCATCCAGTTGGTAAAATCTCAATCTCTCTTTCATGTTCTGTTTTTTCAAGGAAAAACTCAAGTCTCTCATATTTTTTGTTATTTTGGTCGTGGAACAATTTCAAGGGATCCTTACTCGGAAGCAATGGACGTTGATTCGCTGAAAGTTTCTCTTGCTTCAAAAGGTAAATGTATTTCGTATCTTTCTGATTCTTTCTTCAGAAATTGTATCTCCTAGAGAGAGTGAAGGAACTGAAGCTTGTTCTGTTTTTAATTCAGAGTCTTCCGTGACTAAATCACCGATCAAGAAGAAGATGAACGACGACACTGGGAATGCGCAGAAAGAAGTAACCGAAGATATAGAGAAGAAGGATACAGCTGAAGCTACGAAACAAAAGGACGGAGAGATGACACTGAAAGATGCTGTCAAACCTAAGAGGAAGAGGAAAAACAAAAGCGGTTAACCAAAACGGTCTTTAGTGTTTATGTCATGAGCAGAGTTATTTATATTTGTCTATTTTTCAAGGAGTTAGGCAAAAATAGATTCGAGGTTGTGACTGAGTGTAAAACGTATCTGAGCTAAGGCATTGTCCCAAAACACTCTCGTTTATACTTTACTTTCTTCTTGCATTGAAGTTGAAGTCTTCTGTCTTATGGTCAATATATATATCTGAAAAGTCAACGCAATAAGAGCCAGCGAAAGTTAAAACAATGGCATTGGCAATCATGTTCATGTTCATGAAGTCTCAGTTAAATCGATTCGAATCATACAAACCTAGATTTTTTTTTAAAAATTATCGTACTACTACTAGACATTGATCTCTTGGGCAAGAATCCTCTTTTTCATTGGCTTGAAAACTGAGAAGTTTGGTTTTTCGTTTGGCAGCAAATCTGTAAAAATTGTGATGAAAATAATAAATGTTAGTCACACACACAACTAATTAAAACATACTAAAGAGAAAGTGTAACAAAGGTTAGTGATCTACACCTGATGTCAAGAAACTAAATGCTTTCTCTGAGTTTGATGGGAAGGTCAAGATCAGGCTCAGAGGGAGTCAATGGAGAGAAATATTCATCAACCATGTCCTCTGATACTTTCTCCAAGCTTGGTGGATCCCACTGCACAACACCAATCTTTTATCATTACAATGATCTACTTATTATACAGTCATGGTTTATTGAAAAAAATTACCTTGGGTGAACCGTCCTTGTCAATCAATCGAGCTCGTACTCCCTTTTCACCATTAAAACATTACTCAAACAATGAATGATGACTCGTTTACTCTGTTTGCAATCTCAAGTTACCGGATTCTCACATACCTCGCAATAGTTGCCGGAAAATTTCCCGATTGTTCCTTGTAATGCCATTCTATACTCTTTAATTAAGCATTGATCAAGTGTTTGAAATCTTCCTTCCCGGATCTATTGGATTCGTTTAAAGAAAGCTTATATAAAGTCAGAGAAAGGGGGAAAAAATGAGATGTTTACAAGCAAAGTTAATTGTGAACTTACTGATCTCAATGCGACCTTTAAGGATAACGGCGAGGTTTCTTTGAGTCTACGTAGAGTCGTCGTGCACCATTCGTCTTTTGTTCTACCAGCCTCGATTTCCTGGCGAAAGAACGAACAAAACACTATAACTTCTGAGATGGTCACACTCGCGGAATCATTTGTAAATGAGACTTACCAAAGAGTCGATAATTTCTTCCACTGTGTCATGACCGAAGCATTTGTCAAGTAAATCCATCCTAAAGAAACCTCATCAGGAACATAGCAAACTTAGGAGCTAGTATGAGAATTCAAGGGAGGAGTTTCTAAGGAAAACAAACCTGCGAATAACACCAGTCTTTTCTGGATGGGCAACTTCTGCACATTTTTCTAAGGATGCTTCAACAACAGAAGGATCATCAGTGAGCAGATTCTTGAGCTGTTCCTCCAAAACAGGAACCTCCTGTTTCAGTGGAAGAAAGCATTAATACTCGTAGCATGTGAAATAAGTTTGATGAAAAAAGAAAATAGCTGATTCGTGTCATCTAAATTACCTCACTAGTAATATAATGCGTCGCAAGGCCACATGCCAACATTTCTGCCCCGCTGATTTTTAACCCAGTCAGACCCAGATATTCCCCTGCATATACTCTTTTAAATCATCCGTAACAGAATGTAAGCAGTTCAAATACGAATCACAAGCATACCTAAGCGGCCAGGTAAGTGGGACAGATTAAAAGAAGCGCCAGCATCAGGATGAAAACCAATGACTGTTTCAGGGGTAGCAAAAATCTGCAATGTACAAGAGATAGTTACTAGAATCCAGCTGAATGACGACTAAATGAAAGGATGGTGAAAAGTGGAGAGATAGCATATAGATGGAAAACTACATACAGTTCTATCAGTAGCTACACGGAATGTCGCAGGTATCGAAACTCCAGCTCCGCCTCCCATGGTAACACCATCAAGAATTGCCACCTGAATGCAGAGAAAATCATGGTATCATTCTACTTATTCGGTGACATTTGCACAGTCAGTGATCAAAAGGTAACGTTCACTTACATTTGGCTTAAGATATGTGCCTAGAAAGTATATAAAATTATACAAAGTCCAGAAAAACTCCCTAATAGCATCCGGGCTACCTACATTGATTTAAAGGAGAAATAAGTGAAACAAAACAGCAAGTGAATACAGAGAGAGCATAAAAGATTCCGTACAATACCCTCCCATGCCATCTAATCTTCATGAAAGAACAAAAAAACTCTTTTTTGCAACCCTATGCAGCTTTCCAGGAATTGAAACATCAAAATGTATCCTGAAATTCCATGTACCTCTCTTTTGTAAATGGTAGAGAGAGACTATATCGCCACCAGCACAAAATGCTCTTCCACTCCCCTTCAACAGTTCCAAGAGAAAGGTTAAGAGCTTTTTCACCTCTCAAATACTCAAAAACAAGGAATTTCGATAGACAAAGAGAATAAGTAGCAAGAGTGTGCTGCACAAATTACCTTCATCATCACGAACCCAATATTTGGATCTTCTTCCCAGTTCTTATAAAGTTTATGCAACCTCATTCCCTATTGAAACAAAATATATACAAATCAATGTCAGGCCACGAGATCATATCCTTGAGAACCAATAATCAAATGTTCCAGAAATTTGAGAGCGCGAAAATGAGAGAATACCATGTGAGTGGTGAGAGCATTGAGAGCAGGTGGTCGATTGAGAATCGCGGTGCGGGAACAACCGCTTCCTTCAACGAGAACCTAATCGCAAATTGAGCTTAGATCATTTAAATCCCCGCAAACAGAGATTGAGGGCAGTGAGTAATGACGACGATACACACGAACCTGGTTATCGAGGTCCTCGGATGTGACATGAAGCGAACAGAAGCTCCTCCGATAACCGAATCTCCATAGCTTATTTCGAACGATTCTCACCAACAATCCTTTCGCGTTATACATTCCTGCTCTTCTTCTTCTTCCTCGTTTCTTTCGATACTCTTTTCTTATTTGGCAAAAATCAAAAATGGCGGATCGTCTAGTGTCGTGGCCGGGTTTATCGGGCTCCGATTCCACGGGGCTAAATCCTCCAGGCGAGACAGAGGTTCTGACTCGTGTCAAACGACGACGTGTTTATATTGCTGGGCCTAATGGGCCGTGCCCAAGATATAATTTCCGTATCCCGATCCTTTCATTTCTGACCGATTTGGATATTACTATAATACTCTAGCCTTTTCTTTTGTAATATCCTTTTTCTTTTTCTTCTACCCAACCCTACTAGTTTTCCAAAATTGACCTCTCTTTTTTCTGGTAAAGCAATTGACGACCTTTTTAACACAATAAAATTGTCATGTGTGCAGTAATGAGCAACTTTTCATGTGATTATATATGTGATGTATTATTTAAAAACAAAAACTAGAATCATGATGCCGCTAGACAAGTCACATGTTTATCACTTGTTTAAGCGGTACTAATTTTCTTGTGGCAAAAGTGAATAAAAAGAGAAAGGACGACGAACGAATTTGAGTGGCAGAGAAAGAAGGTGGCAGCTTTTAGTTTTCTTTTGGTTATATCATATTTTGTTGTTTTTTAATTTAAGTTTCGTCTAAAAGAGGAAACAAGACAAACAGAAAAAGATGCATTAACTTCTCCTGAAGAACCTCAGCAATATATGTGGATCGATGTTCGTGACACTGCTTTGCTTGTCACTCAATTCATGTAATTGCGATGATCTTCATATTTGCACATTTCTTTTTAGACAGTTAGACTGCACACGGTGCGACCATGAACAGATAGACTTTGTTTTTTTTTATACGATGAGTGGAGTTTATGCAAATCAATATCGCTATGCTAGTTCCTAACGCACTGGTTAAATAGTTTGTTTTTTCGACAAAACTATTGATGACTAGTCTTGTACAACAACTATTTCTGATATTTTAATAGTTGTGTGAGAGGATGATGAATATCAGAATATATATAATGAATTTCATGATTTGAAATTAGTTTTAACTAAAAACGTTTTCAACAAACAAATTAAAAACACCCATTTACTAGAGCCACAAGAAAAATATATAACTCGTACTTATGTAAGAAGCCTTTTTTACATGCCTATACGAACTTAATCCATTAAACACCAATCTTAAGATTTTAAAAGACTAAATCGAGGGATCTGGGTTCTGGACATATAATGAAAACCTTTGAATTATCTTCTTTTGAACATTACTCAGATTATTTACATTCAGAACATGTCTTTCGTGTTAAAAACTCAACCTACTAATTAATAATATAGAGACGATCTTAATTAGCTCAAACGTACGTAGGTTTAGCAGAAATGGCTCCACGGCATTTTTTATAAACACTTATTGATTAACCTTAAAAAAAACAACGAATCGTTATCAAAACAAGAAAACAATATGTAGAAAGTGATTGATAACTATACGTGGTTTTTGAGTGACGACAGAATAGTATCATAAAATGCTGATGAGGGATAGCAAAATACAAGCACACAATTCATCGCTAATCTAAAACCAACCATTCAACGCCAAATATATATATTTCTCATGTTCTATATAAAGATCATAATTTATTTCAAACATTCACTAACATCATTACATGATAACTTCGATCCGCAGGTAATTGTTATACATTGCTTCTCACACCATAACAACATCTACGATAGCCCTAATTATATATATCTTACATACGTCTTATTATCTCATATCCTAATCAAAACGCTACATCTCTCTCTTGGCTTTTATTTTTTGTTATTTTGAAAACTTTACTAACACATGACATCCTTGAGAAGCTTGTACCTGCGAGTGGCCGGTCGAGGAGAAGGTACGCCGGTTTTACCCTTGTCGGCTGCTGGAGGAATACTACTACTCGTAGCTGTGACTTGGTTAGTCTCTTGCTGCTTGATTTGATGAGATGAAGAATACTCCGACCGGTACGATCGCTTAGACGATCCACCGTTAACACCGTGCTTCGCTCCGCTTCGATTCTTTGCTTCGCACTGACACCAATCGCAGATCTTGATTGGATCAGCTTGCTCCTTGTAATAGCTACTACAGTACCTGTACCAAAATGGTTAATCCATGTATGTATGGTAGTTGTTGAAGCAGTTCTTGTTTGGTTTGACAGAATAGTATACACATCTCTATATATAACATATGCATGCTTGTGATTTGATGTATGATGATCTACTACTAAATCGATATAGTGAATGCACGTGGCACGCGATCTCACCGTCCACTGCGACTAAAACTTATATTGTATGATGTTAATATGCTTGATGATGGTGATGATGATGACTTTATGTACAAGATGGTATAAATATACAAATATGTAAATACATACGAGTGTTGAAAGCGGTTAAGGCACTTGCTACAATGGAAGAGCTTGTCGAAGAAGCCCACATCACCACACATGCAACAAACTTTTCTTTCGAGATCCACCATTTTTGGTTTTCCTTGATGAGCAGAAGATGTAGAATATGAAGGAGAGGAGGAGATGGAGAATGAGAGAGAGAGAGAGAGAGAGAGAGAGAAATCAAAAAAGGGAGAATTGATTCTATAAGGAAGGGGAAAAAATAATATAAATGGGGTTATTATTAAACTTATTATATTTCGCAAGTCGGTCCATAAGTAATAATAATATTTATAAAACCAAGGAAAATACATTTATATAAATAAATATATAATAGCGTAATAAGGCAGGTAGAGACCGCAGGTTGCTTTGCAGTCGTTTTCAGTTGGAGCTTGGGAGGTGGAGAAACAAAGAACCTTAAAATATAAAAATAGATTACCGAAATGACGGTTTTACCCTTAGAGCTTTATAAACGGCTGTTATTCTTGTAGCCTTTTCTTTGTCCTTTTCCGGGATTTCACAGAGAAAGAAACTTGTGGGATGTCATTTCTTTGACTTTTTCTCCGTATATAGAGAGAGCGTGACAGACACTCCCGTTTGGTTATAAGAAGCCTCACAAGACACAAATAACAAATTGTATATACTTTTTATATATAATTAATATTTAAAATATATAAAAGTTGTAGTTGGTGAAACAAAAACTAATTTCATCGTGAAACAAAAACAAAATATTTGCAAGTTTGCAACTAAAAGTAATGGAAAACATGCATGAGAAGATATAAATCTTAAGGTTTCAGCCTCATAGATTTATTATAGATATCTTTCAGTAGTTTTAATATACACGGTAATTTTGGGGAAATTTTTTATCTAATATTTGACTTTTTTTGCTAAAGAAATATTCGACATATTGTTAGATGGATAACAAGATATAATTCTGTATGTTTACAAACAAAAAAAAACGAAAATTTTGAATTGTTTTTTATTTCAACTCTAAAGAGATCTTTTTCTTTTTTTAATCCATGTGTATATGATATACATATGTACTCACAGGATAATAAATTTGAAGAGAGACTAGTCAACTCATTCAATTTCTCGTGCATTACATTAATATCGTATATAAACTTTATCGAATCCTAAGTCTTTGGTTCATTTACCATGTATTTAATAGGTCTACAAACTTTCACACACACACAAAGTTCATAGGTCTAGAACTAGAATGTAAGTGTGACATATGAAACTTCTTAGCAAATATATTACCGAAGTTACGATGTATATCCACATGACCGAATAAACTAATATCGCTCGAGTTGCATCACATGATTTCCAGAACACTCTTCCATAATAAAAAAATCTATAACGCGCGTGTATAAAGCTATACATTTTATATATAAATCAGTTTACTAGTAAAATCCGTGTGCCACATATAAATTTAATATATGCAACTGAAACATACTTAATTAGGCAGTATATCAGTGTGATTGGCTCTTAGTGTTTAGAGAGTTTTATAATTTGATCAAACTGACATATACACGCGACGGTTTAGTATGACTGTATGAGTTGATGAAGTGGAACCCATACTTTTTTATTGTTCTTGGTTTTATATTTAAATTTGGAAGTGTATAGTTTTAAAGGTAAAACATATTTACAGAAAGACAAGAAAAAAGCCAGTTCAAGAATCATGCTATAATAATGCCAGTCAACTCTGACAACTTTTCTTCCCAGTATATGAGCCAATTCTCGCAAGCAAACAAGAACACATCTAACGTGTTCGTACAAGAAGAAAATATCATAAACCCTAGGCTCCAGTTCACTCCAGAGATGAAGTTTAGCTTAACTAGATAGGTATTTTAGCCATATGATTTAGTTTTATCTTAGTCTATCATAGATATAAAGTACGTACGAGATCATTTTGTTCAAAAACATGAACAATGCACATTGTATAAATCTGTCATTTGTACAAATAATTTTCGTAAGAATATACATCGTAACATATGCATGAGCCGAATATAAAAGTCCAAAAGCGAGTGAAAAAAAATCACTTTCAAGTTTCAACTGCTTAATTACCTCTAACACAAGTTGACTTTGTCTAGGTTAACTATACTAGGACAGTGCATCTGTAGACTGTACCTATAGTTTTGGGACCTTAAGGTGAATGAAATAATATGAGACGTTTCTATAACAAATTATACAGTAAACCGAATTTTGCTATTGTTTTGAAAAACATCGGAGATGATTAATGTCATTTTCTAATCAATGAAATGGATAGCACTTAAAATACATATTTTATCATTAAACCAAATGATTTTTTTTTTTTTAAATGGGGCTCCAAAATTTGCATAATGGAGATCGAGGAACTTAAAATGAATATTTTATTTTTAATTTGTTCACTAAGCGCGGGCACGGCCATCAATATATATATATATATATATATACGTAAATTGATAGAGAGATACATTGAATAAATTTGAGAAAGCAGGGGGATATTCATAAACCACCTTAGAGGCTATGTATGTGAGAATGCCATATAGATAAATTAGATATGGGCATGAGGCTCTGTTCCATGCATCACTCTTATTACCTTTAAGGGGACCATTTATCTGAAACCCTTTTGTCCATTTATCTCAACCTTACACGTGTCCGTCATATCTGCTTAACACATGCAGCGAAATATCTCAAAGCTATAGCGTTGTCTTAACGGCAAGTTCACTAGAAGTCACGGCGCGTGTGGTCCACTTCTCCCAACCTCCGTGGCTCAAATCGGCCGATGAATGGGGTCCGGCGAAATAGTGGCAAGTCAAGTGACGGTTCACCCGATTCTTCGTGGGATCCACATCCACCTGTCATCATCCCCGTCCATAGGTATTTTACACCATTAATTCTACGTAGTCAGATATTAACATTCTAGAAACATTCAATAATATCTAGACTTAACCTTAACCTTAATTAACCTTAATCTTACTTAACCTAAATAAATAGCACACAGAGCTAAAAGCGAAATCACTGCGACTGTGTTAGTGTATAATGGATCTTTCATAAATGGGTTTCATATTTAGACGTTACGGCCCAGTTTCTCTAACTCAGATTGCGGCTTTTAGAAATTGTCGTGGTGCCGATGGTGCCTTAATCCGGCAGACCGCGAATTCCGACGCACCGGAACATTTCTAATGGCTATAGCTTATACGAAGCTTTCTGTCTTATGTACGACACATTTTCTAGGCCAAACGTTTTCCTCCAAGTGGTCGTTGTCGCGTTCCATGGAGACTAGGCCCCACGGCCCATAATTATATTCACAACACAGACACGAAAGCCCACTCTACACCATCTATCTTCTCGCTAGCCAATCTTCAAAACCGTTGAAATTAACGTAGAGGAACAAACAAAAAGCTTGCGTGGCTGCATCATGATCGACGTATACTTTAGTATTTCATCGGGGACTAGTCTTTGGCTGCACATTCTATAAATTTATTGAAATATCTTCTTCTTATTATGTTAAGGATCAGAACGTACTAGTAGTCTAGTGAAATGATTCAAATCTATAACAATTACCATGGACTGGTAATACATCACAATATCACAACTTAAACTTCTATGCATTCTTTGTTTTAATAAGCAGTAGTAGTTATTAAATTATGCAAGTACGACTGCTTATTCCATTATTGGTTAGCTCATTGATCGGATTCGGTTCGTATCACTAGCTAATTCCTTCTATAGTTTTTTTTAAATGCCAAAAAAATCACTAATTACTATCGTCTTTTATAATTCTGGATACAACGTGCAAAATGGCTTTGAAAGTGAAGCTTAACCACAAAACATGAATTTATCTCCATACACAACTCAACAATGTATTCGTATTATTATAAAAAGGGAGACAAGGACAGAGGATGAGCATAAGGTCATCATATTTGCATGTTATTCGTCAGAAGGGTAACATTATCTCAATTAAACTAATATTTGTTTATATATCTACTTAAGAGGTGATTAAGTGGTGAATAAAGTACGTAGTCTAGTGCGTTAACAACAAATATAATAACATTAATTCGTCATTATGGGCACATGAGGTCGCACGTGTTTACTTCGGGATTACCGCCGTCACGTGATTCAAGAAAGCCATTGAAAAAACAAGGAATTGTTTGTTGAAGTTGGTGACGATGATAATATTCGTATGTATCATGAAACGATTAATCAGAAGAGATTCTCTTAATTCTCAGAAAGAGAATAAAAGAAAGTGGAACGAACCAAAGCCTCTGATTGAGAAAGAGAGAGCTTGGGGAAAGGAAATTGGAACCACTGCGAAAGTGCACCGTACGTTATTGTACTCTGTGTGTAGTTTTCTGAAACAAAGAGACTTACAAGACTGTACCATGACAGGCTGGGCCCACCAGGCACCGTCGCATTCTATCTACACTCGTTTTTCTCGCTTTTTATTTTATTTTATTCGAAGATTTTTTGCTTCTTTTTTTTTCAGTTTCACTTTTAGTTTGTATACTTTCGATTCGAACTTAGTTTCTAATAATCATATTTCTTTGATTCATTTCAAATTATGAATTTAAAATAATTTCCATCATTTTAGTAGAATTACGAGTTTCTAGTTCTTTTAATCTAAATATTTATATGTTTTTCTTTGAAAAATTAATGCCACATTATGTTTTATCATGTGTTTATATTTTGTTTGGATTCAACTTTTTAGATATTGGAAAGCTAATGGTTGGAATCAACCCGTTGGATACGTACGGTATGTAGTCTTCCGTATGCAATTTTGGAACTAAACTTCGAGTTCATGGCAACATAATAAGAAAATTTAGAAAAAAAAACTATTTTTAACGAAGTTATCGGATAAGGTCGAACACAAATTATTGCTTCGCAGGACTAAAGAAATGTGAAATGTCTCTATGTAACTTTTTCCTACTACTTGCGATTTTTTAGAAAATTAGAAGTTTTACAACGAAAAATAAATTATATAGGGGGTCTATGAAAGGGAACCTTCTGAATGAGACAGAAGTTGCCAGCTGGAAAAACCGTTGTCGGTAGTAAAGGAAAAAGTTAAAAATAAATCGAGTAAAAAACAGTTTATTATCTCCGCTGGCTCCTCCTATCGTTTCGTGCCATTTTGTTTTAGAAGTGAATGTCCACTAAAGTCGAACTTTAGTCTTCACTAACAAATGCTAAAATATGCCTATCGCGTTATTATGAGAAATATTTTGTACAAAAAAAATAACGTTACATGTTCTGATGCTCACAGTCGAGCTAGTAATGATTCAAACTTAAAAGCTATTTTGAACAGTTATCCGCTACACTTATCGCTTTTTTTGGTTCTCACCTTCTTCATGGCTTCGACTTCTTTCATGTACTTCTACAAAACAAAATCTTATTTTTATCTCACGGGCACGTGAAGACGAAAACGGTCCCCATCGTGGAGCCACGTGGATTTACTGAATTATCTTCGTTTTCCCTGGTATTTATATTGGTGTTGTGTTAAAATATTTCATAGCTTTCAGAACTTCTCTATGGATAGGCCAATAATGAAAATTGGCAGCTTGTATCATAACTTATCTGCTGAACAACTTATTCTTTTCATGAAGAACTCTTTCAACACATATATAGTTACTTTTCTGGCTAGTAATAGACTATAATCCAGTCTGATTAATTGGATAAGGTATTAGAAAACGCATTATGCATATATCTTCTTCTCCTATAATTTTTTTTTGTAAAGAACGATATATATCATACAATATATGTAGAATATACATGAGTTAATAGAAACATGCCATCTGCAGTACTGAACAAACGAAACAAAACAATAATGGGTGATACATTGATTAACAAGAGCTAAGGAGGAATATCAATCAAGCTTTGGCAAAAGGTCCAAAAAATGAAATGGACACATATGTAAGTGGACGTGGTAAATGGGGCCGCGGTGGTCGTGGAACCGCCACACTAAGAAGATCTCTAGAAGGTTTAATTTTTTTCTACCTCTCTTCTCTTTTAATCTTCTACCATCGGTCCCATCGCGTATGTTGGTATTATTTTAGATAAAGTTATTCTACCGTTTTGAATGACAGATTTTTGTTTTCATATGTTTGTGGAACACACCAAAACTCCAACCCAACACGTTGTTGCAGCACGCTATTCTGCGGACGTTCAATCAGTTGATACAGTTTTGTCTTTTATGAAGTTCCTTCGATATTGTTTTTTAAAATGCAACGAGAAAAGAACGAAAGACGAGATAAAAGCTCTAAGTTCTTGTACATTAAGATTAAATATGTTGTTGCAAATTTTTCTTATAAGAACAGAGTATATATAAACAATTACGATATGTATGGCCAAAAGAAACAAGAAGATAAATCTACCCGAAAGTTCAATAATATTGGCGGTGTGCTACATAAAAACTGAGCATAAGATAGTGATGCATATGTATGATTTATTTTTAGCCGAATATGATAACAATGTTCACAACAATTGGTTCCCCGTTTCTCTATCATGCATGTGTCATGTACATACGAGTAATATTTAAATGAATTGTTCCAAAAAAAATAAAAAAAATGACACAAAACAATAAATATAGAAGCAAGGAGCAATTCATGAAAGAGACATAAGAAGATAAATGATAGGAAAAAAATATACACAAAAAGAGGGCCATATGAATTTATAGAACCAAAGTGCAATGCACTTCGGATCGTCGGTCGACTCATTTCCTTGATTCTTTCCATCCTTTTTCTTATTTCCCACTACATTACTACTATTATTTCATATTTGAAATTAGTATAAGAAAGGTTTTCTTACTTACAGATTTGTTATCGAGATAGTGATAAAGAGTAAAGTGTAAAGACATCGTTCGATTTCTTAAATTAATTTTTTTTTTTCTCTCATGTGAACTTGATCATAAAAAACATGATAGTTCGATGAACCGAATGATGTTAGACATTTATGTTGCTCTACTCTACAAGGATCGAAAATACAATTCCATCTCTTTTTCGTTTGTAAGTTTGATCACACACACAAAAAAGTTTGATCACAAAATGCAATGTTCCTCTATAGTTCGCCTTGGAATTTTGTTGTAAAAGTACACATTACTTATATTGAAGTGGTTTTCAAATTTCTATTCAAAATCTTGTTTTATCATTTTATGCTATATATCTATCTTTTTGATTAATAAGAGACGATTTTAGGCATTGTATGGTAATTGTTTTAAAGTTGTATTTTTGGTTTCTATTTTGAAGAAACAAAAAAAAACATTTATTATTCACCCAGTTTTTTAAAATTCAATTTTCCTCAAATCTAGAAAAACTAGTTTCGTCTTCTGTTTCTTGTTCTACCTTTGGATATATATACTCAAAAATCTTAAACCCCGATATTTAAATTTAAAATACTCTAGAAAAAGTTATAGTTTTCGATTTTCTTGTTTTGTTAGTTTTTTTATAGAGCAGAACAGCATTCAACGGATCCATTTTATTTAGAGTTATTGGACCCAGACGAAATAATAACATTTCGGTAATATATATGGTTTCCGTTTCACTACTTTCGTACACTCGTACTCTATCTAGACTATAGTACAGAAATGTAATTCATGGTTGTTTATCTACTGACTACTGTGTGAATCAAGCGGGATTCTGTGATTTTAAACTTCTATTTCGGCTGTATTTCGTATAATAGGCACTATTTTTGTTTTGTTAAATAAAAGCACATGCATGTTCAAAGAAAATGTAGACAAAATTCAATTAAAGTCGATAAATAAACATAAAAAAGGGAGTGGTCAGGTCAGTCTCGGTGCATAGTAACTCTATGCACGTTCTCGTCTCCGTCTTTTTCTTCACTTCCACTTACAACACTCTCTCTATATTAAAGCCCTGAACCAGTGACCACATACTGAGTGAGCGAGTCCGAGTCAAAGCCCGAGTCCAAGTTTGTGCGTTGAGAGGAGAGACGCCTAGTGATGGACGTCTACGGCTTACCTTCACCGGACTTGCTTCGTATCGACGACCTTCTCGACTTCTCCAACGACGAAATCTTCTCCTCTTCCTCCTCCGCCGCTTCCTCCGCCGCGTCCGCAGAAAACCCTTTTAACTTCCCCTCTGCCGCTTCCTCCAATTCCTTCCACACTTCTCCTCCTCTCCTCACCGATTTCACTAACGATCTCTGCGTTCCCGTAAGTTCGAAATTCAATTTCGATTTCGCCTAATTTCGATTGTCAGTTTCTGGGTTTCCGGTTTTTGATTTTGGTGATTTTCGTCTTTGCAGAGTGATGACGCAGCTCATCTCGAATGGCTATCGCGATTCGTCGACGACTCCTTCTCGGATTTCCCAGCGAATCCCTTAACCATGACCGTCAGGCCTGAGGTATCGTTTACCGGAAAACCTAGAAGTCGGAGATCAAGAGCCCCAGCAGCTCCAGTAGCTGGAACCTGGGCACCGATGCCGGAATCCGAGCTCTGTCACTCCGGTGGAAAAACGAAACCGAAGAGAGAATTCTGCGCCGAATCGTTGACGGCGGATGGAGAAGGCGGAGTGAGGCGGTGCACGCACTGCGCGTCGGAGAAGACGCCTCAGTGGAGGACGGGACCGCTCGGGCCTAAAACGCTTTGCAACGCCTGTGGAGTCCGTTTCAAATCAGGGAGGCTTGTGCCGGAATACAGACCGGCGTCGAGTCCGACCTTCGTGCTGACTCAGCATTCGAACTCTCACCGGAAAGTTATGGAGCTCAGGCGACAGAAAGAAGAACTAGAATCGGCCGTCCAAATTCCGCCGTTTCAGTCGCAGTAAAATCGCGTTTCGTCTTCGTCGTCGCGGTTTGGGGGGTTATCTTTTGAGGGTTTTGGAGTCACGTGTTTAGTGACGTGTCGTAATCATAACGGCGATGATCACGTGACCTACTGGGGAGCTAAGGACTAAAAAAATATCAGTAAATTAGTTTGAACTTTGAAACTCTGCTGATCAAGTCATTAATTTGTTCGTATTCTTTCTTTTTTGTTTTATGGTCTCTCCTTAAAGTTATATCATTAAATGATTTATTGGTTGCATTTAATTTTCTCCTTTTCAGTTATAAAAGCCTCTCAACCACCACTATTTACTCTGTTTTTTGTGACTTATGTTATGATATAACCATACATGCTGATCATCTTCATGTATCATACTTGCATGCATACATGCTTAAGAATTTGATTGATTGATAATGTTTCCACTTTTTCAAATCCAAATTATAAATGCTTTGAAAAAAGATATCTAAACCGAAAACAATAACCATGCCAAACCAATCTAGTTCATATAAATTTCTTCTTAGACCGCAAAGTTCAACAAAAACCAAGAAAAAGTAAGAGAAAATCGTATAACGAAGGACAAAACTTTCAAATGTGAAGAAACTGCAATTGTTGAGATCGATGGACACTAAACAACAAATACTCAAAACATGAATGAAATTGACTATACTGACAGAATCTAAACAGTAAAGAAGAAGAAGGGTATGCTCTCAAAAGGCCATGAGATTGCTCCTCTTCATTTGCTCTTGACGAAATAGAGCTTGCCCATGACATGAAGAACAGCAACGAAAGCAATGAAACCAATGCTCATAATAAGAACAACATTCGGAGAAATCTTGAGACCAGGCGCGTCGTCTGTGTAGAACTGAAGCATTGATCCGGCTGCTCCTCCGGAACCTCCACCACCGGCGCTGCTGCTACTGTTGCCGCCTTTCCTCCTCCGCATGCTTGCAGTTGCAGCTGCACTTCCTCTCTGTGGAGCTCCACCAGTAACCATCTTTGCTTCACTTTTTGTTTTTTTAGCTAAGAGAAGAACAGAGAGAAGGAAACAAAAGACTAGAATTTTAGCAAACGAATGTAGTAGAAATCTCATCAGCAAAATCTTTCTACAACCAACGAACTCAAACGTGAAAATCAAAACAAGTCGTACATTTCTCCATTATCAATGAGCAATATCACATAAACTTCTTTCAAAGATGTGGTAAATGTGTAATTACGCATTCCAAACCGAATAGATATATCTAAATTTAACCTGATTACTAACACAACCCAGAAATCTTAGCTCAATCCAGATTCTGATCATATCATTCTTGATAATTGGATCATACCAAATTCAGAAATCAAAATTTATCCCAAACGGAAAAAGAAAAACGCCCAAGCATCTGGATATTGAAGAATCGGAACAAAAAAGTTTCCAAAATTCTGGCAAACCAATGATTTGATGATAGATTCATTCTCATAAATACGAAATTACTCAGATGTCTAACAAACATTGAGCATGACAATCCATAACTCGTCTCAAACTCGAAAATTCCCACTACTATCTACCAAAATCAACATCAACATCAACATCCACAGATCTATAAATTCTTCGATCTCAAACATTACGATATCATAATTGTCGCGGAGATTGATTCACAAAAACGGATCAGAGATGGTATAAACATTGGAATTAAAAGAAATTCACCTGATTCGGCTCACAAAATTTCTGATCGTTAAGGCGTCGATGACCGGGATTTCCAGAATCTAACCTTCGATTTATGAATCGTCGGCTTTGTACGTTCTGAGTCCACGCAACTCGTTTACGTAATCAGCCAATCGAATTGCGACACGTTTTCTATTCCGCATAAGACATCCAATCTGTAATTGACACGTGGACAACAGTCCTTAAGGAATAACCTTGCCAAAATAAAACTTGTTTAAGAATTTGGAAACACAGAAGTTGGAGGAAAATGTAAAATGAAAAGCCACTTACAGCTTGAGCTGAAGCCCATATTCATTTCAAATTATTGGGCCAGGCCTGTTTACCACTGCCTATCTGTTTGGGTCTATAAACTTGTTTAAGGATTTGGATACACAGAAGAGCACAAGTTTGAGAAATCTCAACAACACATTTTCATCCCATGAAGTTATTCAAGGTAAGGAATGCAATCTTTTTAGTGATTACATTTTCTGGTCCTACACATACACATACTGACAAAGTTGAGAAAATGTCAAAATTCATACGAACATAATTAAAATGTGCACCGGTAAGGCGATATAAGATGCATATACATATAAAGAATGTAATCATTAATACTCTAATTAATGGTAGGTCAGATATACTTATATATGGGGTCGACATGGCTACACAACGAACAAAAAAAACTACTAGTATTAAGTAACTAGTAATTCCAGTTGAGTACAAATCCCTATCCGTTAATATAATAGCTAGGAGTCTTAACTAAATTTGAGTTTTGAAATTAATATGAAGAGGGGAAACCAAGAAAGACGTATACGTACAAGAAGTCAAGAACCGTAGTACGTAGCATCTTAGCATATTCTCATATCTCATACATCTTTAAGATCCCCAATTACGATCAGTACGATCAGAGTGGGATATATAATTAAGAGTGTACGTACGGTAGTAATTAAGATATGGTAAGTGGTTGGCAAGATATCATAAAATAACCGTTGTTTGATATCTGAGTACATTTGTTATTATTCAAACTTCAACACATTTATACACGGGATTTCTTCGATTGCAAACAACACTGAAATCTAACATTTATATTCCATTGTAGTGACACAGTGATCACCATTAAAGTCCAACGAGAAAGGCCGGTAGAAGATGTGAAATCAGTGGAGAAATATTAGTTTAATAGAACATATGTATACGTCGAACATAAACAGTACACACTCCAACAAACTCAGTGTGTGTAGTTTGTTGAAAAGTAGAAAGAACATAATTTCTTGTCATTCTAATAAATATAGTGTAGGGATACATATTCATAGATGTCAATAACTATTGTAAGAAGACAATGACGTATAGCATGAGATTATATTTTGCTGGTTCTTTTTTTTTTTTTTTTTGGCTTTTTGGAATCTAAATTGGACGGTGCAATTGAATCTAACTGTCAATTCTGCATCCCCTGACATTTAGTTTTGTTTGTTTGCGTTCAGCAATTCATTCATACATACTACAAAACATGATGAGTTTTGAAATATTAAATTGATGGATGGGTTAGTTCGTACGGTAGTGGTAGACTGGTAGCTTCTTTTTCGATTTCAAACCATTTATTACTTGTATATATTTTATTTCATCCATATAAGAGTGGAATGTTATTAGTTATAAAAAAAAAGTGGATTGTTATTTCCTACGTACCAATTTTAGTTATCCACACAAATATTAATAAAATGAAAAAGAATGACGTATATAGTTTCTACATCACTACATAAACTAGGTATATATTTCCATAAAGACGACAGTACTTGATAAAAATCATAAATCGGTATGTCTCAACTCAAGGCAATATTATGCATTGCACATGCAATGTATTCTTGATGGTTGCATGTATACTATACCTATTTAGACGGTGGAACTTTAGAACATCATGACCGGTGTATTTGGGGTGAGCAATCGCACGTGTGGGTCGCCTTTCGGTACATTTTCAGACTTTGCGTTGCGACCAGGGGTTGACGATATTCACACGAGTGAAAGACAGTACACGTGTCATCACGTGAGACCCAAGAAATTATAGTGGGTCTAGCTTAAAACCTCTTGAGGCCAGAGAGACTTTCCTTTTAACTAAACTGACTTCGTATCATTTATCAGCTTCACCAAACTGTCGGCGGAGATTCTTTGTTTCATGTATAATTGTTGGGACTTGTTTATTTGAAGTACTTTGGATTTGTTTATTTGATGGTCATATACGCTTAGCTGCTATATCTGTACTTTGGCTTACAGAAAGGAGACACACAAATCTTCTTAACAGTATTCATTTACATAATAGTTTTATTAATACTCCTTCTAAATGCTTGTTTTAGTAGCTTCTTATCACCTTCCAGATGACTCCAAAAATCGATGTCGTTTCCCTTTCCCATAAAATTCCACTAGAAAATTCTTCCAGATGTAATTGAAGAAATTATATTTTCGGTCTTTTTTATTTCCGCGTTTCAAAGTTTTGTACTTGTCATTTTGTGTATTTTTTCTTATATTTCATCTATCTGAGACAAAATACAAAATTAGAACCGTAAATTTCATTCATATATGTGTAAATATATTTGATGATTATATTTGATCTCATAGTATCTATCTACTTAAAGCTATGAAGAATTTTCTAAAATATATAAGCGATATGACTGACAAAAATACTTTAATCAAGTCGAAAAGAAACACACACACGCGAAGGTCAGTAAATAGCATTTGAGTAAAGTACTGTAATAATTAAAAGAAAAGAAGAGGAAGGTACCAATCGTTACATTCTAGGGCTTATAAATAAACCTCAACAAAGCCTCTCAGTTTCACTTCATATAAACAAAAATCATCTCTTCCTCTTCAATCAAACTTTCGAAAATTTCTGACAAAACCTCAAACTGAAAAAACTAATGGCGGTTTCAAATTCTCTAACAATCTCTCCGAGAAAACTCCGGTCTGATCTTTACGCATACTCCTACCACATCAATTCCGAGACACCTTTGGTAATCTCTGTTCTATCTTCATTGATCAAACGAACTCTGACTCGGAACGAAAGAATTAGCCGGAGAGCATTACCGGCGTCGTCTTCCTCCGGCGGCGGTGGCAAAACTCAGATCTTTGATTGCCGTGAAATCCCAGATATGACCATCCAAACGTACCTAGAGAGGATTTTCCGGTACACTAGAGCCGGTCCCTCAGTTTACGTGGTGGCTTATGTCTACATTGACCGGTTCTGTCAAACCAATCCCGGTTTTAGAATCAGTCTCAACAATGTACATCGCCTCCTAATCACCACCATCATGGTTGCTTCTAAATACGTCGAAGATTTGTAAGTATCCAAGAAAAGCTTATTTTTCTTTCTTAATAAACACGTTTAGTAACAAAGATTACATATTTTGGAGTTTGGACATTTCTTTAAAAAAATAGTTTTGTCTTAAATCAATTTAAACAATTTTAGAAAGAATTTATACTAAAATTTTAATTTTTCTAAATTGGCTTTCTTCTGTGTGTTTCAGGAACTACAGGAATTCATATTACGCAAAAGTAGGTGGATTACAGACAGAAGATTTAAACACATTAGAGTTGGAGTTTCTGTTCTTGATGGGATTTAAGTTACATGTGAATGTGAGTGTGTTTGAGAGCTATTGTTGTCATCTTGAAAGAGAGGTGAGCTTTGGAGGAGGTTATCAAATCGAGAAGGCATTACGTTGCGCCGAGGAAATCAAATCTAGACAAATGATCGTTCAAGATCCTAAACATCATCATCATCAGTTTGCTCGAATCTTGTTGTAGACAAAGAAACTCTGTTTTTTTTTTTTTTTTTTAGTCTTAGTTTGTTTGTCGTCTTGTGCTTGTGGTTTTGACTTTTGACAAACTTGTTAGTTAGAGTTTGTTCTTGTCTTTTTTTTTTTGGTATTGTGTAAATGTAAATATAGATGCGTTGAGATGGACTGGTGATGTAACTATGAGCATTTTATTTATTCGATAACTATTAAATTTGAGAACATTATTTCACGCAAATCTATGTCCTTGCATTCGTCTGATCAACATACTAATTTCAGGTATCATTTTGTTGCAATACTGTATTGTCAATTTGTCATACCCAAATTCGAAATGCAATAACTGAAATCTCAACGAATGTTTTCAGTTAACATGATAAAAATTCAATAGCTAGACTATCGTATATTGGTTTATATGCTTAAAATATGATTTGTATGCTGATTCATGTCTTCCAATTGATTAAGCCGGCGGCTTAGAAACATACATCATCACCAATAGTTTTTAAATTCCTTAATTAAGATATTTTTTGGGCGAATAATTAAGGTGTCGTATTAAACTTTCCATGTTCATTATGTTTGTCAGTATGTCTGTATGTGCACCAACTTTTGCTATAATAATTTATAAGATTTTAAAGTTTTAGATTAGTTGAATCTTCCTCATATTTTAGATGGAAACCCGAAACAATGATCGTGTCTAGGTCCCATCAAGACTAAACAATGTTGTTTGATTTTTGGAAACTTGTAGAGAAACAGAGGAGGTGATTTTTCGAAAAATGTTATTGGGGCACAAACTGACTCTTATTATAGACAACTCAGTTTGATTTTTCTTATAACGGCTATTTCTTTAACGTCTCTATTTTTAACCGCTGTAAAATTTGGTTATTCGTGCACCAAAACAAATTTTGGTTAGGATAAGGTGAAACGGTAAGAATCCACAAGCCCAATTTGCTTAGCTAAATACTATTGGGCCAAAGAGACCCAAACGTAGCCTAAACCCAGATGTTGGGGGGCCTATGGATGTGGTTTGTTGCAAGATTATTATATATACCGTGCGACAGAAGTAACCCTAAAATTTTCCGGTCATTTTTTTGCACTTTAATCTCACCATGGCCACATATATCGCATGTACAGCTCTTGATCGAAATTGTGTAGTCTTTTTAATTAATCTGGATTAGTATTCTTCATCGGTTTCGTAATCATTGTTTGTTTGTTTTTGGCAGATTGTAACACAAGCGTGTTCTGGGACGTGAATGATTTCCCAGTCCCCGAGGGTCGCGCGATCCGTGAGATTGTCGAGTCTGCTCTTGAGAAACAAGGTTATAACTGGGACGCCTCAATCACGGTTTATGGCGACAAGGACCCCTTCTCGCCTGAAGAAACCGCCGAGGCTCAACTCACCTTCGTAGAGAGAAGTAAGACTGGTTTTCCTCTCTACCCTAATCTTGTATGAATTTCCTTGTCTATAATCTTAATTTCTGCTTGAAATATTCATTAATTTCTTCAGGTGCTAAATTTTGGAGACTTGAGAAGATGTTAGTAGACATTCATTTGTTGGCTGTGGACAATCCTAAACCTTATGATAACCCAACAGCTGTGATGCTAGTCGCGAAAAACTCGAAGGAGAGTGCTGAGTTCTTTGATTATCTTGAAAGATTAGGGTTTTCAGGTTTTCAAGTTTTACTAGTAGTGCCTGATGACTTGAACGCAGCAGAAGTGCCTGTTCCTGACGTAGCGTTAGCATGGCGTTGGACTAACCTGCTAGAAAATGGAGATCCTATCCCCACAGCCGAATATGAAGCCCTTGTAGATCAAAGACCAGACTGTTGTGTCCAACTTGTTTCAGACGACGAAGACGATGATGATTGTTGTGAAGATGATTGTTGATCGTGGTGAAGATGATTGTGGTTGTTTTATTGGTCATGATGACAACTAGTTGGTCTTCTTTTTACAATTTCGCATTAACTTTTGTGTATTAAACTCTGTTTTTGTATTCAAGAATTTTCACTCTTTTAAAGTTTAAGCATTCTTTTATCCATCAATGTCATTTGTGTACTATCACTAGCACTTTGCTGAGTAAAACCTCTACAGCATATAAAATATGAACCTCTTTATGTCATTGAAGATACGCACCCTCCACCAATTCAATCAAGTTTAAAAATATGTAGAGATTTTGAAAAGTGAAAATAATTAAGAAACTAATAAAAATAAACCTTCAGTGAACGGTAATGGTTTTGTTATAGTTTTAGGTTTCTAAAATAACCTTTTAACAAAACAAAAAGGTTTCTAAAATAACAAAAACCTCATTATTTGTTCCAATAGCCCTTAATTAAGATTTTGTTTTCCTCAAATATAGGAGAACTATAATCGTTGCCTTTTTAGTATAAAATCTAAAAGCTATTTAACTTTGGTTTTTCTCCAACAACAAGAAAAAGCCTTCACCCCTTCAAGAAACATGGCATTATTTTCAGGCAAATATGTTTGCATTATCGTTGCTCTTCTTGCAATCTCATTGAAGCCATGTTCTTGCCATAATAAAACCCACTGGAACACCGCCGGAATCACGTGGTATGGCGACCGAGAAGGTCCTGGCAGCACAGGTAATCAATTGTGTTCAAACTTTCAGTCCACAAAACAAAGTTTTGAATTATTTTATTTTTTTGCATATTTACATACTGTTCTTAAAATGCATACACAGGAGGAGCTTGTGGATACGGTGATGCAGTGGCAAAACACCCGATCAACTGTATGATTTCAGCCGGAGGCCCTTCAATTTACAAAGATGGAACGGGTTGTGGGACGTGTTATAGAGTAATTATATATAACAATTGCAATTAATCGAATATGTTATATTGTAATTTTTATTACTATATAGTACTAACCAAGTATATATATATGTTAGATTTTATGCGACCATCCAATGTGCAAGAAAAGGCCGATCAAGGTGATGATATCGGATGAGTGTCCCGGCTGCACGAAGAAGGCCGTCCATTTTGATCTTAGCGGCAAGGCCTTTGGTTCATTGGCCAAACGTGGCATGGCCGATCAATTACGCAACCTTGGTGAACTAGATATCAAGTACAAACGGTACGTGTTGTTTGAAGTCCTTTGTCACAATAGAAATTTAAATAGCGGAAAATATAAATAGTCATTCTATGCTTTCACAAAAAAAAAATATTATTGTATTGATTTTCGTCAAATATTATGCAGTGCATGTTGCAAACACCCTAAGAGTAAAATAGCTATTCACGTCGACGCCGGAGCAAACCCGTACTACATGTCGTTCGCCATCAAGTATTCAAACGGTGACGGGAACTTTGCATGCGTCGAGGTCCAACCGTCAGGGGCCGGCGAGAAATACATAAAGATGGAGGAAATGAGATCCGCCGTCTGGAAACTTAACGCTGGACGTGCGTTGAAAGGTCCGTTCAACATCCGACTTACCTCCGCCGTCTCCAAAAAAGTGCTCGTCGCTAAAGCCGTTATCCCGGAAAAATGGAGTCCCGGTGCTATTTACCATTCCAAAGTTAACTATGCCTTCACCTCTCACCACAAGAAAGCAGTCCATCACAAGAAACGCAACTGATTAATTTCTTCTCCTCCTAACGAAAATGTAATGTTTGAAAACAAAAGCCATGGGGTGTATTACAATTTTTTAGTAAATTATATTTTGAAAACTATAACGTTGTTTATGTACTTAATTACGTTCATATGGGCTCAGTGTTGTAGTAGTTCGGCCTAAAAAGCCCATGATTTTTTATATGTAAACCGGTTTTGGTTTAGCTTCCAATGTGAAACATAGTCTTCATACCGGATCGGACCAATTCCGATTTGATTATCAGTCTTCACATGTTATTTTGACTTGTTCTTGTTCCTAATACAACGGTAATTTTCATATTTTTCTTCTAACTAAGAAAAGATCCAAATTAAAAGGAAAAGAAAAAAAGCATACTTAATGACACGTCAAACTTAGTTATGTTTATCTGTTGTGATTCGATGCATTTAAGCTTGATTGATCTGTTATAAAAGTACTTTGAATCTGTTGTGAATAACTTGTAAAGATGGTCAAATCACATTGAATTGAGCCTGAAAATATTTGGTTTTAATTTAGTTCTGAACTAATTTGTTACTCTTGCACAGAGAGAGAAAGTTGATAATGTTACTGGTGGGTGAGGGTAATTTAAACAACCGTCGTTGAGGTACTACGTGGCTGTCACGTACTGTAAACTCACAGCAAAATGATGTTAACATTCTCTCCTCATTTTGGGACAACGTTTTGTTTTGTTTTGTTTTGCTTGCTCCGTCGTTACAACAGCAAAAATTCCGAAAACATCCTTATAGTGGTACATGTAAAAATGATTTTGTTTTTCACAAAAAGTAAACCGAGTCCTAGAAATAGACAAAAGCAGCTGCGTTGCGTCTGCTATTTCGGGTGTAAAAACAGAAAACTTTTTAACTATTTTTAAACCAAACATAAATAGAAGGGTAAATCGGGAAATTCGATAAACCTTTTTTTTTCAGAAACGGGCAAGGCTCGCATGTTACATTGTCGCTTCTTCAACTTCATGCATACGCTTTAATTAGATTTTTTTTTTCTTCCACTTTCCGTTTTCCAGATCAAAATTAAATTTTGTTTTGTTAAACAGTAACAGAGAGAGAGGGATAAATAAACAAATTTAATTTAGTTGTTGTTTCTTTTTTCGTTTTTGTTTTTAATCTTCTTGAGCGTGTTGTATACAAATATTAAGCTTATTGGTGGAGACGAATGCTTGTAGATTCCACTTCTCTCCACTTTTTTCATTTTCTTCTTCTTCTTGTTCCTCTCTGTTTTTGCTATTGAAGATGGAAAGCTACAAGTGTAGGTTTTGCTCTAAGAGCTTCGTCAATGGAAGAGCTTTAGGTGGTCACATGAGATCTCACATGCCGACGAGTGCTGAAGAAGAGGTAGAGGAAAGGCCGAGTCAACTCAGTGATGAGACTGAGTCGGATGTTTCTTCCTCATCGTCTGAAGAGGGAAAGAGAAATGACAATCCGACGATGGATGATGATCCGAAGTTTGCTTTCAGAGGCTCTGTTCTTCTCGAGGACGGTGAAAGCGAGACCGAGTCGTCGAGAAATGTTGTTAACCTGACTCGGAAACGATCCAAGCGAACTCGGAAGCTCGACTCGTTCGCGACGAAGAAGATGAAAACGAGCCAAGTTGGTTACAAGACCGAGCCTGAGTCCGAGCCTCCTCACAGCTCAGCTTCGGATACAACGACGGAGGAAGATCTCGCCTTTTGTCTCATGATGCTCTCGAGAGACAAATGGAAGAAGAACAAGACTGGTAAAGAAGTAGTAGAAGAGATGGAGACGGAAGAAGAATCAGAAGGTAATAACAAATCGAGCAAGATGACGACGAAAGGGAGATACAAGTGCGAGACTTGTGGAAAAGTGTTCAAATCTTATCAAGCGTTGGGAGGACATCGAGCAAGCCACAAGAAGAACAGAGTTTGCAACAAAACAGAGCAACGAAGCGAAACAGAGTACGGTAATGCGGTTGCTGCTAATGCAGAGAAGAGAATCCATGAATGTCCGATTTGTTTGAGAGTTTTCGCGTCGGGACAAGCCCTTGGAGGTCATAAGAGATCTCACGGGATCGGGAATTTGTCTGTAAATCATCATCATCATTATCGTCAAGTTCATGGAGTCGAGTCAGTGAGACAGAGGATTATAGATCTTAATCTTCCTGCACCAACCGAGGAAGACGAAGTCTCTGTGGTGTTTCAATGAATGCTGAAAAAAGGTAACAGACTTTGCGTGATTCGGGTCGTCCAAATTTTCGTAAAGTTTGAATCTTTTTTTTTTGTTTTAATTTAATTGTTATTAATTTTTGGGGTCGAAGTTGAAGTCTAACTAGAAAAATAAAAAATTTAATGTCTCGCTTATTTTAAATGCAAAGAAGGCTACTTTTACGTGTTCTAACGCCAATTCTTTCTTCGTATTGGCCTCACGTCGTGTTGGCCTAACCACATCAATCGAAGAACATTCACATAATCTTCTACTTAGTTTATAGACTTTAAATCTTATTTATTTGGTAGAGTATAGACTTTTAATGTTCGTGTTGAATTATAATTTGGGGTTTTTCTTACTTCCACTTTGTAATTGAAAGCTACTACTACTACTAATAGTGCCCACTTGACTTATCTCTTTATATTTGCATTAGAGTTGGTCAAGGCACTGAAAAAAAAATGAACAGAATCATCTTCAAGGTCCAAAGAATTTTAGTGTATAAATAAAGTAGACATTTCGATTGTAAAGCCACAATTCTTCCATCTTCCAACTTAATGGTCCGGGTATACATATAAGCATATAGCTCGTATTTGTTAATATGTAAAAATATATTTTTACCAATCACACAGTTTTACAAGACAAAATGCTCCGCTGTTACAAATTTTGATGACAGAGGTTTTATCCAAATGAACTAAGGAATTGAAGTAAAATTCTTAGTTGGATACTTAGGTTAAGTTCAATTTGTAATGTTATCAATCATGGAGATAATGTAATTAAAATGATACTATGAAAGACTTGGTTTCACAAGTAGATTTGCGTTTGGTCTACCACAAATGTAGAATTATTCTTCGAGTTTACTTTATTCCTTACTTATTACTTGAAGCAAACCCCACTAACTTTCACCACCCAATAGAATCCAACACATTGTCATTAAGAGTGGTTGTATACAAGTAATTGCAAGCTTGACAAATCGTACACTAATTCTTTGGTGAGACTAATAACTTGGGATTTGGTGATTTAGTCTCCTGAGATCCTTTCATCTAATAAAGATTATTATCAACAATCTGGAGGCATTCATTAAAGTGTTTGAAGTTGGAATGAAAGTTGTAGAGTTAAATTGTGAGTGAAATCACTTTTTATTAAATGCATCTTCCGTGTCTAAATTTGTGAGCCCATTTGATGCCAGCCGTTGGTACAAAGATCCTGAGACTGACACTAACCTTCACTTAATATTCGCCTATGAAAAGAATAAAGCAAAAGCAAACCCAAATATTCAGCCAACAATAAAAATAAAAATAAATACGATACAAAAAGTTTAACTAGTTTGGTCTACTCTACTCAACTTATGGCTTACTTCACAATTTTGTTGCTGTTGACTGGACAAGCACTCATGTTTAGAGAAGACTAAACCGGATCGTGTTTTTAGTTTTGCTTCTGTGTATTTTAAAGTTGGATCCCAACCGAGAAGGGGAAAGATAATTGGTTTACTTTAGAGAAATTTCCGAAATTGCATGACTTATAGTGAAACTTTAAATATTAGCTCATAGTTAGTTTGGTAAGATTAGAGAAAACGAAGGAGACAAATGACATTGGGTGTGGTTAAAAAACATAGAAGCACAAAGAAAAGATGTTTGGTTGGGCGCGTGATTAAAGTGACTCTGTGAGTCTGTGACTCGATGCACCAGCTTGAGTTTGAAGTCTTCTTCTTCATTTAATTTTCTGAGTGCTCCCTTTTGGTGCTTTGCCTAACTTCAATTTGTTTTTAGTTAGAGAAAACAAAAACTTCTAATAATGAAGTTCACTTAACACAACCACCGTTACCTCTCACCTTAGAAAAAGTTTCAGTAGAGATTATACTTGGAAAACCAACTCCTTCTATAGAAATTTACATCACTCTTGTGAGCCTAAGAATAATTATCGTTCAATTTAAAAGAAAACAGTGATTTCCACGTAATACGCTAAAGCTTAACCAATTAAGCTTGTTAATGGGCTTTATGGGCCGATTATTCAAGCTGTCTAGACGTTGTCGTATTATAGATATTTAATGTTCGCAAATGTCAGTGTGTGTTTTTGTGCTCCGGATATTGTTATCTTTGCATCCAAATACGCCATATTCAAAGTTACATTGCTCTTACTCTTGCAGAATTTCTCCCCGGAGACGTAGAGAAAGAAATAGCCTAAGGATCTAGGGCTTTACACCGTTCTTCGATTCGCCGGTAAGTTTCACTTTCTCGGATTTCGTATTGATTTCATCTTCTTCTTCATTTTCTGCTTACTCTTTAATTCGATTTTCCTTGTATGTTTCCTTTTTGCTTCCCCGGCAATTCATGGCAAAATTGATCGGTATAGATTTAGATAATCGACTTCAATTTGACGAATTCCTTCTTTATGCTTTAATTCAACTATATCCAGTAAGAATCAAAGTTCTCGTATTGATCTAATTCGATGAAACGAATTTAAGGTTCTTACTCGTTAATTGAAGTCTGTAAGTGATAACTATTGTCACTTCTAGCTTTTGATTCTGACTTGTGTTAATTCGATTGTGATTATCCGGTTTAATATCTTGTATTGTCTTGTTCCTGATTTAATTTGAAATGTTCTCTTGGTTTATATGTTAAGAAGAGATAGTCGAAGCTTGTAGAGACTTCAATGGTGAGCCAAGGAATGGTGTCTCTTACAAAGTCTCTATGCTGCGCCATGACTCCAAGAGTCCGTCTCAAGAATCCGAAGCCGATGCAGAACCTAAAAACCGGATCTTATCATCTCGGTTTCAGAAATCTCCGCGTCTCATGCACAAAACTCTCCCAATGGGAACCATCACCGTTTCTCCAAGCCTCCGCAGACGAAGCTGGTGGTATAGTACTGGAGAAAACCGCAAATGTCTTCGAATCCATCGTATCCGAGGCTGCTGATGATGAGGAAGAGAAAGAGAAAGAAGATTCATCAGCGCAACAACAACAACGGACTAACTCTCAAATTCAGGTTCTTAAATGGCCAATATGGCTCTTAGGTCCGTCTGTGCTCCTCACAAGCGGTATGGCACCTACGTTATGGCTTCCACTGTCGTCGGTTTTCCTCGGTTCGAATGTGGTTAGTGTGCTTTCGTTGATCGGTTTAGACTGCATTTTCAACCTCGGAGCAATGCTTTTCTTGTTAATGGCTGATTCTTGCGCTCGTCCCAAAGACCCATCACAGTCCTGCAACAGCCAACCACCGTTCAGCTACAAGTTCTGGAACGTTTTCGCGCTCTTAACCGGGTTTCTCGTCCCGACGCTGCTTCTTTTGGGATCAAAATCCGGTTTACTCGGTTCTCTCCAACCGGAGCTTCCTTTCATCTCCTCCGCTGTTCTCCTCTTTCCCTACTTCATCCTCCTCGCGGTCCAGACGTTGACAGAGATCCTCACGTGGCATTGGCAATCACCGGTGTGGCTAGTCACGCCGGTTGTCTACGAGGCTTACAGAGTTTTGCAGCTGATGAGAGGGTTGAAGCTGAGCGCAGAGGTCAACGCACCGGTTTGGGTGGTTCATATGTTTCGTGGGCTTGTCTCTTGGTGGGTATTGATCTTGGGGATGCAGCTCATGAGAGTTGCTTGGTTTGCTGGTTTTGCGTCTAGAACAAGAACAAACCAAGAACCAGAATCTGTTGCTTCTAAGTAAAGGATTGGTAGATGTTTCTTCCGGTTTAGCTTTTACGTTTGAAACTCTCATGTCAGAAAAACAAAAAGGATCTGTATAACTCTTTTACTGTATAGCTTTTGGTTATTGGTGATAGTAGCAAAAACATATTCTTTATGATCCGTAGTTTCATATTCCTCTGGTTAGGTATGTGTTGCTTTCAAGTAAAGACAAATAATACATGTTTCTTCTGTTTAGTTTTTACGTTTTTCTAAAGTTTTTCGAAAAGCTGTAAGAAAAAGAGGGTTTAACTATGTACTGTAACGCTTTTATTATTGGTGAGTTTATTATTGTTAAGAGCGAAAAAACATATTCTTTGTCATCAGTCATCACATTCTATATTCCTGCTCTTTATGCGTATTATATGCAGTTAATCCATTTGACTTTTTAGTTAAGTGTTTGTAATTCAGTACAACGTTTGTGATTTAGAGTTTGCGTTTGCGTCTCAGATCAAAAGAACAATAAATTTTGACTGGAAAAAGACGATTTTAACCTTGAGAAGGAACAAGACAAATAGCGATGTCACATTCTTCTTCATTCGATCTCTTTCTCTCTCTCTCGCGATCTTCGACGACTGCCATCTCTCTACCGGAGACGGCGTCACGGGACGAATCTATTCACCGGAAACTGTTTTTTTTTTTGTTTGTTTGAACGGAAAATCAGATTGAATCTCCGGCGATCTGATCGAGATGAGTAACAGCGAGCTTCTCACCGTCGAGCCTCTGGACCTTCAATTCCCTTGTAAGCTTAATTCGACTTTTCATCATTTCGCATGTCCTTTTCCTCAGATCTGGATTTTGCTGAGTCGTGGTGTTAATGAATTTTCGTGATTTTCTTCTTTTGATCTGATTTAGTTGAATTGAAGAAGCAGATCTCTTGCTCTCTCTACTTGACGAACAAAACCGACAATAATGTGGCCTTTAAGGTGATAATTCTCTCATATGATCTAAGAATCCGGATTTCGGATCGGGAAATTGCTGTGATTTGGTTATCTCTTTGTGTATCTGAGGCTTCTGGGTTTGTGATTCAGGTTAAAACGACGAATCCGAAAAAGTATTGCGTTAGGCCTAACACTGGAGTTGTTCTTCCAAGGTCCACTTGTGAAGTTCTTGGTACGTTCTCTCATTCTTCTCTTTTCAATTCCCGAATCTGGCTCTAGGATTATGAATTTGATGATTTGGTGCTTGTGTAGTGACCATGCAAGCTCAAAAGGAAGCTCCTTCCGATATGCAGTGCAAGGACAAGTTTCTGCTTCAAGGTGTGCTAGCTACTGCTGGTATCACAGCCAAGGAAGTTACTCCTGAGATGGTACTCGTCTTCTTCCAATTGTTGTTGATTTGATTTGATAAATGGTAAATGATAAATGACAGTTTTTGTTTTGGTTCCTTAACAAGCATTTTTCTTCTGATTGGGACTTTTCAGTTTAGCAAAGAATCAGGGCATCTAGTTGAGGAGACGAAGCTGAGAGTTACGTATGTTGCTCCGCCACGGCCACCATCACCGGTCCATGAAGGATCAGAAGAAGGCTCTTCACCAAGGGCTTCGGTTTCTGATAACGGAAATGCTTCTGAATTTTCAGTAAGTTTATTAGTCAATATAACATTTCCTCTTTACTTATTGTAGTTTGTTTATGCGTGTTTATGTGTATGATTTATAGTTTCAGAGAACCATCGGTGGCAAGGCTGATCCTCAAGAAAACTCATCTGAGGTAATTTCAGAGCTCTTCTGAGTTTTTACCTGTCAAAACCGTGGAAAATTTTATCCTTTGCAGTCAGGTCTTTTTAGGTGATGTCAGAGTCCATGCTTTTGCTCTTTTTTATTGGAAAGTTGGCTTTAACAGCTGATGTATTAGGTTGAGAATCTTTCTTTGTGTTAATACTTAAAAGGTTCATTACACTTTTTGAATCTTTAAGCTGACCATTATCTTTTCGTGCGTATATCTAATTTGCACCAAATCCATTATTAGCTGTAATACAGTATTTCTATTGATTGATTTCAGGCAAGGGCTCTCATCACAAAGCTAACAGAGGAAAAACAGAATGCCATTCAACTGAACAACAAACTTCAAAAAGAACTGGTAAATAACTTTCATTTTTATACCTCTGAATCTTTCCTCCATTCTTTCTTTTTTTGGGTTTAAATCTTTCTATTACTGTTTTATCTCCATCATTTTAACATCCAACACTCGGCCAATGAAGCTGAATATAGGCTTCGTTTATATCTTGAATTTGTTTTCTGAGAAAAGATTGTGGCTGATGTGCAGGATCTGTTGAGGCGTGACAGCAAGAGAAGCCAAAGTGGTGGTATACCATTCATGTACGTTCTTCTGGTCGGGCTAATCGGGTTAATTTTGGGATACATAATGAAGAGGACATAACCACCCTCACGGCCACGAAGAAAGAACAAAAATGCGCAGACTTTTTTTTTTAAACTCATTTTCAGTCGAGACTTGTTTTATCTCTCTTTCTGTATTTGACAATTTCACCTAAAGAAAGGTGCCTTAGAGGATCTTACCACTTTCTCTCTCTATCTTACTTGTTCCCTGAGGCACAGGAAAACAGATCATCATCTTTTCTCTTCATCAAAAATAAAGAATCACCTCATTTAGCCAAGCACATATTATTCAGTAGTCTCAATGACCATAATCAAAAAGAAAAAGAAGAAATGTTGGATTGATAAAACAAATCTTTCTATTACTGTTTCAATAACTTCCATTTTTTGATCTTTGAATTTTTTCCTACATTTATTGGGGTTAACTCTTTCTATTACTGCTTGTCTCAATCATTTTAACATCCAACACTCAGCCAATGAAGCTGGTTGATTTGTTTCACCACACCATTAACCAGAACTTGTCTTATATTCCACCGGCTTTGTTTAGACTTGAATTTGTTTTCTGCTAAATTTTTTTGATTGATGTGCATGATATGTTGAGGCGTGACAGCAATAGAAGCCAAAGTGGTGGTATACCGTTCATGTATGTTCTTCTGGTCGGATTAATCGGTCTTATTTTGGGCTACGTAATGAAGAGGACATAACCGCGAAATAAAACTCATTTTCAATTGTGACTTTGTTTTATTTCTCTTTTATGTATTTGACAATTTCATTTTAAACAACATTATTTTTTTTTAAAAGTGTCTTACATGCTTTCTCTCCCTTAACCTAAAATAAATAATCAAACAATTATTTAAACTATAGTTTAAAGGTATATGCCCAACAATAAAGGACTCCTCTTATTGAAGTAATTCATAGACATCTTCAAAGCATGCTTTCAAAATCACCATTTTCTCATTTAAGACACCTAACAACGCAGTCTCAAATCTCTCACTCCATCTAACAATCTGATTCCATGTTTCTTCTTCATTTAACCTTATGAATCCAAAAGATTTAATCAAAGCATATATCTTCTGAGAAAACTACATGCCTCATGTAACTCACCCAAAGACATATCCAACGTCTCAAAAGTACCTCTGCTTGAGTCGTATGATATCAACTCACCAAACATGTATGTCTGATTTTGTACTACCTCATGATCTAGATGCTTGGTACAAATTTTGGTCATCGCGGGATCTATGTTTTTAAAAGAAAATATAACATTCAATGTTGAATTTGGGAATATATAATTATTACAAGTCATTTAGTGTTCCAATAATCTCTCATTATTTTAAGTAAGAAAATAAAATAATACAATTAGTTGTTTCATATTCCATTAACTATTATATGATTGTTCATTTTTGTAATTTAAAATTAAATTATATTGAAAATATATTAATGTTATACTTATGAGATATTTGAAAATTCTTTCACCACTCAATATGATTCTATGTGAAATTATTTTTCGCAATTAGGCGATATTCAATCACAATATCGAGGATATTGCTCCTGACTGGAAGCGTAAGTAGAAGCATGTCGTTACCCTCTTCAAACCAGTGAGCCACTGCCCGTCACTTTATTAACGTCAAAACGAACTCTATCGATGCTTTTCAACACATACTTTATCGTCGTTTGATTTCTTCTTAAGAAAATGGTAGGATACAAAAGAAATAATAAAAATTTATGAAAGGAACAAGAAGGAATAGAGATGATCGAGAAACGCACATTGATTTACTCGTTTTTTGTGGTCAATTTTCTGAAAGTGTTTGAGAGAGACGAACTTCATATACTAGAAAATGGGCTAAACATTACTAATGGAGAAGCCCAATTAAGGCCCATTAATATAAACTTGGGTCGTATCAATAATGCACAGTTTCGATGAGGTTTTAAACTGAAAAAATAAAGAAAACAAATGCGGTAAGAGTAAGACTGAAATTACTTTTGCAGTTACGTAATTAATTACGTTTTTGGCAATGTTTCCTTGAAGGTTATCTTTAGTGTTCATAAGACTCTAACAGAGAAGGAGGCTTTGCTATCCACGCGCTGACTTAGGCGCGTGAAACTCAGTTTCTCTCCCGTCGTACCACCACCACTTCCCCCACTACTATCTCTCTACTCGCCGATCAGATTCACCGAATCAAATTCAATCTTCAAATTCTCTCCTTCCCTTTCCTCTGATGCGGAGAGCGTTCCGGCTTCATAAAGTCTTTTGTTTTTAGGTTTTAACTTTCCTTTTTTTCAATTTCGGAATCTCCAATGGCGCCTTTTGTTGAAGCCTGTAGGTATAAACCTGTACCACTCTCATTGAGCTCTCTCTGTTCATGTCCTTGCCGTTCCTCGTCAACAAAACCTCTAATTCTTCCCCATTCCTCTCCAAACTATTCGAACTTGCGTCTCGTCGATTCCAAATCACCGTCTCATTCTCGGATTTCTGTTAACCGGCGCGTTATCGCTGCCGTTGCTCGAGCTGAATCAGATCAGCTTGGCGATGATAGCAATTCAAAGGAGGTAACTTTATGCTTCTTTCTTCTCCTTCGTCTTTAGCTCAATAGTACTAAGACTGATGTTATGGTCTCATTGATATTATCATGGCATTGCTGTGATTCTCGTCTGTTTAGGAAGAAGACAGAGATCAGGAACTGCAAAATGTGGAGGAAGATTCGAGTTTTGATGAACAGAAGCGAAATTCAAAAAGCCAGTTTAAGAAAAGAGTAGTTTTTGGTCTAGGAATCGGATTCTCTGTAGGAGGTGTTGTGTTAGCAGGAGGATGGATTTTCACAGTAGCATTAGCAGCTGCTGTTCTTCTAAGCGCCAGAGAATATTTCGAGTTAGTGAGAAGTAAAGGGATTGCTCAAGGAATGACACCTCCTCCAAGATATCTATCTAGAGTCTGCTCTGTTATATGTGCTCTCATGCCATTACTTACATTGTGAGTATAGTCACCTTCAAAGCTTGTGATTCTCTTTTTTTAAGTCTGTGCTCACTTTAAAGGTTTAATCTTTCTTTAGGTACTTTGGTCATATAGATATCTCGGTGACATCAGGGAGAACCTATTAATCCATGTTTGGGTAAGTATGGGTCCATCTAGTTCATCTTATACACTACAAGTGAGTTTCCACAATGTGGAGTCACAGAGGTACATTTCGGACTCCTTACCTCTTCCGGTTCCCAAATTGGTCCATTTGATGTTCCTCCCTTGGATTGAGACCGTTTCACTCATGTTTGTCCTCATAGTCATGTGGAGAACCTATTAATCCATGTTTGGGTAAGTATGGGTCCATCTAGTTCATCTTATACACTACAAGTGAGTTTCCACAATGTGGAGTCACAGAGGTACATTTCGGACTCCTTACCTCTTCCGGTTCCCAAATTTGGTCCATTTGATGTTCCTCCCTTGGATTGAGACCGTTTCACTCATGTTTGTCCTCATAGTCATGTGTAGAACCTATTAATCCATGTTTGGGTAAGTATGGGTCCATCTAGTTCATCTTATACACTACAAGTGAGTTTCCACAATGTGGAGTCACAGAGGTACATTTCGGACTCCTTACCTCTTCCGGTTCCCAAATTAGGTCCATTTGATGTTCCTCCCTTGGATTGAGACCGTTTCACTCATGTTTGTCCTCATAGTCATGTGTAGAACCTATTAATCCATGTTTGGGTAAGTATGGGTCCATCTAGTTCATCTTATACACTACAAGTGAGTTTCCACAATGTGGAGTCACAGAGGTACATTTCGGACTCCTTACCTCTTCCGGTTCCCAAATTTGGTCCATTTGATGTTCCTCCCTTGGATTGAGACCGTTTCACTCATGTTTGTCCTCATAGTCATGTGTAGAACCTATTAATCCATGTTTGGGTAAGTATGGGTCCATCTAGTTCATCTTATACACTACAAGTGAGTTTCCACAATGTGGAGTCACAGAGGTACATTTCGGACTCCTTACCTCTTCCGGTTCCCAAATTAGGTCCATTTGATGTTCCTCCCTTGGATTGAGACCGTTTCACTCATGTTTGTCCTCATAGTCATGTGTAGAACCTATTAATCCATGTTTGGGTAAGTATGGGTCCATCTAGTTCATCTTATACACTACAAGTGAGTTTCCACAATGTGGAGTCACAGAGGTACATTTCGGACTCCTTACCTCTTCCGGTTCCCAAATTAGGTCCATTTGATGTTCCTCCCTTGGATTGAGACCGTTTCACTCATGTTTGTCCTCATAGTCATGTGTAGAACCTATTAATCCATGTTTGGGTAAGTATGGGTCCATCTAGTTCATCTTATACACTACAAGTGAGTTTCCACAATGTGGAGTCACAGAGGTACATTTCGGACTCCTTACCTCTTCCGGTTCCCAAATTAGGTCCATTTGATGTTCCTCCCTTGGATTGAGACCGTTTCACTCATGTTTGTCCTCATAGTCATGTGTAGAACCTATTAATCCATGTTTGGTAAGTATGGGTCCATCTAGTTCATCTTATACACTACAAGTGAGTTTCCACAATGTGGAGTCACAGAGGTACATTTCGGACTCCTTACCTCTTCCGGTTCCCAAATTAGGTCCATTTGATGTTCCTCCCTTGGATTGAGACCGTTTCACTCATGTTTGTCCTCATAGTCATGTGTAGAACCTATTAATCCATGTTTGGGTAAGTATGGGTCCATCTAGTTCATCTTATACACTACAAGTGAGTTTCCACAATGTGGAGTCACAGAGGTACATTTCGGACTCCTTACCTCTTCCGGTTCCCAAATTAGGTCCATTTGATGTTCCTCCCTTGGATTGAGACCGTTTCACTCATGTTTGTCCTCATAGTCATGTGTAGAACCTATTAATCCATGTTTGGGTAAGTATGGGTCCATCTAGTTCATCTTATACACTACAAGTGAGTTTCCACAATGTGGAGTCACAGAGGTACATTTCGGACTCCTTACCTCTTCCGGTTCCCAAATTTGGTCCATTTGATGTTCCTCCCTTGGATTGAGACCGTTTCACTCATGTTTGTCCTCATAGTCATGTGTAGAACCTATTAATCCATGTTTGGGTAAGTATGGGTCCATCTAGTTCATCTTATACACTACAAGTGAGTTTCCACAATGTGGAGTCACAGAGGTACATTTCGGACTCCTTACCTCTTCCGGTTCCCAAATTAGGTCCATTTGATGTTCCTCCCTTGGATTGAGACCGTTTCACTCATGTTTGTCCTCATAGTCATGTGTAGAACCTATTAATCCATGTTTGGGTAAGTATGGGTCCATCTAGTTCATCTTATACACTACAAGTGAGTTTCCACAATGTGGAGTCACAGAGGTACATTTCGGACTCCTTACCTCTTCCGGTTCCCAAATTAGGTCCATTTGATGTTCCTCCCTTGGATTGAGACCGTTTCACTCATGTTTGTCCTCATAGTCATGTGAGAACCTATTAATCCATGTTTGGGTAAGTATGGGTCCATCTAGTTCATCTTATACACTACAAGTGAGTTTCCACAATGTGGAGTCACAGAGGTACATTTCGGACTCCTTACCTCTTCCTGGTTCCCAAATTGGTCCATTTGATGTTCCTCCCTTGGATTGAGACCGTTTCA